TGTATGTGGAAAAAAATTGAACATAATAAATATATAAAATTAACAGCTTGAAATATGAAGTTGAAGACAGACTAGTTCATAGTTTTTCCAAAAAAGGATCGTAACTTTCCCCCTGGTAGGTTCTCGGCTTATATATGGTTATATACACCACTATTTGACTTATTCTGTATTTTTTAAAATAACAGAAACATTCACCAAAGTAAACAAACAAGAAAACTAAAAGTGATTACCACTAGTGCGGCTTGGTCGCTGAAGCTGATAGTGTGGCGCCTAGCAATTGCTTGTGGGGCCAATGGTGTAGACTGTAGAGGGATTTGACGTTTCCCTTTTGATGGTTGGGAGAAGAAATCAAGATGGTGAGTGGGTCGGCGGTAAAGAAATAAAAGAAAGATGGGAGAAGAAGACCCTAGTCTCTAGGTTAGGGATTTGACGTTTCCCTTCCCCTTTTGGTTTTTATTTATTTATTATTTTCCCACTTTTTCAAGCTAGGAAGATATATTTCAAATTTGAAAAATAAAACGAAAATCAGTCAAAACCGGCGGTTCGGGTCAGCCGGTTTTCACGGTTAACCGGGCGAACCGGTTACAACCCGGCGGGCCATTTTCTGTATCGTTTTTGCACTATCGGGACCGGGGATATGGCCGGGTCCGGTTTTTCCGGTCGGTCCGGTTTTGATAACAGTGCTTTTTTCTCCTCGGTTGAGTCAATTTCTTTATTTGATTTTAGAGTCAATAACTCAACCTTTGTGAGATTTTGTGTGGTGTTTGTGTTCTGACCACTCTCTCCTCCTGGAATACACCGCCTGCCCCGTCCACCATCATTCACTCTGAATTTGGTAACTTCGTTCTACCCTCCTTATCTTTCCTCCATTGAAGACAATGTCGTGCTTAAGTGTAGGGGGGTGTTCGATTATGTATGCGGGTGAATGTTTGGCTGTTTGTGTGATTGGAGCCTAGTCCACTGTCCAAATTTTTAAATTTGAGGGATCCAAGTACGTGTTTCCTTGCAAATTGCCTGCTCAGTATGCTTTGAATTGAGAGTCTCTATAGTAATGTGCAACCTAGGGAGGTAGCGTAGCACTATGGAGGATGTTGAAGTATAAGATTTTTCCTATCTAGCTCTCTGCTATGCCAGTTGATTTTGTGAATTAGTGGAGCTAAGACCATTGAATTCATGTGGTAATGGTGACTCTGTTTGGATTGTGTTATGGACTCGTGTATCGAACATGGTGCTCGTGTGAAAAATGAAATGTAGTTGGTCCTCCATGTCAAAATCATTAAATCTTAAACATGGGGTAAGCCCAACGTGTGCGGCACCGTTCATTGCACAAAATCGGGTTTTGGAAGAGATTTTAGTGATCCTTGGTGGGGTAGGTCTACAAGGTGAAGCTAAGTTGTCTCTAGTACGAGTAAAATTTCCACCCGTTGAACGGTTTGCCTAATTGAGGATGTGTTTTTAAGGGCACGGATAGAGCTTCCGACCCCCCTTTAATTTCATTGACCCTCCATACGAGTTGAGGAAAAGGAGTTAAAAGAAGTACTCTGACGAGCGCCAGATGTACAGAAATTGCTCTTGCTCGACTAATAAGGGTCGACCGTGCAAAAGACTGCAGTTGGAACCCCCGCCAAGTGAATGAAAAAGAAAAAAAAAGTAAAATGAAAGTGAAAAAGGGGTTCCAACGGTGAAATGAAGTGAAAAGAGCACCCCGGTACAACGAGTCCTTGGTTGAGAATGATATGAGTCCCTTTATCCATGAACTGACTGTCTTACTTCTACTTCTTCTCATGATTCTGGCTTGAGTCTAGTACTCGCATTGAGAGAGATAGGGAACATCTTAGAAAACTAGTTGACCTCGTAAGCTGCTATATGATCTAGAAAATCCTCTATCGACAATCGGGGTTGTTTGTTGCTATAGAGGTCTGGAGAGTTGCATTGGTTTGAGTCAGATTTGCTTGGGGACAAGCAAACGGCTAAGTGTGGGGGAGTTTGATAGGCCAATAATTAAACATGTTTCTACCCCTATTCTTGAGCCGTTTGAGATGTCGATTCCCGCGTTTTAGGCCGATTTCACGCTAGGTTGTTCATGTTTGTGATATTTCAGGTCCTAGCACATGAATGAAGGCCTGGGAACGAGTTCGGGGTCGATTGGACGTTTGGCGAGAAGCTGGGAGCCACACGGGCACCATTTTACCTCACACGGCCGTGTAGGGGCCCCTTGTGGCCGTGTGAAGGCTCGGTAAAAGACACACGGGCATCCTGGGGAGCCACACGGCCATGTGGCCTCTGCTCGTGCAGCTTGCCTGGTTGCCCACTAATCGAAACGCCGCATTTGGACACTCACACGGGCATCTGGGAAAGTGACACGGCCGTGTGGCTTGGCCGTGTGAGTCGGGATTTTCTGGTTTTAAGCCAATTTCGAGCCAAAGGAGAGAGAGAGCTGGGTTTTTGGATCCCAAACACCCAAGGGACGAACCCTAGAGAGAGAGAGCAACTTGGGAACATTCTTGGAGCTATTTTGGAGGATTTCTTCGCCATTGGAGCTCGGGAATCAAGCTTGGAGATGGAGATTGAAGATCTATATCAGATTTCTGCAGTCTCTCTCTTCCCTATGGAGTAACTTCCCTTCACTTAGGTTTTGAGGAACCCTAGTTCCATGTGTTAGGATCTTTCTTGTATGAAGTTTTGGATGCTATATTGTTTGATTATAATCGATTGAGGCATGATTTATAGATTCAATTGAATCTTGATCAAATTCTCTTGATTTCTGCTTTAACCTATGATAGATAGAATCTGATTAGGTTAAGAGAGCTTCCTTGATTGATAGTGGTGAATTGGTTATGCGAGAGTCAATCAATTCACTGCTTTGTACTGGAATTCATTCCAGTAGTGGAGATCTGTGTGAATCGCCTTAGCAGTCTATCCCGGTGAAGGCTAGTCACCTGTCGGGTATTCTGTCTAAGAGGGCTTGGTCAGCTTAAGAAATTCCAAGCTAATTTAGGATCTTCCGCAGTTTAATCAACAGTAGATCAACCAAAAGTAATTGCAACTTGGACCTAATTGAGAAGCTAGGGGGAATCATACCTAAGTGAGTTCCCAACTTGTAATTAGTAGAGTAGTTAGTAGAGTAGTTTAGTAAATCAATCCTTAATCTGGTTTGCTAGATAATGAACTGAAGCTGAGTAATAGTAACTCTAGAGACCCGTGGATTCGATATTTATTACTTGTACCACTATACTGCAGTCCCTTTCATTGGTTACACTTGGCCATTGTTAGGTGTTGTGTCGTAGCGTGTCAGGTGGCAAACATGAAATATTTGTATAATTCGAGTGACCAAATGTGTAATTTAGCCATTTTTCCTTACAAAGCTCCTGCCATTTTATGGAGCTTCATGAGGTTTCTTTGCATGTTTTATTATATTATTATTATTATTATTTGAATAGAAGAAAAGTCAAAATAGAATACATATGAATAGACACCGTAAAAAATTAAGATAGAATGGGTCAAGAATATAGCTGGGCGGAAGTAGATACTCATGCCCCTCCAACGCTATTGTAGTTGTAGGTCAAGTAATACCTGTCTCATCGCAGATTAGATCAGATAATACCTGACGAGGCAGGTTCAAATTGCCATCACTAATCATCCTAATATCCCACACCAGACAATCGATCAACATGTCTTGCGCCAAAACAAGTTTACCTATATGTTTTTACTTTCCTATGATTCTATGATCCATAATAATTGAAAAAAAAACGAATAACTTGGAAAGTCTTGTTCTAATAAAAATTCATCGATTCATAACTGGAAAAATTCATTGATTCGATTACGAATTATAGGAAGTCGATAACTCTTTTTTTAATAATCATCAGTAACCACTCCATAAATCGTTCATAGGAGATAAATAAGTTTCTCTAATTTAATATAATGGGTTATATCTTTTTAGTTTTAAGACCTAATTAAAAAAATTGCACAGAAAGCCTTAGATTAATTGTGCTCTACAAATTATATCACTTATAAATATGTTTGAACAAAAAATTGAAACTTTCAGTCTGTACCATGGTGAATCGATGATAATATTTTGTAGTAGATAAGATTATATCATGGTGGTGTGGACGTGTACCAATGTGGTATGCATATATCATAGTGTATAATGATCCTTTAAATGATATTGTAAGAATATACTAGCCATCCTTTCCATCTACACAAGTCATTATGGATTTGTGATATGGATACGTGGGAGTCGGGACATAGTACTATAGTATACTGGAGTGTGAGAACTGATTTGCGTAGTATGTGATCGTGATAGAGCCTATGTTTGACCCGGATTTTAAAAGTGCTTTTCGGTTTCAAAAGAGGAAACAGGGCCAAACACCTCTAAAAGCTCGACTTTTGAAAAGTCGAAAAGCGCTTTTGTATAACATAAAAGCAGAAGCTTCAATTTAAAAGCGCTTTTTTATTCATATTTTATATTATAAGTCATTCACATTTTACACAAGCTCTCATACTAAAAAACAATTCTAATGGTTATTAGGCCAACCACTCAACTGGTTTTTTTTAATACTTCTCTAAAAGTTCAAACCGAAAATTGCTTCTACAAAAGCTACAGCAGAGCCAAACTAACTCATAGTTGTCAATGACTTTCATGAAATTTAGAGATAAAGTATAGTTGTAGCTTCATCCCTGAATGTGATACTGTTCATCAATGTTTGACGTTATATTGCATCGGTGACAATTTATATGAGAGAGGCTTGTGAAATGGAATGAACTCAGGAGTCAGGATCACCTAGCTTGGCAATACGGAATAAAAGTATTAGGTTATAAAATTATAATGCTACGAGCCTACAACGGACAAAGGAAAGGAAATGTAAAATACTAAAATGCAAGGCATACTGGCAGAGGAGATGAGATGGGAATGTGGGAGTAGCAGCGGCTCCAATGTTTGCGTGGCCGTTAGAGCTTGAAATGTTGTTAAATGTTAACAAAAGAAGGGGAAACGAAAAAACAATAGAAAAACAATTTCATTCCGCTGCCGGGAGTTGAACCCGGGATCCCCTCTCGAGAATCGCCAAGCTTGACAACCCGGAATTAAATTCAGGATTTTAATGCTACAGCGGATTGTTGAAGCTTTTGACTACATTGGTACTCATATCTATCGAAAAACACAAAATAGCCCGAAAATTAGAAGATAGTGTGACAAATCTAGCCAAATCCGTTAGAAACTTTAACGGCGTTTGGGATGCCGTCAAGTTCTGTGACGGAAAGCTGACTAGGATCCAAGTCATCGCCCACGTAAGATCCATGTTAGCAGCCCTTTACATGTAAATGCCACATCATCAATTAACTAAAAATAAAATAAAATAAAACAAGAAGATAACTTTGTTCCTCTCTCCGCACCACCCATATGAAATCTCAGGTAATTTCCTGAGTTTGTACTATTGATCATTCATGTATTTATACATACAGATGTATCGTGATATAGTGGGTGGAGGATTTACAGGAGTAGCGGAGCAAGAAAAAAGGAACATAAAATATTTGTAATAGAAAGCAGAAGACTCGGTCTTCCCTTATCATACCCCCGCAAGTTGAGGGTCAATGACCTTCAACTTGCACTTGAAATGGTGAAATCGTTGGCGCGGTAAGGGCTTGGTGAGAAGGTCTGCTAGCTGATCTTCAGTGGAGATGTATCGGACCAGTAATTGCCCAACAACAACTCTTTCACAGACAAAATGGAAATCTATTTCCATATGCTTGTTGCGTGAATGGAACACGGGGTTGGCAGAAAGGTAGGTCGCGCCAAGGTTATCGCACCAGAGCTTCGTGAGGAATGGGAGTGAGATGCCGATTTCGTGGAGAAGGGACTCGATCCAAATGATCTCAGCTGCAAGTGTTGCGAGCGCCTTGTATTCCGCCTCAGTGGATGAGCGAGCGACTGTACGTTGCTTGCGAGAGGACCACGAGATGAGATGAGATCCAAGATAAACATAACCAGTAGTGGAACGCCTATCAGTGACAAAATTCGCCCAGGCAGCATCGGAGTAGCCGGACAATTGATTGGAGGATTGAGTGTTGAAGAAGAGACGGTGATCAGTGGTGCCACGTAGATACCGTAGGATGCGCTTGACCTCGGACCAATGATGATTGAGCGAAGAATGCATGTGTTGAGCACAAAAAATGAGGGCCTAGGAAATGTCTGGTTTTGTGAACTACAAGTACTGTAGTGCCCCGACAATTTGGCGATACAATGTGCCATCTGGAAGGGGAGAGTGATCTAGATCAGTGGTGGAGAGAGCAGTCGGAGTGGATAAGGCATTGGCAGAAGTCATGTTCGCACGGCGCAGGATATCGAGGAGATACTTCCTTTGCGAGAGCAGCAATCCTTTGGCTGTCCAAATTGCTTCAAGGTCGTGGAAGTAAGACATGCGACCCAAGTCACATACCGCAAAGCAATTCTGCAAAAAATCAAAGACAGCCTGCAGAGCGGGTGATTGATTTACTGTGATTAGGATATCGTCAACATAAAGCTGGAGAGTGCCGCGAGTCAAAATGAAAAGGGAAGTATCTGTCTTCGACCCTTTGAAGCCATATGCTTCCAAAGCCTGCCGGAGACAATAAACCATGCTCGGGGCGCCTGCTTGAGACCGTAGAGTGACTTTTGGATGCGACACACATGGGTAGGACGAGTTGGGTCAATGAAACTGGGTGGCTGCTGCATGTAGACATCATCCGTGAGATTGCCATGGAGAAATGCATTGGCGATATCCAGTTACCGAATCGGCCAATTGTGAGCAACGGCGAGGGAGATGATGAGCCGGAGGGTGGTGGGTTTGAGGACCAGGCTGAAGGTGTCCCCGTAATCAAGGCCTGGACGTTGCTGAAAACCACGGGCCACCAAACGAGCCTTGTAGCGAGCAATAGTGCCGTTAGAGTTTGTTTTGATGTGGAATAGCCATTTGCAAGAGATAACATTCTGAGCTACTGATAAAGGAACCAGTACCCAGGTTTGATTTTTAAGGAGAGCCATGTATTCATCTAGCATTGCCTCACCCCAAAGGGGGTCTTGAAGTGCCTGTTGAGGTGTGGATGGAAGAGGAGGGAGGTTGGGGTTGGTCGAGGAGAGAAAGGTTTTTGGTTTAGTCGAGCCGGTTTTGGTGCGGGTGATCATGTGATGGGATGGTGGAGTATGAGTACGTACTGGTCGGGATGGAGGAGGAGGTCGGCGGCTGGTTGGGGAAGGGGGGATGGGCGGCCGTGATGTGGCCGGCGGAGAGTAGATTTTGGGATGAGAGGAGAAGGTGGGTTTGGGCCGGGGTGTGCGGTGTTTGGTAGGGTGTGGTGGTGGAATTCGTGAGCTGGACGATGGTGTTAATGGGCTGAACCTTCGGGGCTTGGAGGAGTAGGGGGTGGAGGGAAGAACAGTGGGGTGGGTTGGCGTTGGGGCCGGGAAGAGGTGGAGGGAGATGGTGCAGTTGGGGGAGGAATGGTTTGGGGAGGAGTGGGGAGAGATGGAGGGTTTGGGCTTAAGGGGTTAGTAGTAGGCCCAAGATAAGATGGCAATGGAAGTGGAATGGGCCATTGGGGAGATGGGGGTCAGAGTCTCCTGACGTGGGGGAAGGCAACAAGTAGGAAGAACATTTGGGGACTTGACATGGATAGTAGTGTTCATCAAACAATATGTGACGGGAAATGTGAATCTTTTGGGCAGAGAGGTTGTAGCAGCGGTAACCCTTATGCAGAGAGCTATAGCCAAGGAAAAGACATGGTGAAGAACGGGGTTGAAGTTTGTTGCGAGCAAGAGGGCGTAACCACGGATAGCAAAGACAACCAAAAACGCGAAGACAGAGTAGTCAGGACTGGTGGAGTAAAGGGCCTCTAGGGGTGTGCAAGATGAAAGTAGGGGTGTGGGAAGGCGATTTATGAGATAGACTGCAGTGTCGAAGGCATAAGACCAGAATTTGAGGGGAACAGAGGCTTGATGTAAAAGGGCCAAGCCTGTTTTAACGATATGACGGTGCTTACGTTCAGCACAACCATTATGTTCAGGAGTGTAAGGACAGGATGAACGGTGAATGATTCCATGAGATTGGAGATACATGCCAAGTTTCTGATATTCGCCGCCCCAATCAGCTTGGAAAATTTTGATGGGGCGGTCAAAATTTTTTTTAACTTGGGTGCGAAATTGAATAAAGATATTAAGAAGGTTTGAGTGATGGCGAGTGGGAAAAATCCATGTGAATTTGCTAAAATGATCATAAAACAAAATATAGTAGAGATGACCGTCAAAAGATAGTTCTGGGGCAGGACCCCAAACATCACTACAAATCAAATCGAGGGGCCAGTAGCTTGATAGCTAGAACACGGAAAAGGGAGTTTATGAATTTTAGCAACACTACAACCATGACAGAGACCAGAATCAGATTTATTGGAAGCTAGCAAAGAGTTTGAGCGAAGGACTTGATGAAGAACATGAGAGTGAGGGTGACCCAGCCGTTGATGCCATTGATTTAGGGTGGTGTGAAAAGCACGAGGCGACGTTGAGGCGAGGATGAACAATGGAATAGAGTAGAGGCCATCTTTACTTCGACCGCGATGGAGGATTGTCTGAGATCGTGTGTCCTTGATAACACAAGAATCATCAAAGAAATGGATTGAGAGAGGGTTAGACCGGGTAAGGGCGTTAATAGAGAGGAGATTATGAGTAGCGGAAAGAACATGCAAAATTTGAGAGAGTTGAAATGGATGAGTGCTTAGGGTAGCGAGAGAAGAACCAGAATGGGTGATGGGAAGGGTTTTACCATTGTCGAAGGAGACTTCATCGGGACCAGTATATTCCGAGTGGAGGGCTAGATTGTTGAGGTCGGAGGTGAGATGATAGTTGGAACCGGAGTCCATGAGCCAATCTTGGGTGGATGGGGAGGCTGCAAAATGGGCAGAAGGATGTTGACGGGAATGAAAGGTGGGTGTGGGGCAATGCAGTCAAAAGCGCGATTCTACCTATAAGCGGTTAGGTGACCTAGAACCGTAAGTTTTTAAGTTTTAAAGCATAGATTTTGACTACATTTGTAAGGTAAAATCACGATTCTACGTAGAAGCGTTTTGGTGACCTAAAAAGGCAAAAGCGTAAGCTTTTAAGTTTTAAAGCGTGATTTTGACTGCATTGGTGTGGGGCAATGGCGGGCCAAATATATATAACCGTGACATGTATAGCACTTCAAGGGCCCTGTTCCTGCAAAAGAAGCACTATTGGGGTGAGTGGGCCGCGGCCCAAGTAAGCTTGGAGTGAGGCCCGCAGGGGAAGGAGCCCGGCCTGCTGGTGGGAATGGTGAGCTTGGGTAAAGGGAAGGGCGGGTGTTGTGTTAGCCCCGACCTCTACCGCCACCACGAGAAAAGAAGCGGCCACGCTCGCCGCGCTAGCCAAGTCGACTGAAGTTGGCGGAGGGCGAGTGACCATCGCTGAGGAGATGATGATGATGCAAGCGAGCTTCTTCGTTAAGGAGGAGGCTGTGGAAATCGTCGAAGGATATCGGTTCAGGTCGGGCTTCAATGACAGGGATGAATGACAGGCATGATTCACCAAGTCCTTTGAGGCAGCGGGAGACCAAATCATCATCGGAGACCGGATGGTCGAGGGCAGCGAGACGATCGGAAATGTCCTTCGCTCGAGCAAGGTACTTGTCAATAGACTCAGAACCACATTTGAGAGTATCAAATTGATCCTTGAGGTTGCGGATGCCGTGATGATTGGCAGCTCCATAAGCGGTGGCGAGACGAGTCCAAGCATCGAATGCAGAATTGAAACCCACTAGTTTGGAGAGGACAACATCAGTGAGAGAGGAGACGATCCAAGAGAGGACGAGTTGATCTCGTTTGTACCACGCAGCATAGACTGGATTTGGAACGCCGATGGCAAGGTGTCGGGGAGGATCAGGGGAGGAACCGTCGATGAAGGGAGAAAGGTTGAAACTGTTGAGAAGGGGAAGGAGTTGAAGTTTCCAGAGAAGGTAATTTGTTGGGGTTAATTTGACGTCGATGTGGGGAGGAGCAGGGTTGCCTTCGGAGAGAACATGAGAAGAAAGGGGGTCTGAGGCAGCAGATGTGGCAGAGGTGGAAGATTCGTTTGTCATGTTGATGAGAAAGGAAGGAAGACGTTGGAGAGAAGAGAGGAAAAGGACTGGGTATGCATCAATGAAGAAGAGAGAAAGATTGATTTGTCGTTAGGCTTTTGAAGGCTCTGATACCATGAAATCTCAGGTAATTTCCTGATTTTGTACTATTGATCATTCATGTATTTATACATACAAATGTATCGTGATATAGTGAGTGGAGGGTTTACAGGAGTAGTGGAGAAAGAAAAGAGGAACAGAAAATAGTTGTAACAGAAATCAGAAGACTCGGGCTTCCCTTATCACCATCGTTGGCATCCACCCCCGCTGGCAACAATCTAAATCCATAGTCCATTTCGCTGCCGCCCTAACTCCTACTCCCCCTAGCCCTCCATCTTCTTTCCACTGCTCGTCGTCGTACATCCAACTATCACCAGACAACTGATTCGTCTTCCTCGTTTTCCTTTTCCTAATAAGAAGACGAGCTGGAGGCAGCGAAGCTGGACCATTTGCAGCAGCGCGGGTGACAGATGGAAGCTTCAGCGGAGTCGGCGATGGGGTTTATGGGTTGAGGAGAACTCGAGGAAGAGCTGTCGAATCGCGAATCTGGAGTTTTCTGGTCTTCCTCCGTCGTGCTTTTCAGAGAGAGCGAGACCAAATCGAGGAACCCGACCCGAAGGTGATCCAAGCAGACCCTGAAGTCCGATGCCAGAGCAAGGACTACATCCCTTGGCTTCTTACCACACCTCATCTTCTTGGGTGCTCCGCTGCTCTCCTCCTCTACTCATCTTCTTGGCAGATCCACTCGATTTTCAAGAAGAAGAAGAAGAAGAAGAAGAAGAAGAAGAAGAGGGGGAATCCACTCGAATCAGCCGCCTCCGTCAGAACCCAAATCGGGGGAACAGTGCGGGAGAGGAGACATAGAATCGGGGGGCAATGTAGGTGAGACCGGTGCTCTGCCTCGCGGCCTGCGATTTGCTCGGGTAATTGGTGGTGAATAAGGTTTTGGGTTGCTGGTTGCTGGGATGAAGATGATGTCGATGGCGGTTGCGATCTAGGGTTGCTGGGTAATTGGTGGGGAATAGGGGTAGAGGAGTACGGGGAGGAAGATAGAAGTTCTTTCTTATTTTTCATTGTTAAATCAAAAATTGCATTTACGATTTATATATATATTTCTTAATACACGTGTCTGACAAAAAATCGCCAGGTCAGCATTTCCGTTATTACAATCAGACTGTTTAGTAACACCATCAAAAAGATGGACGAAAGTGGCTATTTTGTGTGTTCCAATAGTTATAGCTATATTTGTCACAAACGTGAAAGTTATGATTATGGAAATGTATTTTGCGATTTAAAAACTACAAAATTTTTGTCCATAAATGTGAACATTGAAAAACACATTCTCTATATCTATCGAGGACCGGTTCTAGGTCTATGCGAATGCGAGGAGACCCGCACACACAGGTCCTCAAAATTTTGGAGGCTTCCAATTCAATATTCATATATAAGCAGTTATTGTATAGGTTATGTGGGCTTAAATCAAATAATCAAATTCACCAAAAGTGTTTAATGATCACACCATTTTAGAGATGGAGAAAATTATGTGGATATTGATTAGAGGCCCAACTTTGTGATTAGTTTTTATTTGCTATTTTCTAATAATAATAAAAGAAATGCGTGATTTTGATCCATTGCTTTCAATAAAAAGATGCTTGTACCAAAGGTAAGATAATCTAACGGTAAAACTGCCGCGACAGTGAAGGCTTGGGAACGAAGCCCCATTGATGTCGAATTGATTGCAGGTAGCCTTCAGATTTAGTAGGCCCCGTTGTCACAAAGTGTTATGTGGGCCTTAAGTTCCTGCGTAATAAAAAAAAATGCATGTTGGAGGCCCCAATCCCACCCTCTAGCCTATACCAACAGTAAAAAATATCAACTTTCAATACGTAACGGTTGTTATTAGTATTATCTAGTATTCTTCCTTTATATTATCATGTGTTCTCATCTAATCCAATTGAGTTCGAACCATTTATTAAAGTGAGTCTAATTAATTCTCTAATTGTCACTTTTGTTCCTATTTGGGTTCTTTTTGTTTCAATTTATTTAATTCAGTATTTTTATACGTGGTGGATCAAACAATTTCCTCACTTAGTTTTGAGAAATATCAAAATTTTGAATCTATTTTTGGTTTCTCACTTACTTAAGAATAATGATCAATCTGATATTGATGGCATTGATTTATATAATGAGCTCAAGTTATTACAAGTTTTTTTACATAATGAAATTTTACAACCAACTGATATTTTGAACTTTTTTGAAGCGTGTTGATTGTTTTCCTAATGTCATTATAATATATAGAATCTTATTAACTGTTTTTGGTTTCTAAGCTAAAGTTGTTAGAAATATTATTTGCGTTATGCAATGACACAAAAAAAGCTCAATTGATTAGTTATGATAGCGATTGAGAATGGTCTATTGGATAATACGAAAATTGAAGAGCTCATAGATATTTTATTTTAAAAAAATGCTAGAAGTATGTTATTATGTAAATGACAATGAAATAACATTGTTTATCAATAGATGTAATAAATGATTTTATCATATTTAAAAAAAAAAATTGGATAATCCGTCGCCGGCCCAAACCATAATAATCAGACCCATCTTCTTCCATGACTTCCATGGGTTTCTTCTTCGAAAGGAACAACGCCTACAACAACAGAACCTCCTCAACGATGGTTCTCCCTCTGCTCATTATGGACGCGGTGGTCGCAGCTCTTGCGGGCGATGTTCTGGCCGTTCCGGTGGTCGCGAATTGAACCTGGGATCCCCTCTCAGGAATCGCCAAGCTGACAATCCGGAGTTGAATTCTGGGGTTATAATGCTACAGCGGATTGTTGAAATATTACCTAAAATTTATCTACATAATAAATAAAAGTCAAATGAGAAAATTTGAAGCTCAATTTCAAATTTCTTATATCCAGAGTGAAAGTAGGAAGGACATTTTGGTCTTCACAATTACTTTTTTTTATTCATTAAAAATGACACTTACTAGGATTTGAACCATGACCATTTTAAAGAAAAGCAAAGATCATAACCAATCACACTAAATACATTTGTTGTATTTTTTTAAATTAAAAACATATAATCGCAAAGAGGAAAAAACTCTTCCCCCATTTCAAATTCCCTGCTCGAGGAGCGTTTGTAGGAAGGATAGAATAGGGAGAGTCAATTTTTTTCTTTTTCCTCTGTGGAACGGCCAACTTACTGTACACATGCGGATTTAAACGGGCTCAGGAGTGTCAATTTTTTTCTTTAAATCCTTTTATTTCTCCATGGTGGTAAAATATATATGAAAAGGCAAAAACAATACTCTTTTTTATTGCTAAATTTTTTTTTTAACAATAAACTAATGCATTGATTCTAATGAACTAACCGCTAATCATAAAATAAAAGAGTTGAATGGGTCTGACCTACACGGGATTTGCCCATCAAGTAAACAAATGAACATCATGGGGTTGCCATTCTAAAACAAGCTATTTTCTCTAGCATAATATATATATTATGCTATTATTTTATATCTTAGTGGCTAAAATATAATGTATTTTAAAGTTATTCAATGGTTCAACCTCGACCAACCAAATTAGTCCAATTTTTATCATTTCAAATATATATTATGTAATTATTTGATATCATAATGATTAAATTATAGTGTATATTATAGGGAATCGTTTGGTATTTGTTAGTAAAAAAACTAAACAGAAGGATCTATTTGGTTATTTTTAACATTAAAACGATCCTAAACATTTTCAGTTTCCTTTCGAAATTCTATAGTTTTATTCCCGAATCAGTGATGTGCAAATGGCGAATTGGAGTTTTTTATTTTCAAATAGAAAGTTTAAAAGTAAAGAATAATTAGAGTTTGGCATGGGTCGGTCGAACAGGCTGAATTTCAAGTTTTGGCCCGTTTTGATCAAGTCTAATTTATAATCACATGGTTTTCTGATACCCGATAAAAATCTCAATCCAAACCAGTTTGGCAGGTGAGTCCGTGTTTACCACCATTTTCTAGAGATACAGCAATGGTGGTTCCTATCCCAAATCGTGTTGTTCATTATTGATTTCTTTAGATTTTATCATGGCTTGGCAAAAAAGCAGAAAGCACAATGATGACAAGATACAAATTTTATAAAGCAAATTAATTGGCCAACGGGCCGAGTAAAAGCTAGCAACGATTGTGAGATGCTCGTTTCCCAAAAACCAGCGAGATAGGCGATATTTTATTCGATTTTCTGGAATTCAGTTTCTATAAAACTTACACCACCTCATCATATTACCAGAAACAATATTGTTTCACAAGGTAACATGTACTTGATTTCGGTTCATAAGGCTGATTTTTGATTCGTTGCATCATTCATGTCTCTTTCCTACTAAAATTCACTATTTTTATCACGTGTTTCCAAAAATAAACTATACAACAATAAGCTATACACCCCATTACATTATCAAATTTCATATCGCACATTCCTCCAACCAAATGATCGAGGCGCACGCTAGTTATTTCTACTTGTCAATGAACAGCATTGTTCCTTCCGGGCTTCGGCGTTGAAGGGCCTGTGTTGTTGGCCACCGCAGGATACTCGAGATGGGCCAATCTGTAGTGGGCTTTTGTCGGTTGGGCACAAACTCTTTCGTGGTTGGGTTTATGGGTTTGGCTCATCATTTATATTGCTATTTTATGTCTAGTTTGGAAAGTAGAGTAAGCTCGACAATTAAAAAAAATGTGTTATAGGTATAATATGCCCCTATACTATGTCGTTTTATCAAACATGTCCCTCTATTATTTTTTACATCAAACATGCCCCTGTACTTTGAAAAATTGTCAAACATGGCCTTCTATTAAAATTTTCATTGGAAAAATTGTCAATCATGGTTGAACCGAGATTTAGACGACCCGATATCGGCAAATGGGAGGGAAAATGTCAGTTTTGTCCCCTGTTTTATTTCTCTGAGTCTCGTCAAAGTGAAATTATTAGGATTATTTGGCTATATAAAAGAACCAAAAAAATTCTAAATTGAAATTATTCGGGATATTTTAGACATTTGTGTCGCCCAAACAAAAGTTTGGCCGTGGTTAACGGTTTTTGGATAAAAATTTTAATATAAGTGCATGTTTGATAATTTTTTCAAACTACATGGGCATGTTTGATGTAAAAAGTAGTAGATGAGCATGTTTGATAAAACGACATAGTAGAGAGGCATATTATACCTATAAGGCTATAACCAAAAAAATCCACCAATGAAAGATACGCCACGACAAGTTCCGGCTGTGGTTTGGTGGCAATCTCCAAAATCAGGACCACGGAAGCTTAGTATGGATGGTAGCTATTATTATCATAAATAACTTGCTGCCATTGGTGGTGTGGTTCGGGACTCCAAAGCAGCATGGGTTTATGTTTTCGCTCACAACATCAGTCGATGCTATATTTTATCTGCAAAGTTGAGAGCGATAAGAGATGGTTTATCATCCCTAGTTTGGTGGCTTGGAATTAGAAGAATTGAAGCTGAGACGGATTCACAAGCAGCTATACTATTGATACACGGAAATACCCCTTCGACCCACCCGGACTGAGTATTGATAGATGCTTGTCGCCGTCTTCTAACAAATAACTGGGAGACTTCGATTTTCATAAGTGTCAAGAGGAGCTAATTATGTTGTCGGTTGCCTAGCTAAACTAGGACACCAATTAGGGCACTCCGAGGTTTGTTGGGATACTGCCCCGTCGAGTGTGAAATTATATTTGCGCCAAGATAAAATGGGAGATGGACACGTCGAGAACTCGCAGACGACTTGAGCTAGCGGCTGGATTTTCCCCAACACATGGTTATTTTAATCAACTTTTAATCATTTGTAATTGAATTTCCTTTAAAAAAAATCGCCATCTTCCCTTTACTTGTATATACTTTTCTTGTTTCATCTTTCGAGTTCCCAACTTCACTTCTAACCATCGACTTTTGGCTTTTCACAACTAAAAAAACGAGAATTTCACCTTCATAATTAAAAGCAATTGAGTAACATGCTTTGAGAAGATTGAAAAATAAACAAAAAAGAATCGTGATTCAAAAGGATTATATGTAACATCCCGAACCTTTTCCCGACAAGATACTGTCTGCTTTCGGCCTCTACACCCGCACGGATTTTGACTTGGGTTGCAATTCAGGGTGACTTCCCATAAGGTCACCCATCCTTGTTGTACTCCACACTGAGCACGTTTAACTTCGAAGTTCTCACAAGAACTCCTCCATTTCACCCCAAAACGCGTCTTGTCAGTTAATGTCGGTTTTTCTTTCTTATAAACCATGGATCTCTCCCGTGCTTTGTCGATGTGGGATTTGCCTATGGTGTTACACTATCCAATTAATAAAAAAGTGTTAGTCAATTTTACCGGATGTCACAAGCATTGTACACATTGTTTCATGTTTTTATCACATTACTGCCCCCTAAACTAGTGAAAACATAGACATGAAACTACTCTTTAATCGAGAAAAACGGAGTACTAATCAAGTAAAAAATGACTCTCTCTCTCTCTCTACAATGGAAATCCTCTCAATTCAAGATCTCTGTTCTAGCTGCAATCTTCGTAGCTTCTTCTCCGGCCAATCTGGATGCCCTTCAGGATATCCACCCACCTACTTCTCCTAATCTTACCTTAAATTCCTGGAGACAGAGAAGATATGCAAAAAGATCCAGAAGAGTTAAGGTAGAAGCTGGGGAAATGAGAAGGCATTTATTTATCTGCTTCTATATATTGGCCAAATCTAGCCTACTATCCATCCCCCTCTCTGGGCATTCAATGCTCAATATAAGACTTGGAAACCTCCTCCCCTTCAGAAAACCAGTATAAGGCGTCACTCAGGATACAAATGATCACTGCCACCTTCACAAATCAGGCCATCAACAATTTATGAGATGGGATTCAAATCCCTTGAGCCCCTAAATGGCAAGGCACATATGATAATCAACTATCATGCAGGGACTCCTTATCATAGTTAGGGGATTTAATGCATAAGAGAAGCAGACTACTATCAAATCAAACCCTTGGAAATCACTTATATATCTCTTTATCCTCAAAGAGAACAACACACCAGTTCTAATCTTGGTTATTGCTCCTGGAGAAACCCACTAAATGGGGAAAAAAACCCCAAAGATCCAGTTCCCTTTGAAAATAACCCTTCACCTTATGGAGATCAATCCGAGAGACAACCGGGCTGGAAAGGGCCATCTGGTCCTTAACATCCAACCTCAAGAAAATGGAGGAAAGGAAAGTGAAAACAAAGTTATGATTACAAAGTGGCTGACTGACAAGAACATCTCACCAGGGAAGGTGAGAAATGCTACTCAAGCCAAGTGGAGGACCCATGGCGAAATCACCATCAAGAGAGAAGCCAAGAACCTATTTGTGTGCACTTTCCCAATGCCGACGGGTATAGATACTGTCTGGAAATCCCTCCCCTGGACCCTCTCCAACTGCCTGATTGTCATCCAGAAGTGGGATGGAGAAACTAAACCAGAGGAGGTGGAATTCCCAACTGTCAGTCTGTCACGCTGTGGGCTCAGATTCATGATCTCCCCCAGGTTCTCAAAGAGAAGAGATCTATCCAGAATATTGCTGAGTTTCTCTTCCCAAAACTCCATAGAGTTGACATATCAAGCCTGGAAGCTGCTGGATGGATGAGATTCATCTGGGTCCTTGTCGAAGTGGATCTCCTAAAGCTAGTGCCGATTGGGTTTGAATACCCTCTTGGGAGGAAAGTTGTGTGGGTGAGCCTAAAGTATGAAAGAGTCATAGATCTGTGTTATTTCTGAGAAAAGATTGGCCACCTGATTCATAGCTGCCAGACCAGGGAGGAGTGCAGGGAGAAGGGATACAACACCGGGCCATCAGGGATCTACAACGCAACACTGAAAGCTGGCTATGAATCACTGGCGGCTACTCCTCCGGCATCCTTCCGCCGCAAGACTCAAGGACATATCGATGGGGAAAAGATGCATTTGGAAAAAGGAAATACATCATCCCAAGGTGGCCTTGGGAACACCACTCCAATGGCTCTTATCACTGCTGCAGGGGAATCCTCTTCTCCAATCTCACCGACGATGGGGAACAATCTCTTCCTAGGTCAGAGATCCATAACGGATACTGACATCTTTCCTCACGCATCACCCTCCTTGCAACAAAAGCTTTGTTCCCCAAGGAGGCTCGAGGATGACTTGGAAGATGTGACTGCGACGGTGCAGTACTCCCTGGATCTTAACGTGGGAGCAAAACCTAGGGGAGACACCCCTCCTCAGCTGAACAAAGGGACTTGGCTCATCTGCTTGGGCCCAGAAGAAGAGGTGGGCTTCGTGGGTCAGACATACAACTATGGAAGCCCGCAATATATGGAGGAGCATCAACCATTAACCATTGTCCAAGAAGCCCAACTGAACTATGAAAGGGCGCTTGGACGGGCTGGAAAGAAGAGAAAACAGGAGTGGCTTCTCAATCTGGCAGGAGGCCCTAGTGGAGAGTTTCTCCATACTAACTTGTCCAAACCTTTTATGTTTAGCCCAGGTATAGAAGGCAACACATCGGGGGATAAAAGGAAAAAGATTGGAGCCAAGAAGAGAATGATGGAAGGGGTTTCAACTGAAACTCATAGAGCAGGGGAAGAGAACTACTCCTCCTCTCAGGCAGCGGTGGGAAGCCTCAACCCACCTAATCCGGAATGAGGATCCTGAGTTGGAACTGTAGGGGGTTTGGCCAACCCCTTACAAGATGCCATTGCAACAGGTTATGTAGAAGCCTGGGCCCGTCCATTCTCTTTCTTATGGAAACAAAATAAGAAGAAGAATACATAGAGGAAAAGAGGAGAAGGACGAATTTTACAAATGCGAAATATGTAAACCCTAGTGAAGGAGGCAGTGGGTTAGCCTTATGGTGAAAGGTTGGAATCTCTATCCATTTTTTAGATTCTAGCATCCACTTCTTCGATGTTTGTATTAGTAGTGGAAGCAGTAGTTTTTTGTTTCTTTTGTTCATGCCCCGACCACTGCGTTGGAAAGAAGGGCTTTCTAGGATCATATGAGCTCCTTTAGGGGTAGTGTTGATGACAAGTGGCTAATTGTAGGAGACCTGAACGTGGTGTTGTATGATCATGAGAAAGAAGGAAGATGTCCTCTAAGGAATGAAAACACCACCCCATTCAAGTATTTAATCTTGCACAATGCTTTGGTCGATCTTGGATTCACGGGTCCAAGGTTCACGTGGACAAACAAACAACAAGGGCAGAATCTGATAAGGGAAAGACTGGACAGAGCTATTTGTTCTGCATCTTGTAGAGAAGAGTTCGACAAAGCAGTGGTTTTTCATGAGGAAATGGTTGAATCATATCATTGTCCCATTCGTGTGGATATCAATTTCAATGATAATAGGAGGAGAACTCCCTTCAGATTCGACAAACGATGAAAGAATCAAACCGAGTGTGCTGAGATTATTCTGAAAATTTGTGAAGAACAAGGGGACACCTTAGTCAAGCTTCTGAGATGTGAAAACGAACTTGTTAATTGGGCTAGAGACAATAAAAAAGAGAGAATGAAGAGGGAACTAGAAATCAAAACCAGACTACAAGATCTTCAAGGCCCGGTCAGGACTCTCGCTGATGTGGAAGAGGAGAAAGCTTTAACAGCGGAGCTGGCCATTTTTTGGAGGGAAGAGGATGCTTTCTGGGCACAATGTTCTCATATTCAATGGTTACAAAAAGGGATCAGAACTCCGATTTTTCCATTCTAGTACGATTCAAAGGCACCACTTTAAGCTAATCCTCAGACTGAAAGATGACAACGGGATTTGAATTAGCAATGAGACCCATCTCAGGGAGCTGTCTCGGAATTTCTTTTGTGCCCTGTTTCAAGCCCGTCCAGTTGTGCATTTTGACCACCTTCTCCAAGACTTCCCACAAATGGTGACAAGTGAAATGAATGACCAGTTATGTGCCCAGTTACTAATGATAAAGTTCGAAAGGTTGTCTTCAGCCTTGGCCCTTCAAAATCCCCATGACTTGATGGCTTCCCGGGATTTTTCTTCAGGAAGTTTTGGCCTACCATCGGGAATGGTTTCTGTGATGAGATCAGAGCGTTCTTTCTCTCTAGCCAGCTCGCGGCCGACTGGAATGATACTCATATCTCGTTAGTGCCTAAAGTTGACGCCCCGGAACAGATTAACCAATTCCGGCCTATCAGCTGTCGTAATTTCGGATACAAGGTGATCGCAAAAATCATGTCTACCAGGCTGCAAAAATGGCTCCCTCTCCTGGTTTCGGAATTACATACTGCATTTACGGGAGAGAGACAGATTCAAGATAACGTCATCATTGTTCATGAGGTTATCTTAACCATTTCAAGAAGCATAAGAATGGCAACCGTCGGGACATGATGCTTAAACTGGACGTGAGGAAAGCATATGACCTTGTGGACTGGGACGGTGTGGATAAAATCCTATTGGCATACGGATTTGATCTAATTTGGCGGTCTTGGGTCAGTGAGTGTGTTAGATCGGTCAGGTTCTCTATACTCTTCAATGGGGAACCCACTCAATTCCTCACTCCTTCTAGAGGCATTCGATAGGGAGACCTTCTTTATCCTCTTTTATTCATCCTCCTCTCTAACGCCCTTTCTTTTCTTGTCGATAAAGCGGCTTCTTCGAATGTTTTTAAAGGTTTAAAACTTAATCGTCATTACCCGACCCTCATGCATTGTCTTTTTGCTGATGATACAGTGATTTTTGGACAAGCCTCCTTGGAAGAAGGTGAGAGGATCATGGAAATCATCTCAGACCCACAATGTGGAAGCGGATTTGAGGGGGCAGATTATTGTTGATCTTGGTTTGACAGTCACTCCACCTATCTCGGAGTTCCAACGGAATGGGAAAGATCGAAAAAGGAGACTTTCTCTTTTCTCATTACGAGAATGGAAAAGCGAGAGGAATCTTGGAAGAGCCTTTTACTCTCCCCGGGAGGCAAAGAGACCTTTATCAAAGTGGTGATACAGGCGATCCTGACCTACATCATGTGTCTGTTCCTCCTCCCGGATTATATCACCAAGAAAATGGATGCTCTGGTGAAAAAGTTATTTTGGTCAGGTTCTTTTCAAAAAAAGACTATTTAGTGGTGTATGCACAAGTGTTGAATGCCCCTAAGGAGGAGGGGGGTGTTGGGTTCCGCTCTTTTAAAGACTTCAACCTTGCCTTGTTGGCCAAACAAGTTTGGAGACTCCTTATCTCTCCGAAGTCCCTTTGGGAGCGAATCCTCAAGGTTCTGTATTTCAAAAAAACTGATTTCCTTCACGCTAAGAATGGAAGTCGCCCTTCCTGGATCTGGGTGAGCATTTGGGAAGCAAAGAAAATGATGGAGTTTGGCATTATTCGAGTTATTGGCAATGGTGAGTCTACAAGTTTCTTCCACGACCCGTGGATTCCTCATATCCCAGAGGGAAAGATTCAAGGAACAACAGATCAATAAGATCGGGTGGTAGATTTCATTAATGGGGAGGAGAGGAGCTGGAACGAGCAAGCTGTTGGGCAGGCGGTGCCACTCTTTCATGTCCAAGCTATTAAGAGGGTCCCGATTGGTCTTCATGAGGCACCTGATTTCTCGCTTGGAAGTTCTCTCCCAAAGCTAACTTTACTGTTGCTTCTGCTTACCATGCCTTCCATGTCAGGAAAAGATCTTAAGAGTCTGAATTTCACGTGACCACAACCCTTGAAAGAGAAAGGTGGAAATGGCTTTGGAAGCTGTCTTTGCCACCGAAAATGAGATTCTTTCTTTGGAAGTGCGCCCGCAATGCTCTTGCCACCTAAAGGAAGTTGTTCAACCGGAGATGTGCTCCTTCTCCTGCGTGTCAGGTCTACAATGATCCGGAAGAGTCTCTCTACCACTTCCTCTTTGGTTGTCATCATGCGAGAGAGTCTTGGGACCACTTCTACCCGTCCCTTAGTCCCCCACCACCTTCTGCAAACATCCTTGAATGGCTCTTCCACCTAAAGGACACCATCCTCATTCAGTCGATCCACCAAATTATCTTCCTCATCTCAAACATTTGGAAATGTCGAAACGAAAAAGTGTTCCGTAATGCCTCCCGCTGGCCTCCAGCTACTTGTTCCAATGCTGCTCGGGACTTGCTAGAATGGTCGACTTACCCCCAGTTCAGAGAAATCCACCTCCCTCCATTTCCTAACTCAACCATCCCCCGAACCAGACCTCACCACCGCCGAGTTTGCCTCTCTTTGAGGTTCACTATGATGGATAGTTTCTTAGCGATTCCCAGGAGGCGCCCTATGGCGTTGTTGTCCTCAATAGCCATGGTCAAGTTGTGACGGGAGAGCTGGGACCTTTCTTTGCGCATCTCCTCCCGAAGCGGAGGCGAAAGCCTTACTTGAAGCTCTGTTGCTGGCTCGGGATTTAGCTTGCCTTGTTCTCGTCCGCTCTGACTGTTTGACTCTTGTTTCTGCTTTAGCAAACCCGAGTTCATCTTGCCCGTGGTTTTGCTCGGCAGTGCTTGGGATCATGAGTGATCTGCTTAAGAGGAACCCGTTGATTAATGTTTCTTTTTTCGGAAGGAACCTCAATACGAGAGCTGACTGGGTCGCTAGGTCCCTTGTTCACAACTCCCTTCCTCATGATTGGATTGTTGTTCTTGGCCTTCTTTCAGATTTCTTTGTGTAACTCTTTCTCCTCGATTTTGATTGGTAATGCAATATAAGCTGCCCTTGTAAAAAAAAAACTACTCTTTAATCAAATTCCACTAGATATCTAATTCTGATGAAATTATCCAATCTAACAACAATCGACTAACATTTTCAATCAAGTAAATAAATCGTCACTGTCCAACTTCCAATGAAGGATCAGACGTCGAGTTATTGTGAGGAATGTGACACGCAACTTGAGGGTGCTCTCTTGAAATGTTTTTATCAATCCTTTTCCATCTTGTATCATATTATTACTTCTCGAGATGTTAATGATTTTGATCATTTAATGATAAGAAAATAAAAGCATCCCCAATTCAACTTGTTACGTTGGTTGGTATGACTTGACTGCATTCATGAGGACGTTTGCAAATTGCAATGATTCCATGCAACGGATGCATACATTATTAATTTCCCTCTTTATGGCGGGTAGGTAGGTGGAGACTGGCAGAGCCCAGCCCAGGTTTTTTTATTAATTTCTCAACGGTGGTGGAGAGCCTATCGAAAAGATGACGGCGAGAGACTAGTTCTACTACGTACTTGTAGTATTAAATAATTATTATATCATTCTTAATGTCTAGTGGTACCATTTTCTTGTTTAATTATAAACCAAAAAGCCCTCTTGCCTTTTATCATTTGCCATCATCATGGGAACGCAGAAAGGGAAATTAACGGTGTGTTTGATTTGGCAGAAAGGTTAAGCAAAATTATCGCAATAAAAAAAAAAAATCGGAAAAAAAGGTGTGGTCACTGTTCACCAATGAATCATGAGGTTCATGAATAAAGGGTTGTTTGGTTTGGATGCAATCGGCCGGATTACCAATTACACATGATAGAATAAGTTTAACGTTTAGTCGTTAATATATTCCACGAAATTTAATGTGAGTATATTATGAAAGTGTTTTGACACGTCTTTATATTATTTTTTTTCTATGAAACTGCATTGAATCAAATAATATTTTTTATGCCAATGTATATATCATAAACATTGGAAAACAAATTAGCAGTGTTATTAAAGTCGAGCCGCTCGGCCCGACCGGTAAAACCGCCACTCGGTCACAAAACCGGCTCGGAACAGTCTAAAAGTCGCTCCAATTTTATGTAGCGGTTGGCGAGCGGCCGAGGCGGTTAACCGTTCGAGCCGATGGAGCCGCTCATCCGGTTTTTGCCATTCAGCCACTAAATTTAATTTAAAAAATTGTAGAAAATTGAAAATTAAAATAAACCAAAAACGTCGGGCTCTCAAATTGAATCCTTATTTCCATTTCACAATTTCGAAGGAAAGAGATGAGCTCTGATTAAGAAATGTCCACTATTTATACTGATAACGTTTATTAGATATCGGTTTTCTTACGGTTTTTAAACGGTCTAATGCCGGTTGGACCGCTAAAGTGCGAGCCGTTCGCATTACTGGGTCATGCTCCGGTTCGGTTCTGACAACATTGCAAATTAGCATGCAGAAAGCTATATAGTGCAATGCAATCAAACAATTCATGGAGAAAATTCATAGTTATGAAATCTAATTATTGTTTGCGCAAATGATATATTTTCCCCCATGATTATTAGCTACACCGCTCCTTGGCTGTGAAAGAAGGAATTAGGAATGACAATGGGACAGCTATGAGGCGGGTATCTTGATACTCATACCCGCTCCATGGCAGGTCGGGTTCAGGTTGGATAATTGTACATGAGCCACGAGTCGGGGCAGGTCAACCCAATGGGTATGTAATTTATAGGAACAACATTAAAAACATTCGTTATTTTCACTAAAAGACCAATAAACAAACCATAGTATGATAAAATATAGTTAAATTATTGGACAAATTGAGGTTTTCACTTATTTACAACTTGATTATAGATAAAATATGAGTTAATAAAATGAAAATCCTAAGTAATTTGACTAAGATTACATGTAAGTTAGGCAAAAACGGGTCAAGAATAGGACGGGTCAGGGTAGGTCGGGTCGATGAGAGGTAGCCATGTCCGCCCATGAGACGGGTCGAACGCTTCCAAAACAGGTCAAACAGGTCGAGTAAAACGGATGAGGTTGAAATTGTCGTCCTAAAAGAAAAGAATTGAGATGATGAAGTAATAATAATAAAGAGGTATATATGAATTCTAAAAATTTAACTAATTCCTCGTGTAGAACGTGGTATGTTTGTTTTATGCGTCAATTCCCCCGGAGCAAAAGGGGAAAACAAAGAAAGAATTGTCTTTGGGCCGCCCCTTCGATCGTTCCTACTTTTTCATGGACTTTCCAACAATCGAAATTATTGTACAGCTCTTTCTAGTCTCTACCTACCTTCGTTTGGTCCCCTTCATCCTCCATTCCCCCTGGCCGTTTCGGCCGTATTGCCAAACGCGGCCTTAAATCAACATAAAGAACAGCACCGCCGCGACCACCGGAAGCTGGCCGGCCGACCGGAAGAGGATTAATTAATTAATTGATTAAATATGAAGCCATGTTGCATGCACAATTATATTATTGTTATTATTATTATAAAATGTATCACATGCAAGTGTGCTAGCTGGAGATGATGGGGTGTAGACTCTTTGAAAACGTTTATTAAATTATTACAGATTTGTCAGAGCAGCTCTGTTGTCGTAACTAGTAACTGAATTGTGATTGTATGTGGCACTGGGTCGTGCCGCCCACGTGCTAGCACGGCACGGAACGGTTAGAGCACGACACGAGTACGGGCACGAAATAAATGGGCTAGTCCGGCACGAGCACGAATAATTTATGGGTCGTGCCGGGCCTAAACTTCATGGGCACGAAAACGAGCATGGGCACGACACGGTATATAAGTGGGCCGTGTTGGGCCTAATATTTTCGAGACTTTATTGAGCATAATAACAAATATGTCACGAAAATAATATTTATTTGATGGAAAATAAATATAAAAAGAATTATAGGTTCAAATATTACAAAACACAAGTAGAAAAATAATTATTTGTTGTTGTTAGAATTATCATAAAGATATATACGTAATTAATAACATAGGTTCAAAGAATTAAACTGACGGGCCGTGTCAAGCACGACACGAAATAAATGGACCCGAAGCGTGCCCGTGCCGTGCCGGCCCAAGCACGGCCTAGCGCCCATGTACGATCAATCGGTCTGAAAGGTCAAACCAATATAAATTATTTATTACATACTTTGTGAACACTTAGAAAATCCCATAATTCAACTTGCTGCCTGGTGTATATTTATTTACCAAACACTGATCTTGTGAGCCGCCAAACTTGTTGATATAATTTGAATCGGACTATCAGCCGTCATTAGCGTAGTTAGAGATATAATTTAGTGAGGTCCAAAGAAAATAAAATACAAAGTTTGTCTCAATAGTAAAATCATTGTCTTCGGAAGAGGGGGTCCGTGGTTCTAAATTTTCTAACCACACCTTAAAAATCCACAATTTGTAATTTATATACATTTTTCAGTGGGGTCCATGGACCCCACATCCACTCACCTAGCTCCGCCAACGTCAATTGCTACGACTAGAATAGTCGGGGGTGTACGGCTCAATGTTATTTGGGTTTGGGTTCTGGGCCTGGTCTGTAACCGTTTCCTTTATCAGATTGGATTGGGTTTAGACCCCCACATGGAGAAGTATAAATACTTCTCATCTCCTCGATATAGTGAAACTGGCTCTCCTGCCCATGGACTAGCTAACACACATTGTGTTAGTCAACCACGTAAATCGTGTGTCGTGTGCTTTCTATTTTCATTTTCTTACTTTGTCGATTCCAGCGATTTCCCGATCATAGCAGCGCGGTTATAATTCGATATTGTTACTTGATCTCGCATTCTCTCCTGGTTAATTGATTCGTTATTGGACTGAAGCGCGATTCGATTGAATTATATATGTATAATTCGATACGTTGACATTGATATGAATCTATATGGACGGTAACCTAATAAATATCCAAATCAAATTCAAGCCAAATACGTTTGCATTTCTGTTCAAAACCCACCAGCCTTTCTAACTTTACTTTCATAACTAATATATCATCATTACTTCATCCAACACTTGCTATATATATATAGTTTACTTTCCATTATAATGCTTAATTTTCAGAGCTCTGACCAATTTGATACTAATAGCAGAGCAGATTGTAATGCTTAATTTTCAGAACTCTGATCAATTTTATACTAATAGCAGAGCAGATTTTATTCATACTGCTGCCAAATTATTTGAAACTCTAGCGATCCAGCAGGCAGCAGCCCCTCCGTCCCTCCCTTCTATTCCCACATGCATAATGCATTGCATTTATTCCCTTCTCTAGAAACTGAGAAATGGGCAAGATAGCTAGCTACCAACGGCTTTCCTTCATAGGAGGCAACACCGACAACACAACTGTACTGACCTTTCCTCCACGAGAGGCTACGGTTAGAAACCGAACATAAAAATGTGCTATTTATCTTTCTCGAGAAATAAGTCACATTTATTTGGTGAGATAATTACTCTCATAATCAAAATGTGTTATACTGAATTAATTAACTTGAATTATCTTTCAAATATTAATTGTACTAGCGTGGCCCCCGTCATTTGGCCGGAGGAAGGTGGGTATGAAATTTGATAATGTAATGGGCTGTATAGCTTATTGTTGTATAGTTTTTTTTGGAAACGCGTGATAAAAATAGTGAATTTTAGTAAGAAAGAGACATAAATGATGCAACGAATCAAAAATCAGCCTTATGAACCAAAATCAAGTACCTGTTACCTTGTGAAACAATATTGTTTCTGGTAATATGATGAGGTGGAGTAAGTTTTATAGAAACCGAATTCCAGAAAATCGAATAAAAAATCGTCTATCCCGCCGGTTTTCGAGAAATGAGCATCTCACAATCGTTGCTAGCTTTTACTCGGCCAGTTGGCCAATTAATTTGCGTTATAAAACTTTCATCTTGTCATCATTGTGCTTTCTGGTTTTTTGCCAAGCCATGATAAAATCTAAAGAAATAAAAAATGAACAACACGATTTGGGATAGGAACCACCGTTCATGTATCCCTAGAAAATGGTGGTAAACACGGACTCACCTGCCAAACTGGTTTGGATTGAGATTTGTATCGAGTATCAGGGAACCATGTGATTATAAATTAGACTTGATCAAAACGGACCAAAACTTGAAATTCAGCCTGTTTGACCGACCCATGCCAAACTCTAATTATTCTTTACTTTTAAACTTTCTATTTGAAAATAAAAAATAATGAAAGAAAAGAAATGGCTGCAATTCACCATTTGCACATCACTGATTCAGGAATAAAACTATATAATTTTGAAAGGAAACTGAAAATGTTTAGCATCGTTTTAATGTTAAAAATAACCAAATAGATCTTTCTGATTAGTTTTTTACTAACAAATACCAAACGATTCCCTATAATATACACTATAATTTAATCATTATGATATCAAATAATTACATAATATATATTTAAAATGATAAAAATTGGACTAATTGGGTTGGTCGAGGTTGAACCATTGAATAACTTTAAAATACATTATATTTTAGCCACTAAGATATAAAATAATAGCATAATATATATTATGCTAGAGAAAATAGCTTGTTTTAGAATGACAAACCCATGATGTTCATTTGTTTTACTGGATGGGCAAATCCCGTGTAGGTCAGACCCTTTCAACTCTTTTATTTTATGATTAACGGTTAGCCCATTAGAATCCATGCATTAGTTTATTGTTAAATTTTTTCATTTTAGCAATAAAAAGGAGTATTGTTTTTGTCTTTTCATATATATTTTACCACCATGGAGAAATAAAAGGACTTAAGGAAAAAATTGACACTCCTGGACCCGTTTAAATCCGTATGTGTACGGTAAGCTGGCCCATTCCACAGAGGAAAAAGAAAAAAAATTGACACTCCCTATTCTACCCTTCTTACAAATGCTCATGGAGTAGAAAATTTGAAATGAGGGAAGTGTTTTTTCATGTCTGCGATTATATGTGTTAATTTAAAAAGATACAACAAATGTACTTAGTGTGATTGGTTATGATCTGTGATTAGCTTTAAAATGGTCATGGTTCGAATCATTCTAAGTGTCTTTTTAATGAATAAAAAAAGTAATTGTGAAGACCATAATGTCCTTCCTATTTTCACTCTAGATGTAGGAAATTTGAAATGAGGCTTCAAATTTTCTCATTTAACTTTTATTTATTGAGTAGATTAACAATCCTTCTTATTTTTGCATATAAAAATTGTTTTAGAGTATTCAATCAGAAATTTCATTTATACCTTAGGTATTCATCCTAACAATTCCTAGTTTTTCACTTTGGAAGACCTAATATATATTTAACCCCCTCCCCCTCCACCCAAAATACCAACCCCTTCACCCGACACAATTTTTCTCCTTTGTTCCTGGGAAATCTCGAGCCATGATGAGCGTCTTTTGTTTGTTTGTAGTATTGTAACCTAATCAGCACCGACCGAGTTCTTATTCATTTTTCCATCTCTGATTATATACAATTCTATTTGAAGAACTATACACCTTTATCCAAAATTTCTGGGGAAAACTAGTAGAGTAAGTTCGATGTATGACTTGGTTATTGAGTATCAAGCCGATACAATTGTAATTTGTAACGTTTAATTATTTAGGTGAGATAGGATCAACCAGCGTCACAAATAACCATCTGCGTGTGACAAAATCTTTTCCGGAAGAAATATAATTGTAAACATTGCAAAGTAGAGGATTTATTATGAGCTAATTTTCCCCCTACTAGGGACCGAATCCAACTTTTTGTTGCATAGTTTGGGCCTCGGCCCTCGGGATCAAAACGAGCATAGTGTTGTGAATGTACGGGGCACCGGGTCGTGCCGCCCACGGGCTAGCACAGCACGAGCATGAACACGAAATAAATGGGTAAGCTCGGCACGAGCACGAATAATTTATGGGTCGTGCCGGGCCTAAATTTCATGGGCACGAGCACGGGCACGACATGGTATATAAGTGGGTCTTGTCGGGTTTAATATTTTCGAGACTTTATTGAGTATAAAAACAGACATGGCACGAAAATAATATTTATTTGATAGAAAATAAATGTAAAAAGAATTATAGGTTCAAATATTACAAAACACAAGTTAGAAAAATATTTATTTGTTGTTGTTAGAAGTGTCATAAAGAGATCTACGTAATTACTAACATAAGTAAAAAATGGACAAAGAATTAAACAAAGCCAAATCACACTCGCTATACTTTCAATTTTCTTTTCTCCCTTCTTTGTTACTTTTCTCAAACATTATCGGTAATACTATCTTCCTCCGTCCAATTTTCACCTTATTTTTCATTCTCTCTTTTGTTTTCGTCCTTTTCATTAAACACGAATACGAGCACGACACGAATAGACACGACACGATTCAAACCGTGCCGGGCCTAGCATAGTTAACAAATGGGCTTTGCATGGCACAGCACGGCACGAAAAATGACGGGCCGTACCAAGCACAACACGAAATAAATGGTCCCGAAACATGCCCGTGCCGTGCCTGCCCAAGCACGACCCAACCCATGTACAATTGTGAAGGATGGAAAAATAAAAAATCATTTTACCAACCAAAAAAAAACAAGATATGGGAACTCAACTGATCGAACGAAAAAAAAAATGAATATGATGATGATGCGTTATGGACTGGAGTGCGGATAGGAGAGAGGGAGAGAAGGGCCAGCTCGTAATTTGAGCTCTGGATCCAATCCTGGGGATTAGGGCTCCACTGATTCCCCCCAACTGGCCACTATATATGGAACAAGATAATCAATAGCCTCCAGTCCTGACACAGCAGTAAGTGTGTGTGAGCGAGCGAGATAGCCAGCGCGTGTCCCCGTCTACCAGAAGCTGCGGGGAGGCCAGCTCCAGGATTGGATTGGATTATTATTGAGTAAATAAACCAGAGGTCCTCATAATTTCTCTCCCTCCCTGGAAAATGCACTCTTCCATCCTCTAGCTCTCTTCTTCTTCTTCTTCTTTGACTATTCGCGCTTCTCCCTGTAGAACAGCGTTTTTCTGTATCAGTGAATGACTGAAATCAATTTGCAGTCGCCGCCGGAGCTGCTGAATCCTGAACGCACCACCGCCGCAAGTACGGACTCGCTGTTGGAAAATCAAATTCAAACCACACAGGTCCGTCCCCGCCCCCCCTGATTTCTCCATCTCGTATCGCTAGCTGTAGCTTCGATTTCAATTTTCAATATCTGTCCGTCGATCTTGGTTTTGTCGTCTAGCGGCTGATTTTTTGATTTTGGATTCGCTTTGTCAAGGCGAATTCAATATACTGGAATTGGGTTTGAATGATGATGTTGGAATTGGTTGTGGTCCGGTGGACTTTCCTTTTACGTGGGTGAAAATCTATTGGATGCGTGGTGTGGTGTGGTGTGGCTCCGGTGTACCGGTACTATGGCAGATCATTAATTCTTATTCCGGTTTTCCGATCACGGTGTGAGATATAACGTTACGTTATGTGCAGTTTCTTCTCTACTATGCGCCATACTGAACATTTATTTCTGGGTCCTCTCCCATTTTTGTTTTTTTTTAATCTTTGACGTCATAAATTAATTTTGGGAGGTAAATTACTTCAGAGAGGGTACTGGTCTACTTGCATTAGAAATGACAATGAGTAGTCAGATTGAGTTCGGTTTCTCTAAACCCAAATTCAAGTCAATTAGTTGATTCATTAAGAACATTCGTTAAAATAGCCACTGGGTTTAAGAAGTGCAAACCCAATCTAACCCAACGGGTATGCACGACAACATGAGTGCTTGTTTGCATGGGTACCCATGAGTTTACGAAAATAGCTATACATTAATTTTTTGAACATCCATATCGTAACATTATTGAAATTTCCCGTACAAATATATCTCTATTAAAACTAATAATATTCATAAATTATCCATATTATTAGGTTCATACTTTATACTGACATAAAGACTAATGGTATCCATAAATTCTACATATAGTTCACGTTAGATACAAAATGTTGTCGTTTTGTTTTTTTTTTTTTGGGTGCGGGTTGGGTGGAAAGCGGGTTTGATTTTGGCAAAACCCAAACTCAATCCAACCCGCAAATTTCAAAAGCCGATAAATTCTGCACCTGACTCAAAACTCATTATCACTAAGTTTTGCCGGTTTTGACAAGATTGAGTCAGATTGAGTATTCGTGAGTTCAGATTCAATTGCCATCTCTAACTAAAACGGTACAGAAAATTAAGAATCGTGAAAAAATCATCCATGGCAAGTTATATATATTGTAGGAATATTTTGAAACCTTAAAACCCTACTGATTATTTTGACTGGTACCAGGTTCTCGAGCGGTCAATTCTCCAATAATGTCCACATTTTTTCCTCGTCAGAATCCTCCCCTCCTAATTAAAGTGAACCAACCTTTTTTTTCTCAGCTTAACCTTTTTTTTCTCATCTCCCTCTCCTGCCCAACTCTATCCTTCCTTCTTACAGCTCAATTAGTCATTAGTGATCATCATCATTGTCTTCAACAATGATTAACCTTTTTTTCTTCTTCTTTGTGAACAAATAGAAGACGTAACCTCACCAAGCAACGTGTTGTTGGACTGGGAAAGGAAAGAAACAGAATCTTTTTTTGGTTAATCATTAAGGCACTGCAAATTGTCTAAGAGAGGGGGAAAAATTAGTAAAAGTGTAATGGGTGGCTGCCAGTTAGGATTTGTAGGAGCAGCCACCAGCACAGGCTTGTGTCGTTGTTGGGCCGTATAAGCTTCTTCCTCTATTGGGCCGGTGGTTCAACGTTGAAAGATCAAGTACCATCCCTCTTTTCCCTTTTCCCCACCAAAATTTGGATGGTTGTCTTTGTCGTTTCGTTCTCAATACGAACTGTCAAAAGCTCCCCCACGGCCCACTGTATTACGCGAACCAGTTCTCGTCCCTTTTGTTTTGTTGTGTATAAAGAAAATAGTTATATTACTAAGAATATGCTGGATGCTAGCCACCACTAGCCAGATAGAGATGAAACTTCTTGACGTAGACATGAGTCTACAATTATAACCACAAATGTTTACGAAGAATCAAATAGTTACCTGCAGTTTGGGTTCTGCTACTAGATGCTCATCATAAACACAGGTGCTTTCGTTTAAAAAAGAAAAGATATTTTTTTATGATACAAACTTAATTTATACTTTTTAATGTTATGGTTTTGTAAATAGTGAGATGTGAAAGTAGGAGTTTCTGAATCTAAATTTACAAATTTTAGGTTTGGCAGGAGCCGTCTTTCAATTTGATAGTCTACCATTATTGGTGTCGTTGAGTGAAATCAAATCGAGATCTATGTGTCTTGTTTGGGCTCCCTTGATGGGCAAGTGGTCATTAATATAAGAATAGGAATACTACTTATTTGACCTTGATGGCTGGTTAGATCCAATGTATTATTGTTAATCCTATTACTATAATAATAAAGCCATCATTTTTGGGTCTAAATCACTGACTATACATATCTGTAATTCTGTAGTAGTCATATACTCATTTCCTTTTGCTGTTTCTTTCTCGTCCTAGTGGTTGGTGGTAATCGTCAGTGGCGTAGTCAGACCTTGAATGGACTAGTGGTGTCCTTAAAAATTCCGAGTTAATTGGGATCCTTACATGAGGTAGTATTGATAAAAGTATGAGATCCTATACTTCAAGGATCATGCTAAATGACATATATTTAAAAAGTTTTGGTACCCAGTTTTTTGCTAAGTGGGGTCTAATGATGGCAATTTCAACCCGTCCCGCGGGTATTACCCGACCTGACCCGCGATCGGGCGGGTATTACCCGACCCGCAGTAGCGTGGGGCGGGGCATGGGTATCTACTTTCGACCCGCCTTGCCCCGTCCCGCCCGTTCTAGACTCATTTTCTCAATTTCTTACAATATCTATACATATTTCTCCTATTTTGACTTTTCTTCAACTAGTTAGAGTCGATCTTTCAACTTGTTAGGCTCAATTACCCATTCTATTATCAATATTTTTCATTCTTAAAGTGTTTTCCCCTACGTTTTATTGTAAAAAGTAAAATTTACTTGTATTTTTTTTTTATGAACAACATGTAAGAGTGGGTCGACCCGCCTCGCCCCGTACCCGCGCGGGTTTTACCCGCCCCGACCCGTAGTAGCGTGGGGCGGGGCATGGGAATTGAGGTACCCGCCTCGCCCCACCCCATTGCCATCATTAGTGGGGTCTTAGGACCCCCTCTCCTCAAAGGCTCCCTTCGCCATGGGTAATGGTGCTGATCAGTTAGTGGTTGGACCGGCCAAATTACTGACCTGGTTTGTTCCTGATCAGTTTTGATCCGGTTTGGTTCACGTTAACCCATAACCGAATGCATAATGCGTCTTTTACTCGTCAACGGGACATGTATATGTGACATAAACTGTTAAGACAAACTGGTCCAGTTTCTGTGTACAATCATGGTCTGTAAATAATCGATGAAACTAGAGTTGAACTGCCCTACACTCCTAATTGGTATTAGGTTTGATAGCAAGATTGTAAAACCGCTTTATACGATTGATTTAGCAAGTGACATGGTCCAACGATTTACAACCAGTTTTGACAACCATGGTTGGTAGGTAGCAAGAGTCCCGACCTTCCCCGGTTATCGCTTTCCTATGTTTTTTCCTTTTTCTTTCGAGATGGTATAGCTAATAATAACATTGACGGCTCCCTTTAAACCCACATGCAAATATTGAAACTGAGTTTTTTTTTTTTTTAATTTTCTTTTGTGTACTGGACTGCATCCACATGATCAGTAGTACTTGATTACGAATTACTGAATTGCATCTGTCTCGTTTTCCTAATTCACATGCTCAAGTAGCAGGTACATGTACGAGTGCCTGCCTAGTGGGTTTTAATTTAAGCTCCTGGTGCATCTTCCCTTTGATTTTTCTGGGTTTTCTCCATCTTTCACTTTCGAGCTCTGTCATCACTGTCTCCCTTGGCATGTTTCCTGCAGCTGCCGTCCCGTCTCCTTGATTGAGGGAGAACCCTGTTAGTGTATATATACACACACAGCATTTTCATACATACAGAAGATCAGGGGAAGAAAGAGAGCTCCTCGAAAACCAGAGTAAAATACATTGTAGGCTTTGATCAAACCAGAGAGTTGGGGAGAAAAAATGGGTTTCTGGACATTGCTTCAGGTGGCTTCAATGCCAGTCATACAAGTCCTCATCGTCGGCCTCTTGGGTGCCTTCTTGGCAACCGAGTACATCAATGTTCTCCATGCTGATGCTAGAAAATACTTGAACAAGGTAAAACCCCCTTCTCTCTTCTCCCCAGCTGCTCCATCGATCATCGTTTGATGGATCTATAGATTCGGAAGGGTAGTGATGATGCTTGCTTCCGCTGCAATACTTCAGGTTGTGTTCACGGTTTTCACTCCCTCGCTCATGTTCGCCATTCTCGCCAAAACCGTCACTCTCGAGGACATCATCTCATGGTACGCACGTAGGCTTAAATGCTTAATCCAACTTTGGGTTTCCAATTTCCTCTGCAGCGAAACCATGGTTGATTTGATTGAATACCCACATATTGTTTTCAATCTGCTGTTTCAGGTGGTTTATGCCAGTCAACATTCTGCTGACCATGTTGTTTGGCGGTCTTCTGGGATGGGTGGTCGTCAAAGTTTTGCGCCCCAAGCCGCATCTCGAAGGCCTTCTCATTGCTGTCTGTGCCACAGGTCATTTAACTGTCTCGTGTTTAAGTTAATGTCATCTTCTGCAACTTACAATGTGCAATGCTAAACCTTCTCTCGGTCTCTCTGTGTGTATTATTTTTTTCAATCTTTAGGGAACTATGGGAACCTGCTGCTGATAGTTGTGCCTGCAATATGCAAAGAAGATGGCACTCCATTTGGGGACCATGCAACATGCGGCTCCATTGGACTCTCATATGCATCATTCTCTGCTGCGGTAAAGGCTGATATCGTTATGTGAAAGGAAAATGGCCACATCTTTTGAATTCGAGTTTAATTTTGGTACAACTCAATTCGTTATATGTAGCTGGGCAGCATCTACATCTGGACCATTGCTTACCAACTCGTCCGCACCTCAGCTGTTAAATTCAAGGCACTTCAGATGGCCGAAGAGGCCTCCAAACTGCCAAACGACGATCTGGAAGCCACTCAGGGGACTCTTCTTCTTAAGGGAGACGATGCACAAGTTCAACAAACTGTAAGTTTCCCCTCTCGCTACTAACCAACAGTCTTTTTAGGCAGCACTGCTGCTGACTCTCATTCTTCAACTCTGTCTCCTAATCACTCGCAGGGTGTTTCACTTCACTCGGCGAACGACCTTGGAGAAGGCAAGACTTCTGGTTGTACTAAAGTTATGGAGGTGCTTCATCAGATATTGCACGAGCTCACTGCTCCTCCCACGCTTGCTACAGTAAGAGTTAAAATGGTTTTTCTGGTTTGCTCGTCATGGTTAGGGATCGGCAGCTAATGATATCAAGTTGAAATTTTGGATGATCCATATCAGATATTTGGGTTCTTGTTTGGAGCTACTACGTTTCTGAGGAACCTGGTAGTGGGCGAGAATGCACCCTTGCGTGTGATCCAGGACTCCATTGCATTACTTGGGTATGATTCCTTCTGATCCTCTTGTTGCTTCCAAAATTCTTTCTTTATGAGGAAGTGAACAACATCCATTGTCTTCCGCAGGGATGGCACAATTCCCTCCATCACCCTTATATTGGGAGGCAACCTCACTCAAGGTAAGCAAAATCAAATATCCAAAACCCACCTATTCATTTCCTCTTTATATGCTTCCTCTGCAACTATAATCAACACTCGACTTTTACAAGCTTGCTGTTGTCTTTCCTCGTCTTTCTGTTACAATAGGGTTGAAGTCTTCAAACATCAAACCATGGATGATCGCCGGAGTGATCTGCGTACGATATGTATTTCTGCCTGTGATCGGGATATGTGTGGTGAAGGCAGCTTCCAGCCTAGGGCTACTCCCTTCTGATCCTCTGTTCGCCTATGTGCTAATGCTTCAATACAGCATCCCACCTGCCATGAACATTGGTAAACAAATCTCACCAGCCCCTTTCTCTCTATACATACATAATACAAAATCGATCCTTTCTAACGATAATGTAATGCAGGCACCATGACGCAGTTGTTTGATGTGGCTCAAGAAGAGTGCTCAGTGATCTACCTATGGACTTATTTGTTTGCAGCCGTTGCGCTCACCTTGTGGTCTACAGTCTTCTTGTGGATACTGTCCTGATAAAAGAAGAAAGGGCATTATTCGATTGGGAAGTCAGGAAGTTGTGTAAGCTAAGCTAGAGGAAGGTGTGAATGAAATAAAAAGCGTTTGTCAGAAATTGTTTAGGTTGTGTGCTGCTGGGATAGTTGTTTGCAGGGTTGAAGCTGCAGCAGCTAATTGGTTTTGATTCTTATGGCTATATATGTATTTGATTAGATGGGAGGGGAAGTGTGGTTTAGTATTGTTGTAGTAAAGCCAGGGCAGGGCAGCTTTCCTTGTGTGAAGGAATGCAAGGTAGCAATTTGTAAAATTTTGTGTGCCTGTCACCATATACTATCTGTTGAAAGAAATTGGATTTATCATGGTTTCATATAGTGAAAACTTGTTTTGGGGGAAAGTGAAATATGCAGTACTTTTTCTTGAGTGAATCAATGATAAATGGCCTAAAATTAGTATGAAAAATGATTTCTCTCGAGTTAATTAAGTGAAATCTTGTGTGAAAAAAATGAGTGGAAAAAAATGACTTCATAATCCATTTTGGAAGACTATGATATCAGGGTACCTTATATGAGGATATCATATTAAGAAATCTATATCTTATTAGGAATCTTGAGAGTTGGGAGAGATGTTCTAAACAAAGAAGTTGAGGGAGCTGTAGGTCTATAAGAGGGTTAGAAATTGAATTTAGGGTTAAATCGATTAAGAATGTGTTTATTACTATTTTTTTAATCCTGCATTGCTTCGGTTTCAGGGGTAGTTGTAGTTTATAGTCAAATTAATTATGTTAATTAAGTTGGTTTAAGTCGGGATTCAGTGATGGAGTTTTGGACTACCCATGGTCTCATGCGACCTCAGTGTACAACCCTCTAGAGGGTGTTAGTGCCGACATCTCTATCAGTTCAACAGGGCCACATCCTCACACCCCCCTTCGCCAACCCTCAAACATGACATCACCCTAATAGGGTCAGTGTGCGTCCATTAATTCATTATCATTGGCCCCAAGCATGAAATCACCTAGGGTGTTGGTGCACGTCACCTAGGTGTCAAGCATGACATCATCTTAACGGATATGCATGTGCATCCCCTCATCTTAGTCTCCACATGTCAAGACAATCAAACAACCTTGGTGTCAAGCATAATATCATAAAAGATAAAAGGGAGGTCAATATGAATTCCCAAGTTCGACACTATCTTCACTAAGATAGTGATCATCAAGGTATTTCAGAGTCCAACAGGTGGAACCAACCCCAGAGTCGGAAGTTGGAAAAAAAGGCGCGATAGATCGGGCAAAGAGAAGTAGCAGCCGCAGTTGACTATCCAAGCAGTGAGTTCATGGTCATCAGGGTCGTGAATTGGAGCCACAAACCGCGAACTGGCAAGGTTCCAAAGAGTTTTTAGAGGTTACTGACGCAGAGGCTGTTCACGGTCGTAAGACCGTGAACGGAAGCCATGGACCGCGAACCAGTTAAGTGAAGCAGCGCGTTTTGGATTGAGTTCACAGTCCCTGCCATTAGTTCACGGCCGTGAACTGGGCACGACATGTGTATAAAAGAAGAGCTGAAAGGAGGAAGAAGGGAGAGCCCAAAGTGAGAGAAACCTTATTCTTCTTGAAAACCTAGAGAGAGAAAGCCACGAACCAAGAGGGAGAAGAGGCTAGGGTTTGCTCCAAGTTAAGATTTGGGAAGTTCCTCTTCAAGAGAGGATCTCTACAAGCACAAGGAAGGATTGAGACATCATAATGATGGTTTTTCCTTTTTCCTTTGTGTTTTTCCTTTTTCTAGCATGGAGTAGTCTCCTTTTCACTTGGGTGTTGTAGAACCCTAACTTCTACCATGTAATTGATTGTGTGGATTGAATGATTATGTGTGGGTGGTGTTTAATTTAAGATTTGAGGTATTTTTCATGGTGATTGTGCATTGTGTGTGCTTGGCAATCTATTGTGCTATTCTAACCTAGTTTAGAGGAAAACCCCCTTATCTTAAGAGGCTCAAATTGAGCTGGGTTTTCTTGGGCATTCCATGCCTCCTATCTAGGTTAATGTAGGGCAAACCTCTAAACTCAAATTGAACACCTAGGTTGATTGTGATTAAGCCGTCCGAACCCCGGTTTGAGGAAGAAGGTAAGTCAACCCTCAATTGATTAGGCCAAGAGAGCTACAATTGTAGCCTATAATACATTCCTTGGCCTAGTAATTGAGAGTGTGGTTTCTAACCATTGTTGCTCCTCCTAGCGGTTCACAATCGCCTTGTCGCACACCGATTCATTCGATCCCACGGTTCATGGTAGTTAGTTAGGGGGAAACAACTTACGAGTGAAGCTTCTCACCAAGAGTTTCAACCCTTTTACTTTTCAAGTCTTGCTTTTTAATCGTAGATTGTAGAGATTTTCACAAACAACGTTCCGCTAAGTAATGTTTCAAACAATCGAAGTAAGGGTACATGGGCCGGCCTGGGTTGATATTTAAACATACTTGCCCTATATTGCAACCATTTAAGGTTTATACTTGGGCCTTAGGTGGGATTTAAGTGTGATATTCTGGTTTTTTCTGGAGAGGCGATTTCCGGCGAGCCTCCGTCGAGCTTACGACGACACCTCACCAACCAGTTTTCGTGCAATTTTTCGGCTTCCTCGCCCTCTCCTCACTTCCCCTTCAATCCTACTTGCGTCTCCATGTTGGTTTTTTACCTTAGTTTTGTTAATTGTTGGAGAATCGGATTAGGGTGTGAAGATTTAGTGAATTGATTGTTGAATGAAGAAATAGGGCGAGGGATTAGTTGATTAATGATGAATGAATGTTGCGTGTGATTTGCATGAGCTTAATTGAGTCTTGGTGGGGTATAATTTAGGTCCCATTGTTTTTAAATGTGAAAATTTTGCCTACCAAGTGCAAAAATGTGAATGAATGTGAACATTTGGTGTTTAAGTTGTGGATGGAAGCCGTCGTGGCATGGTTCGGGTTTGATATTGTGTGGATATTGGCATGGTTCTTCAATAGGTCACCAAGAGTTTCAACCCTTTTACTTTTCAAGTCTTGCTTCTTAATCGTAGATTATAGCGGGTTTCACAAACAACGTTCCGATAGGTGATGTTTCAAACAATCGAAGTTGGGGTACATAGGCCGGCCTGGGTTGATATTTAAACATACTTGCCCTATATTGTCCCATTTAAGGTTTATACTTGGGACTTAGGAGGGATTTAAGTGTGATATTCGGGTTGAGTCAAAGACATGAAGGAGGATGACAACTTAAGTTTTATAGTGGAAGATGCGAGCCAGAGTGAGGCACAAGAGATGGTGGTGGTAGTAGGTTGCAGGGGGAGAATCATGTGGAATAGGAGACGAATGATGTTGATGATGAAGATAACAATAGAGAATGTGGGAATGAAGATGCCCCGAGGGGGCAATTGGATAGGCATGTGGACATGAAAGAATTTGATGTAGACGAAGTCGGGGATGTTTAAGAACCTATGACGAATATTGTTGATTAGGTGTATAGAGAGATGAAAGTGAGAAAAAAGTGTCAGGATGGAGCGACAGGTGGGGGGTCATAATGACATGACACTCAATATAATGGATTCATCCAACAACAACAGTTTGAAACCCATAACACTCCTTGAAGATGAACGTAAGGATCCTAATGACTGAATCTAGTTGTGTGTAATGAAAATGTACCCTCACTGAACATGTGTTTGTATACAGGTGTACCAGTCGTCAATGTTGAAACTGTACCATCACCACCATCATTGAGCACCCACAGAATCAAGGTACTCATAAAAAGACCACAACGGTGTGTGAAATGGATCCCCATATATTTTGAGCTTTCTAAGGTGGTGAAAGCCAAGATTTTTGAGGAATTTAAACCAATTATTGAGTTTGCATTGTCATATTGGAGGAAAACATATGCGATGGTAGATTGTATTTGGTTCAACAAGTTCATTAAACATTGAAATTGACATTGACATATGCTTCATTTGTAGTGACACCATATTTCACAAGCATTTTTAAACTGTCTTAATTTAGACACAACCAAGGGTGAACGGTAAGATAATAGGACACAACTTTGACTCCCACCTAGGGGGTAAGTTTCAAATGTTTGTCACTATTTTCTTAGTACAAAAAAATACCAAATGATTTATATGTACACCATTGTATGAATTGAATCATGCACATATTGATCTGAGTAAGGGGTGATGTATTGATGAGATGAGTGTTGAATGATAGAGTATTTTCACTTAAGATTCGATTTAAGTAAAACCCTTTATAGATGGATCTAAGATTTCTAATTGTGATATGTGTGTCTGATCTCCCATTTTTCCTAAAGAACCAATGAACCATCTGCAATTTAAAGTATTTTTTCGACATTTCACTTTGTAACCTTGTGTTTATTTCAGTTTTTCTTCCCAGTGCTTCTGGTTGACCACCATATCTGCTTTGTCATTGACATGAAGAAGTGGGTGTATTTTTTTTGACAACATATCATGTCAAAATACCTTAAAAAATTGCTCCCGCTAGAACAACGAGTTCTAGAAATTGACAGACACTTCATCAGGTCCCTGGACGAGGCTGTTGACTTTATTGACTTTGAATAAGAGGTTCATGATGACCCATAGTTAACCGATTGAAGAAGTTGCATGCTTTTCTGCTACCTCTTCATGGAACAATATGACGACCACTTCATATTTGAGGAGGATAATTTATGGAAGGTTCATCCAACACTCACTACCTAGTGTGCAAGAATAACTCCTCTCATCTAACAGACGAGTAAAACTTGAGGTTGGAGTGATTAAGAGGCAAAGTCAAAGAAATATTCAACGTCATGAAAGCAAAAGGTGGGGATGGCAAAGGAAAAGGGGGAAAAGGCCACTCAAGGTAACTGTTGATTAGATGGGTAGGGTTATATCATGATATTTTGTGAGGACTCATGAACATTGTTCAATCTCGTTAATATAAACGAATGGAATCGGTAATATCCCAATACTAAATAGTGAAATCTCAAATATTAAATAGTACCTTAAACTCAATTCCAATCTCAATCTCAAAATAAATTTGGTATCCCAATCTCTAAATTTTGTTTGATATCGATATTATATCAAATACCAAATCAATTATCTACAAAATTACAAATCAAATAACACAAATGTAGCTCCATAAACCGTTGTCAAAACATATAAAAACAAACAATGTTGTGGTTGCAAAACAAATAGAATAAACTCTCAACCATAATAGCAACATAGTAGAAAAATGTGGTGCCTGAGAAGCATATTAACAAACTAAACCAACAAACTGAAACAGGAAATGACTAAGCAACCATAAACACACTACAGTAACAAAATAAACTTAGTATGTGTTGTCAAATAGTGAGGAACTGAGCTATGTATAATTAAGTGATCATCTTGACGATTGAGGGTTTGGTAGTAGTGAGTGAGAGAGTCTAGTTGAGATGGATAAAATATAAAATAGTTTATATTTTGATATTGATTGGTATTTCAGTATATATAGATCCCAATTTCTAATACCAAATAACACTCATTATTCAATCACAATCCCAATCATAAAAAATACATATATTTGGTATACCAAATATCGATAAATTCAATACATTATTCTGTATATCCTAAATACCGATACAAAACTTTCGACCATAAATATAAGCGTTAGACGAAAGTGCCAAATTATATATATATATATATGGGGAGTTCTACGGTACCCTGGGTGAAATTCAGGATACCGTATACCTTGAGTAAGAAAACGTTATTCAGAACTTGAATTGACTGATCTTTCGGATATGATACTACACTCTAACCCTTAAAGATCAAAATCTAGGTCTTAATTCTCTAATCTTATACCACAAGATCAATTTAATTAGAAACAATAATCGACGGTTATGATTCGTCCAAATATAGGCAAAAAAATCAATTCACCATCTTAGGGTTTATAGTTTATGATTTAGATCATTTGGACCTAAGGTTCACTCATTAAGGGTTAGGACATAGTATCATGCCCAAAAATCCTGCTAATTCGAGGTCTAGATAGCGTTTTCATACTCAAGGTATGCGGTACCCCGGATTTCACCCGGGGTATAGTAGAAGGCACCATATATATATATATAAACTAAATATAAACTAGATGACTGCCAAACATGGTTGTCACGCCGGCCGGCGTGCCACCGGTTGTACCAGGTTCAACCGATACCAGTTATAAAACCGGCGTGACACCACCGGCATGATCGATATACGAATCTCTAAGTAAAATGATCTTATTTTAGCGAATTTAATTGATAAAAATTATTTCATTATTTATTTTATGAGTATAAAAGTTAAATATTGATGTTATTTGTTGGATTCAAGTATAAATATTTAGATATTGACGTTAAATGTCATGTTTAAATATGAGGATTTATAATTTTATTTGTAATATTGACCGGCATGAACCGGCACAAATCGGTATGTGCCACCGGTCGAACCATTCCACTTGCTAAACTGGCACACTGGTATAAACCGGTTTGACAACCTTGCTGCACGATGATCGAGTTTGGAATGCTGGCTTTTTATAATTTTATTACGACCTGAAAAATATAAGTGATCACTCTGTCAGGTTTTGAAGATTGAATTACTATTTTGGTACATTTGAGTATAGTTTAGTGACCACTATGAAATTCCTAGTCCTGACTCTTGTTCAACGGAAGTGACTCGGACTTTGGGGCGTGTTTGACGAACGACCCTATAGTTCCCAGAGTCGGAATGTGGTTAGTTGGTTCAGACTTCAGGCGACGGAGAAAGAAGAAGAAGGAGATTTTCCGGAGCGCGGTGGCGCGGTTGTCGTCGGGCGTGGGGAAGGAAAGGAATCCCAACATCTAAGAAGGTAACAGTAATCTGAAATTAGGGGTTTTGGTGGAGAAGAAGCAACCTTGGGGGAATCTTTTGCCGCGCCCTGCTTCTTTTGCGGCGTTTGAGGATTTCCTCTTCGGCTCTTCCTTCAACCCCTCCATCAGTTCTATGTATTAAACCCAAATCACTCCTCCTTCCTCTTCCCTCTCCAACTCCAATATCACATCTCCGCCGCCGCCTCCGCCGCCGTACCAACGGACCCGATCCGACCTGCCCATATGAAACCCCTCCGCCCCTTTTCCTACCTCCTATGCATCTTCTCGTTCCTAATCGCTGCAAGTGCAGTGCTCTGCTCCGCCGCTGCTGCCGACGGCGAAACGGCGGTGGTTCTTCCATCAGCAGCAGCTCCACCGTGGGCGGTTGACTTCAGTCATCGGTCTCCATCTGCCCGCTCTCTCAAATCCTTCTCCTCGTAAGCCCACTTTTACAGATACCCAAATCAAAATTCAGCTGCTTTTTTTCACTTTCTATGTTTACAGTTATGATTCAAATCTCCGGATTTTGTTAAATTCACCTTGTGCAGGGAATCGGATGATGATTCTTCTTCTCCGGCTGAATTAGTTGCTCTGCTTAACGGCACTATTTGTCTCGAAGAACCCATCTCCGGGAAGGTTCTATGGTCCTTCTCATCTGGCTCTCCGATCTACTCTTCCTATCAATCCCCTTTTCTGGGCCAAGCCGCCGGCGATCAAGACAACAGCATTTTTGGACCCAATTCTGCTTTCTTCCTTGACTATGGAGACGACTGGCAGCTCTACGCCCACGGCAAACATTCTACCCGAATGGTAATTACTAATTTATCTCCTTTTTCTGCCACATTTAATCTTTCACTGATCACTTTTCATCGTTCTATTGTGTAACTCTTGAGCAGAAACTTCCCAAGGGCATCGACGACTTCATTAAGATAACACCGCATATTTCCGAGGATGGAACAGTAATCCTGGGCTCCAAGAAAACCACTGTGTTTGCTCTTGAGGCCAAGAGTGGGAACTTAGTCCGAACTTACAGCTCCCCTGATTCGTTACCACCACATCAGAGATATGGTGGTGGTGATGTGGAGAACAGTAATGTCCGACCAGCATCTAGCTCCAAAGATGCTGCTGTTGACATGATTTATGTCACGAGGACAGATTATGCGCTGGAAACTTTTGGTCCCAATTCGGATAAGGTATTTTGGAATGTGGAAGTGGCAACTGTGGAGGCTGCTTTTATTTGTAAGTATGATGCTGCAGTTGGGGACGGTGATTCTGTTGACACGTCGGGTTTGCTTTGTCAATCAAAGCGGCTGGTAGTTCGAAGGCAGGATAAGCCGCCTCAAGCTTCAATCCCAGCTATTGATGGTGAAGAGAAGCTAAGGCTTCCTAGTTCTAAATCTGGCTTTGCTTCTCCTACACAATCTGAAGGGTACAAGGTGTCAGATCTTGTTGCTGATTCTGAAGATACAGAAGGAATGCTTGGTTTGTCAAATGATCCTGGGGAAATTGTGCAGGAGGAAATACGAGTGCTCCACAGTTTCAAGTGGTCAAAGTTTATATTTTTCGGTTTGTTTGCTATCACCTTTTCATTGGCCTTTGTGTTTTACCACCGTACGCTGCTGGCAACTGAGAAAGTATCGTTGAAAGGTCATTCTTTGTCTTCTAAAAAGAAGAGGAATAGAAGATTGGGGAAAAAGACTAACAGCGATGCAGATGTTAATGAGGATGGTAACAGAATGTGGTTGAATCTTAATCAACTTACTGATGATCATGATGTGAATGGGCGTAGAATAGGTAAGTTATATGTATCAGATACTGAGATTGCTAAGGGAAGTAATGGAACCATAGTGCTCGAGGGTATTTATGAAGGCAGGAGGGTTGCTGTTAAAAGGCTTGTCCAGGCTCATCATGATGTGGCGTTCAAAGAAGTTCAGAATCTCATAGCATCAGATAGGCATCCAAACATTGTTCGATGGTATGGTGTGGAGTATGATAAGGATTTTGTTTATCTGTCACTAGAACGGTGTACCTGCAGCTTGAATGATTTGGTCCAGATGTACTCCCGATCTTCACCTTCCTCTGCGAGAGAACCAGCTAGGGTAGCTGCAAAAAATAATTCAGTGTTGGTTTCAGTTGCGACTGCTATGAAGGACCTCAATTTGTGGAAAGAAAATGGTCATCCATCAGCTCTTCTCTTGGCACTCATGAGGTAATTGACTAATTGTTGCCGCAACTGAATTGATAGTATGGATGGTTTTTATTTGTGATTGATTGTGGCAAATATAGAGATTCGCAAAAGCTATTTTGAAATCTATCAAATCGATTTGGTTTTAGTTAAAGCGTTACCATGTTCTCATCGCCTCTTATGATTTGTACAACAGGGATATGGTATCTGGACTTGCACATTTGCATGAGCTAGGAATAATTCACAGGGACTTGAAGCCGCAAAATGTATTGATAAGCAAGGAAAGATCTTTGTGTGCAAAGCTTTCTGACATGGGCATAAGTAAGCGGCTGCTAGAAGATATGTCTTCGTTGGGCCATCAAGCAACTGGTGAGCTTTTATAGTTTAGTCTATGAAATGGAAATAATACCAGTTTAACACATATATGCTAATAGAAATCAGTTTAATGACATTGTAGGATGCGGTAGCTCAGGTTGGCAAGCGCCTGAACAGCTTCTCCATGGGCGCCAAACACGTTCAGTGGATTTATTCGGCTTAGGCTGCGTCTTCTTTTTCTGCATCACTGGTGGTAGACACCCGTTCGGCGAACCACTCGAACGTGATATCAATATAGTGAAGAACCAAATCAATCTATACTTGTTAGAGCATCTGCCGGAGGCTGAGAATCTTATTTCCAGTTTATTAAACCCTGAACCTGAACTTAGGTATTATTTGCTGTGGAATCTTTCTTTCAGTCAGTGGCATTATCCTTCTATGAGCAGAAAAGTACCTGCATGCTTTCATGGTTGCTCAAAACTTATTCATTGACAATGTTGCCTCTATTTATGGTCAGACCAAAGGCGCACGAAGTTCTGCAGCATCCCATGTTCTGGAGTTCTGAGACGAGACTTTCATTTCTACGAGACACCAGTGACAGGGTGGAACTAGAAGATCGAGAGAGCAATTCCGATCTTTTGGCAGCATTAGAGAGCGTTGCACCGACGGTGCTGGGAGGCGGAAAATGGGATGAGAAGATGGAGCCCTCGTTCATTAACAACGTCGGCCGTTATCGTCGGTATAAGTATGACAGTGTGAGGGACTTGCTGCGCCTCATGCGCAACAAGCTGAATCACTACAGAGAGCTCCCTGAAGAAATCCAGGAGGTAGTTGGACCAGTTCCAGACGGCTATGACGGGTATTTCGCCACTCGATTCCCAAAGCTGTTGATCGAAGTTTACCAAGTTGCTCGGAGATACCTTGTAGAAGAGGAATGCTTTCGCAAGTACTTCGAAACGGTTTGATTTGGATTTCGAGGTGCTCTGTAGCTGCCATGGAGCCTGGAAGCAGCATGTGATTATATTATAGGTACTGTAAATAAGATCTGTAAGACTTCTAATGATACTGTAATCATATTTCAAGCAACTTCATCTAATATAATTTCCTTCAGCCTGATCCGATCTTGTGCACTGTCCTATATCCACTGGCTGCTTTGAGTTGAATTGTATAGATGTGTGAACTGTAATGAAGAACGTGACTTAGACTCCGTTCTCAATACCAATGTCCTTGTTTGTAGAGAACTCAACCTGTCTTCCTGACTTGGAATCTTGAGTCTCCCCATTAGATGCTCTTTCAAGCGACCTCCTCCTGGACCGGCTTGCAACATTCTCCTCTTTCTCATCCACGAACGAAAAGAAAGTCTGAAGACGAGCAGATGCTGATGAGAGGGAGAGAGCAGCGGAGGAGGAAGAAGAAGAAGAGTGGGACATGTCTGCCTGCTGGTGGCGGCTAAACTGTCTGGCAATGTTGAGAAAATATAGCAGGAGGGCTATCAGGCAAGCCAAGCCACAGATGAGGAAGAGTCCCCAGAAGCTTGAGAGCTGAAGTCTGTCTACTTGAAAAGTCGTGGTTTGCGAGCTACAAGCGCTGCTCATCAGCCATTTATCATGAATCCTCTGAAGATCTCCATTTTCGGACAGCTTGAGAATGGCAGTGGACAGATCAACTGCCAGTGGAGAGTCCCTCGGGAAGGCCTGCAGGCACCATAGACAACATGTATTACAGAAACAGTAGCAGTACTTGCGAACAAAGAGTACTAGATAATAGTAGTAGTACTTACAAATCCCCAGCCGTTCTTGGTGAACTCTTGACCTACGATACTGAAGTCGCACCTGGTTGAAAGGAATAGTTCGAGATATGACTGTTCGTCGACTACAGCAGCAACGCCGCCTTTGTGAGGACCAGCTTTCAGGGCCCTTTCGCAGTCCTCGGGGCCCTTGAGTGGGACCATCCTGGATTCATGGAAACCAAGTTCGTCAACCAAGTAGTCCCGGGCGAATGAACCTTGTTGGTAACCAATGGGATCGTTGCTAGTTCTCAGGGTCTCGATTCCTTTGATGGGTGAAGAAAGCTGCTGCACTGTTAAGATTGAGGTCAGGCTGGCCGTGTAGCTTGAGTTGATTATCAGAACAACGAACAGCCATATGATCAGCACAATCCGCCCCAGGGTGCTCACGGTGTTCTCTTCTGTACACATGAAAGGTTAGGAAGTTTGAAGAGATTGGATGAGGAATACAAGCACATTAATTTTGATTGCTTTCAAAATCCACTTACTATGAGCGAAGAACAATGTTGAAAAGCTGAACCTGCAGAATCAAATTAAGAAACTGTTAGTTACTCGTTTCACCTATAACCTGCTGAACCTACAATCGTCTCTAATTCTGCCATCCAATATACTTACCATATAATGGTGATGACTTGTCTTCTCGGCGGGCCTCTGAAGTCGTCATTCAGCCGGTGCTCCAAGATCCAAATCACCGCCCCGACGATGAGGAAGAAGACACCCGTGACCACCCACATTGCCGGAGTGAAGGGTCGCATGAACGCCCACTCATTAGAGGTCCTCGTCATCACCGGCGCCACCACCACCAGCCCAGACTCGATGTACGGCTGCGTAAAGTCAGCCATCTTCGTCCGGTTGGTGATGATGGCAACGTCGCCGACTATGCCGTCATAAACCCCCGCTGCCATCAGACGGACGAGCTCCGTCAAGCTGGGGTTGTCAACTCCGTCACCAAACGGGATCAGCTTGTAAGGCACGGCGTACGGCAACAGGTTGACGGCGGCCGTGAAAACGTCGATGCAGTACCCCGAAAACATATCGGTTCCGGGTACCTGAGTGATGAATTCACGGTAGCTGACCCGGTTTGGAACCCCGATCGCCAAATGTCTCCCGTTGTTTGGGAACACCCATCCCCGAGGCTTCTGGGTAGTCTTCCCGGGCCAGAAAACGGGTCCCAGATGCTGGTTCGAGCTTGACCGATTGACCGGCTTCGAGTAGAGCGTTTCCGGCGGGTCAACGGAGAGACCCGAGTGATTCGACCAGTACCCGATCCTCTGATGTCCTGTCCCGATCACATTGATGACTTCGTATGCGGGGCGAATCAAGGTGTCCTTCTCTGGCGGCTCGAACTTGACCCGACCCGTCACTCCCAACATATCCACGTTTAAGATGCTCTCCAGCAGCTGTTTCCCGCCGTCCAGCATACTCATGGCATCTAGTCGTAAGTCTCCTCCCCCGAGCTCCGCTAACCTAAAGAAAGCATAAACCAACGCAGCCGTTTCTCTCAGGGACATTATACCAAACACCTGGTGTGCATAAAAAAGAGAGTAACCAAACCAACCTGGAATCCTTTGAAAAGCTGACATTTCCCCCCTGGGCGAAGAACGCGTCGAGTGCCCGGGCCAGGATCCACACCGTGTCGTAAGCGTACAGGCCGTAAGCACTGAGCCCCATCCTCCCGGCGCCGGCTCCGGCGGTCAAGTTAGGCCACCTGGACGCGAACTCCGCCTTGAGCTCTGTATCCGGGGTGTGCATGCGAAGCGTGAGGACGCCCTGCACATCCTCCGCCGCCTCGGGAGCAAGATCAAGCTCGGTGTCGAGAATCGTGGAGAACCAATTGGTGGCTATCCAGACGTAGCCGGCGTTCATCATCCCGAGATACCGGGCGACGGTGAAGACCGTCGGCCCCCAATAATCCGGCACGTGGAGGACCAGAATCCGCGACTCGGTCAAAGCGACCTGGACCAGGACATCGGTGATCTCCTCCCGCGTGGCCTTGGGGCTGAGCGGCGCCTTGAACGAGATCTTGCATCTCTTGGCCGCCAGCTGGTCGCCGAGCGCCGCGATCCCGTTCCTGCCGTGGTCGTCGTCGCCGTAGATCGCGATCACCTCCCTCCACCCGTAGTGCTCCACGATGTCGGCGATGGCGGCCATCTGGTAGAGGTCGCTCTGCGACGTCATGACAAAGAACGGGAACTGGAGCGAGTTCAGCGTCGGGTCGGTGGCTGAGAAGGAGAGCAGCGGGACCTGGAGCTCGTTGGCGATAAACGACAGCACGTGAGCTGTGACCGACGACTGTGGGCCGATTACGGCCACCGTCTTGCTCTCCATCAGCCTCAATACTGCAATCAAATTAGGGATTCGAGACACTGTTAAGCAACAAATTAGCAAACAACAAAAATGTTGATTGAGATTAAGATTAAGATTAAGATATGCATTGCCTTCGACGATGCCGAGAAAGCCGCTGAAATTGGTGTCGTGCACCGCCGCAACGAGCTTGGTTCGGGGGAGAACGGAGGGGTCGGAGTTGACGTCGGAGACGGCTGCCTGGATTGCGATTTTGGAGACTTTACCAATGATGGAGCCGAAAGAGAGAACCACTCCGATGTTGACGGACTCCGGCGGCGGGGAGGAGACGGCGCCGTTCAGATGAGCGGCGAGAATCAGGCAGGAAAGCAGGAGTGGAATCTGCATGGTGGAATTGTGGGCACAGAGAAACCCCTGGAGTGGAGGGGTTTTTGGAAGGAGAATGTTTGGTGGTGTGGGTCTGTTTCCTTCCTGTTTTCCACTGGCAGCCGTACCGAAGGCTTTTTTTTTTTATAACGGAATATAATTTCGGCAGGTGCTGTATTAGTGTCACTATTAGGATATAGTGGAATTTTACGTGGTTGTATTCATTAATTAATTACTGGCCGTAGAATAGCTGACGAGGTCGAGGATACGTGTGGTGGATCGATTCTGCAGGTAGTGGCGGGAAAAGAGATAACGTTTTAACGGGGAACGGAGAATGCGTTGGCGGTACAGTGAATGGCGGTGGAGCTTGCTTTCCGTCACTTTCGCCATTGTTGGCGGTACAGTGAATGGCGGTGGAGCTTGCTTTCCTCCACTGTGTAGTTACAGTAGTTAGCGTAACACCAAGATTTAGCAAAGAACTAGACTGTTTGTAAGACTAACGGTATTGTGAAGCCAAATAGTGGATTTCTGAATAGAAAACCCACAACGACTTCCAAATTCATTGAAACTTTGGATTTTCAAAATCCTCATGCCCATCAATCAATCGGTTGATGATAGAAAATTAGGAATTGGGTTGCACGACTCATTGGCCGATGGATTGTTGAAAGATGATCGATCATTCCAATTCCATGAGGCAAACAACCTCCTAGTGTATTAATTTGATTGTAGTAGATGCATAACGGTATGCATAAAAGGAAACCGAGGAAGATGAATATTTGACTATTTGTAATAGGTTGAGACCTTGTCATCTGTTAATTGGTAGAGAATTACATGCAGAAAATGGATGAGTTTAGGATGAATATTTGTTATGGCTGAATTAGAGTTGGTTCCAAGAATTAGGGAATTATAAGCAAAGTTACCAAACCAATTCCTTGTTGTATTACTATGAAGAACCAATTGATCCCAATATTTCGAGTTCCTAAGAGGTTTAATTGTGGATTTTATACTGTTTACTAAAACACCCTCTCAAACGAAAGCCACCATTACCATGTCAAGAAACAGTTGGTCTCAATAACCGAGTTGGTCCCAACAACTCGATTATTAGGACCAACTGGTTCTTGACATGGTATTAGAGCCTTCTGTGACTGAGAGGTTTTATGTTTGAATTCCGATGATCCTCATCTATTCTGATAAGCATATTGTGTTTGAACTTGTGCAAACTTTAACCCCCATATATGGTGGCTTCATTTGAAGGGTATGTTAGTAAACAGTATGTTATCGGGATCAACTAGTTCTTCACAATTACTCGGCAAAATTTTATGGCGGACAAATATGACAAACCACCATTTAGCTATTGCATTTACTTTTCTCGTTGTCAAAATTAAGTATTGAACTAACTTTGAGATTAGACACCGTGTAAACTATCTTTTAGAAGTTCTTAGATTTTGTAAATTTATAGCTACACAAACTTCAAAGGGGCACATAAAAAAATTCCACCTGGTCAAAACGAGTTTGCAAATCATTAATATCTCCAATAATACTAAAGGATTTGCATCTAGTGGTGGTTGATGTCGTACGTACATGACTAAATATGTCTCATTTATAATTTGAAAGAGAAATTGTGTATTATAGATTATAGAGAGATTGTAAGCTCATAAATAAGCTGAGTTTGTGTCGAGCTTGAACTGTGCTTGAGACAAAATTTTAATAAATGAATTGATCTCAAACGCAACTCATTTTCTAACACCTTAGCTCAACGTAGATTAAGCTCGACTCAGCTCACGACATAATTTTAACAAGTATTCGTACCTTGTTCTCTCTTGTGCATATCTACGGTTCTCGTGACACGTGGCATCCATTAGGCCTGGAAAATAGACCAGACCATTTGAAAAACCGTGGACCAAACTGGATCACATAGTTTGGTCCAGACTATATAGGTCGTTAAGAATAATCTAGTCTGACCAATGGTATCTGTTATAGGATGTATTGATCTCTTGATCTGGTATGGTCAAGACAACGGTTTATCATACCAAACCGTGGACCCTACCCACTTCTCAATTTGTGTTAGCAATTCACTCGACCACTCTCCCCTCTCCTTAACGAGCTAAGTCTCAATCCTAATTTTGTAAATCCTATCCACCCCTTAATTCATAAACCATACTCTGCCAGAGGGTAGAGACAACCGTGTCCCCATACGATATCATGTTAATATTATGATGTTAAGGTGCAAGCTGGATTGCCCTGACTTTGTGTTTTTGTCATTTATGGTATCAAAACTATACAAGCGTGTTAGAATTTATGTTTGAAGGTCAAAATAGAATATATTTTTTTCCTCCGATTATTTATGTGCTTGACTAAACAAACTTCTTATTTTTTTCGTCAATATGATCCACATGGCATGGTGCAGACCATATCATCCTGGACTACACAAACGTGATCTAATTTGAATCGTCTAATATTTAATTTAATTCCTAATCTATATTCTTTAACTTCTGGTTTTGGACCACAAAACAATTTTGGAGGGGGCATAGGCCAATGGCATGCTGTAGCCTAGCCTGTAGGGGAGGGTTTGGGGATTCCTAACCTAACCTGAACGTAGGCGTGCAAAGGGACTGTGATTGCGACGTTGGCTCGGAGAGGCAGCCGCACGATAAAGCGCACTTGCTTAGTTAAGCACTCTGTCAAATTAACTACTTGTGTGCCCGCTGATGAGATGGATTCCACATCGACTTATATGCTTTTGGAGATTGAAATGTTAGAGCAGGCCGACTTCATTTCCACCATCAAATCTTGTCTGGGAAATACATGTGTACAAGTGAAGTGAAATGAAGGAGTTGCAAGGTTTTAGAAAGTTAGGGTACGTTATAGGTCACTCATAAGAGAAAAGCCAACCTATTTTTGAGAAACGATGGATGAGTTCGAAAATGGAAGTGGGAGTTTATGAGTTTGTCTCTATCTTTTACGGGAAAAACTTTGATTTTTCTTGGTAAATATCTATGTTGCGAATGGATTGGATCAAATGGACTGGTGGATTGAATTAAAATATAGAAAAATTATGTACATTTTGAAAATTTTAGATACTAAAATGTCATTGTAAATACCAAACCATATTTTTTCGAATAGTATATTCCATTAAAAATTAAAATTTAGGTGTCAAACTGTAAAATATAAAATGCATAGGTACTAAATTACAATTTTTCAATAATCGATGAATAGTATCTGTGAATCCACCAATCCAATTGAAGTTGGATTAAGAGGATCATATTAGTTGAATTTTATAGTAGAATGATTGAATTAAATTTGGTGGATTGAATTCAAACCGTCACACCTAATCACACAAAGAGGAAAGTTCCGGATGTCTTTACTCTTTAGTCTTTACGGGCTCAAGATTGGGTGCATAATCATGGGTTATGCACCCATCAATAACCAAATCTCGATCATTCATTTAGAAAATTCAGATCTAAAGATGGAGAATTAAATGCCATTTTTATTTTTCCTATCTTTCTTAATCGGCTCATATCTTTTTCGTTTTAACTTGAATTTTAATTTTTTGGCACAGATGGAACGTGTTCATCGTGCTCTACAAAATGAGATCAATTTTCAATATTTTTTTAGAAAAAAAATGTTGTCCTCTCGGTACCAACTGCATACCATATGGTATCTTCTTCATTTTTAATTCATTTTTTAAAACGTTTGCACAGAAGGAACGAGTTTATTATGATCTATTGGATCTACAAATTTCTGGGTGAACAAATTACAGGACCAAAAAAATACAACACAATATCACCCTGGTACGGGGTGGTATCTTGTGGTACACAATGGTAAAAGTCATAAATTACAGTTAATATACTTTTACTATCATGTATTCAACCATCCTACACTCTTGGTTTGTTACCATTGTACGTTTTTCAAACCATATGTATGCTCTTATTTCAATACCAGTCAATACCATATGGTATAGACCGGTAAAAAATGGCTCAATTTATTTTGTTCGAAAAATATATCAAAGTGGATATCATTTTGAAGAGCTCAATTGATTTGATCTAACTGTGAAAAAAAAATATAATTAAATTTTGACTTAAAACGAGTGAAAAATTGTCCGTCAAATATTAAGGAGGGGAAAATTAAAGACATTTCAGGAGAGAGAGGGATACTGATGTCATGCTGATGTGAACGAATTACTCATGGTTACTCATAATAAGGTTACTAACCTCATCCGTTTTCTAGAGCTACAGCAGGCGTGGGAAGCTCCGATCATCCTAGAATTTCGAAAGTTACCCAAATATTGCTTGAATATTTAACGTATAAAATAAGTGAGTGGATAAATTCAAACAGTATGCCACGAAATAGCAAAGAAACCATTAGCAGCCTACCGGATGCATGAGTGTGTAGCATCATATCATATCATTTCGTTAATGTTGTGTTTTTTTATCTTTGGTGATAGCAAATCCATTTTTGCTGAGAACCACTGGTAGTGTAGTTTTATATGGTTTTCATTTGATAAAACAAATGAAATAAACAGTTTAGTTTTGGTCAATTGATTTTTAAGTTTTCAATTTGTAAAGATTTTAACATCAAGTAAAGTAACAAGAACCATTGCCAGTGTAGTTTAGTGTTATATGTTTTTCATTTTTCATGTGATTAAACAAATGAAAATAAACTATTTAGTTTTTGTCTATTGATTTTTAAGTTTTTAATTTCAAATCAATTAATTTCTTTGAATTTTAATCATATTTTCATATATATAATGTGTTACACAATATAGTAATGAATTGTTAATTCTTTCTAATCTATACTGAACTTAATGTGATTTTAATTATCTCAAAGAATATTTTGTGATTCTATAATTATATATAAAAAAAATTAATATTTCAAATGTCATTATTTTAGTGATTTTGTGATATCGTATCAAGAAAGCTACAACCCCCAACCGTCGAATCCTAACACCGCCCATACTTGTGCTGCTGGAGAAGAGTTTCAGCTTGGGGTTTATACCTGAAATTGTTGCAGTCACCGGGGCATTGAAACTTCTCTGCGATCGTGGTCGTCTTTCTTAAGTTGCCTACATGTTAGAAAGATTCAAGATCTAAGGAGGCATTTTTGACTCTGCGCTGGATATGTTCATCAAAATGAAGGTGGCTGGGATCGATTGGAATCTAGACATGTTTGATGAACTCATAGAAGGTTTGCTCTCCGAAGGGAGGTGGGTTCGACATTTTTAACCTGAGGGAAGATAGCAAAAGGAGGGTTGGCAGAGTAACCATATTCTACTTTGGCAGTAAATAATCTGACAGCAGTCAGCAGAGACATGAAAAGATTTAGAGGTGAATATACATGGTCCAAATTGAGGGTGTACATAGGGAAGAATTGCTACATACAAACGTGCTCTGAATTACAACAGTATATATGACAACACGTAAAAGGCCAACCAAACGAAAGCAGAAAGATTGGAGGTCCCTTTACTTTCTTCTTTTCCTGAAAATGGATAGGGCAAAATTTTTCTGATCTAACCAATCTCATCAAAACCTAGTTCCGGCAAAATCCAATCAACTACTAGCAGCAACAGATATGGCATATAACCCAGAAGAGTAGTTCCTTCAATTATGGTATAACACAACAGCATATGCAAGGTAGAAGAAATGAACTCAATCAAGCACACAGCAAACCCAATTCACAGACTGTCCACAAAGTTCGTTCGCCTCTTCAGAAGGCTTTCCACTCATCAGAACTTCTTTTCGCCGACGGTGTCGCACCACCGTCCAATGACGTCCTAAATGGTCCACTAGACCCAAATGGATCTGAATCGAATGACGAAAACCCATGGTCCTTGGAGTCATGCCCAGAATCGAACCCAGAGTCATGACCACCACCAAATGAGTCGAACCTCGAAAACCCTCGACCTTGATCAGAATCCCCAGAATCCCTGAACGAGTCGAACCTCGATGGGAATCCTTGGCTGTGGTCAGAGTCTCTGAATGAATCAAACCTCGACGGGAATCCTTGACCCTGGTCGGAATCCCTGAATGAATCGAATCTCGAGAACCCATTGCCCTGATCCGAGTCGCCAGTTTCTCTGAATGAATCAAACCTTGATGGTAACCCATACCCTTGGTCAGAGTCTCTCGTGCTTCTGACTGAATCAAACCTTGCAAGAGAAGGGCCTGCTGAAGATTGAAACGAGCTGGTACTTTCATTCAAATTGAACGAATCGAACCTGGAGAAGCTGTCAAAGGAGTGATCTTCTGAGCCAAAATTGTAGGCGGGTGTGCCCGGGACAGAATCAGCGAACGAGGAGAATGTGCCTTTCCTCCCCAAGTCATAAGCAGGGGTGCTTGGAACAGAATCAGCAAACCCGAATGAGCTCATTCCCTGCTGCTGATTATGGGCAGGGGTACTAGGAACCGAATCAAACATGATAGAGTTTCTCCCTTGGTTATATGCAGGGGTTCCAGGCACAGAATCAAACCCAAATGAGCTCTTCCCTTGGTTATACGAAGCAGGAGTTCCAGGCACGGAATCAAATCCATATGAGCTCTTTCCTTGGTTATAAGCAGGAGTACTTGGAACAGAATCAAATGTATAGGAGCTATTATTCCCTTGGTTATTATAAGCAGGGGAGCTAGGAACAGAGTCAAACATGAATGAGCTCTTCCCCTGGACAGTTCCTGTCTTTATTGGATTCAGACCAAAGTCGCCAATGTCGTAAATAGAACTGTCTGCATGGCTTTCAAGATCAGCTTCCTGCAGGACAACTCAAAAGAAATTTGTTAAGGACAAAAAAAGGTGTTTGATTTAGCTTTTGCTAGAAACTATTCGACTTTTTCTAAGTCATAATCGAAATGGGGGAAAACAGTGTCAGTTTAGTTTTAGATAAAAGTTAAATTGAGGACATATGAGATACCGTTTGGAAGTATAAAGAATTGATGGGATGATATATAATCTATTTAATGGTAAATAATTATTAACGTTCACAATGAGTTTTATTTCAGATGGGGCACAAAGTAGGAAATGAAATCTTATTATCGACATGGCTAATAAATTAAGAAGATTTGTTTACGGGATTTAGGTGAATAGTTGTTTTGAAAAGTTAGATAGTAAATGTGCCTTTGTTTTAGCTTCTAAACAAACATTTTCTGAACCTTGTTATGTTTTAGGCTTTTTGATGAACCACTAACAGTATCCCTACCGAAGTAACTTCAATATCGGTCATCAACCAAACAGAACTCGGCTTTTCTTTTCCAATGACAGCAAACACGACTTAAGCTTTATTCTCAAACTCAGATGTAGGTAACCCAAAAGAGAAGAAGCTACGCATACCTTGCCATTGACAGAGTCCGCTCCCCAAATTGATTCACTATCATAATGGCTGTCAAATCTACCCCAAGCAGGTTCATCCACAATTTTGTCACCCGAAAATACACTAGCATTATCAGCCACGTCACTGCAGAAAGCCACAGTATGAGTGAGTTCAACAACATTCAACTAGAAGATAAGCATAATCCATAGAGAAGAATTTTTAGAACCATGCACCAAGCAAAAACCATACATTGACATTCCCCTGGCATGGGGCGAACTGTCGGCACCAGCACTCCCTTTGACTTCATGAGTTTGGTTTTCTGCTCCAGTCTTCCGAGTTGGACTCTCTGGAGGAGTTCCTACCTCACCATTCTCACTTTGACCATTTGCTGGTGATTCTTTATCAGAAACCGATTCTCCTTCACCAGAAATCCTCTCCGACTTGGCTTCAGCATTTGATGAAGAAACGCTTAAACCACCTTCGGAAGCTGTTGTTTTCTCCTTTCGAACTGATTTTGGTTTTGGAGGAGCCACAACATTCTGCATTTCTGTAGTCAGCTCTTTGACAAAGGTAAATCCTGGAAGGCGAAAGTAACTAATCAGCAGAATTCAAACAAAATGAAAGGACAACTCTTGCATTGGTAATACTGATACAATAACAGAACAAGGTTCACTTATACACTAAACAGATTATATATATATATACCTTCGTCTTCAAACTTATCCCAATCTTCATCCCAGTCAGCTGCTCCTTCTTGTATTCCAGGCTGCCAGCCTGAAGAGGAGCATTATGTACGCAATCAGTACCACCCCAGAAGATTCAAATGGAATAATTTGCTTTTTAATTCCTTACAATTAACACACTAGAATGACCAAACAGGACGATTTCAAGACTAAAACCACATGGCATGAAGTTCTCATAATTACACAATAAAATAAAAAAGGAAAGGCTTAACAAGGTCATAGACATACCAAATGGAAGCTCAACCAGCGACATAGGTTTAGCACGTAATCCATATTGTTTGCAGCGTTCATTCAAACTCTTCACTAATTCCTCTAGACTAGAATGAATATGGTCGGCTCGCTCCTGCAAAAGCAAGGAAAATAAGATGGCAGAAGTTTCTTACATACCCTCACTGATAAGCCACTGTTACAAGTACCTTAAGGGCACCCTCAGCAGTCCCTCCTTCCATCTTAACAATTGCCCGATAGACTTCCATTTTCTTCTCCTGCAATTGATAAGAAGGCATGTTATCTGAGAAATGACTGAGAAAAATAATATCATCCAAGCAGACGAGAACTCAAGCTACAATTGCAACTCAATCAAAGTTCCCCCGTTACCTGAATGTCACGAAAGGTAGCCTCCTCGATGGTTAATCTAGAGGCTACATCTCCAGCCTGCTTGTATTTCTCTTCGTACTTCTTGGCTAATGCATCAACCTGAAGTGAGTTTCAGAGTTTCAGTCCAACAATCAACTACAGCAAACAAGAGCAAGACTAATGCAGAAAGCCAATACCTCGTGTTTATCGGAAGACACCCTTTCTATGACCTCATTAAGGCGATTATCACAGCGGCTCTTATATAAAATCTAAATCGAAGAAATACAAAAGACAAACATTAGGTACTCAGTTAGACCATAGGCAAAGCTCAAGGCTAGCAAAAATTGCACTACTTATTCAACTATTTGAACAACAAGCTTACGGGAAGAAACTTGCTATCTAGCAACAGTAACACCTAGCAAAAGAATCGGCATGCCATTTTGGCAAATACAATCTCCTTAGAGAACTCAAAGGAATTCAAGCATTTACTTGCACCTAAAACTTGAAGCATCCTGACATTATCAATAGGAAACTAAATCTATCTTGACATACACTTACCAATTCTTGCATCTTAGCACGATAGAAATCAATCTTCTGTCTAGATTCTGAAATTTCCTTTTCCAGCTCTTCAACCTTCATTTCAAAGGGAAAAGATTCAAATGTATACGTGTTCATAAAAATATAAAGCACTCCGACAGTTCAAGTCAGGCAACAAACTTCAGACCATTACTTGACAAATTAGATTTACCACTTGATGCACAATAAAACCAAAGAAACAATAAGATAAACCACCACAGTTTACAAGTTATGAGGAGAACAATTGCCTTTTTATCTGCCTGAGATGCCTCTTGGAATTTCGAGTTCAAAGAGTCCTGCTCCTCTTGACTAAGTTGATCCACAAGATGCTTTTCCAGCACTGGAACTTTGGGCTTTGGTTGACTAGGCTGTTTTTCTTCAGCTTGAGGGGCAGAGGGAGGGCGCGGTGGCCTCGGTGCTCCAGCATGTGGTGGCCGCGCACCAGGCATCACTTGCGGTTGTCGAGAACCTGTAGATATTCATTTTCACCATGGTAAGTTTGGCCACTATCTTTGAACAAACTGGGATAGTAATCTTAAATGGTTTACCACTTCATAATAAATGTGAGTTTGGCCACTATCTTTGAAAGAGCTTTTTCTAAATAATGGTGTGAGCTATGTCAATAAGAAGAACTTCCTGATCTTGTCATTAGGCAACTTCTAGGTTTCTACAAATGAAATCCAGAAATTCCAAACTGGAGCTTCACAATGACTTGAAACGTAGGTATAAACTGATCAAATACAATTTATCAGTAACAAATTGGTATTGATTTTTTATGTAATGTATTTGTTTATCAACCAAACCCTATGCACAATTTTTCAAACCAAGCTTCTTTATAGCTCCCACCTAAAAGCTCTTCTTAGAGAAGTCATCATACACCCATGCAGTTCACGGCTGTCCTATATTTCAACTTCCTACCTTCAATGGGATTCGATTAAATTACAGAAAACTTTTAGGATTCTAGTTCAAAGAGGAATCCTCTGCTTTCATCATGAATTTATGACCTCCTGTGGACCTAAGGAGCTGACTATAACAAATAAAGAGCAGTTTTGCTTCGAGTTTTTTGTGAACAGCTCTCCTTGATTGAGACACTATGCTTACAATAGCCTATATTGTCTGTGACCATTGAGGCACCTATTTCTGGGACCTTCTAAGAAAGAATGGTGGTTCTTCTCCATTCAATCAGATTCCAGAAACCATTAATACTACTCCTGGCAAGGAGTTCAAACCTGAATAACTAAGGAAAATCCACAAGTAAAGTAGATTATATCATCTAAACATAAAAAATAAAATAAAAAACAAGTACCAGGGCCAGGTCCCCAAGCGCCAGCAGCATGTGAAGCAGTAGGGCGGCTTGTAGCAGACAACAGAGCTTCATCCGAAATGACTGAGCTTGGAAGGCTCACAGGAAGAGGGCGACCTTCTCTGAAACGTTCCATCAAATAGAGTGCAACACAAAACTCCTTCGCAGAAAGCATGCTATCATTGTCTTGATCAGATAAATCCCAGACCTGTTTCAAGACCTCTGAAACAACATCCAACAGTACAATCAATGGAAGAACATGCCCCGTCAGAAAAAGGGAAAATGATGAACATACATGTTCATTGTGTGTCAAACAATGAGCAGTGAGAGCTTCTGTAAGCTTCAATCTAGATACCAGCTATGCTGCGACATTTAGAAACAACAATGATATAAGTTCAATAAAAACTGAAGACTGCATTTGATCAAGATCACCACCTAGTTTTAGGGGGGCAAACAAGACTAGCTTCAGCATGATGAACCTATAGAATATTACTTCTAAAGGTTGTGCCTCGTATAATATTCTTCAGAGAAAGCCCTCAAACCAGACCAAATAACATAAAATTTCAGAAGCAAATCAGTAACCTTCTGTGCACAACCTAGGAAATCCTGTAACCATGTTTTCCCAAGCGGTAGCATACCATGAGACCATGGAACAAACAAATGTTCTCAAAATCCATAACATGAGGTTTGATCTTATTCGCAAAAAAAGTCAACCATATGTGCTCTTTGGTGAGCCACAAAATGATATAGGATGACAATGAAACAGAAATAAGTCCTGTCACTTGGAAGCTACCTCTTGGAAGCCTCCAGCTTAAGAAGAGATTGCGTGCCTGTTCGCCAGTGATCTTTCCATCTCTGTCCATATCTACTTGTAAAAACACTTTCAAATACTTCTGGATATCAGCTTGGGTCATCCTTGGCCAGGAATTATGCGATTGACCAGAACCCATATTTCCTGATGCAACGGGAAACACGCCCAAGGGACGTGCATTAGTAACTTGACCTGCAATAGTTTGGTTTGGTTTCCCTGTTTGCTGACCACCAAAAACTTGCTGAGGAACATTTTTCTGCAAAGATTCAATGGGACTTGGCTTAACTGAAGACAGTGATTCAGCAGAAGACATTATTGCTGAAGAAACACCAGAACTGCTGACAGAAGAAGCAGATGATGAAGAGATCTTATTTGGCTGATTAGGAGAAGCAGAAAATACATTCCCAAAACTTGAGTCAGTGTTAAATCCATTCTCCGAAACGGTCAATGCTTTAGGCTCAATAGATACAGGTGGCTTCGAGAATGTGGTTGTGCCTTGAGATTGTGGTTGAGAAGAAGGTATCTGCCCAGTAAGCACCAAAGGTCTAGGTTGAACCGAGGTTGTCATCCCTGAAGTTGATAGCATGACTCCATCTTGTCTTGTACTAGGAGTGTTCCCTTGATTTGGAGTTAAAGATGTTGGTGCACTAGTGCTTCCACTTAGCCAATCGGTTGAGTTACCTGAACCTAATTGGCGAGTGGCAGGCGGGGTGGTAATACCTTGGCTAGGAACAAGCTGTTGTTGGTGGGGCATCGAGTTGGGAGGCTGTTGTTGGTGGGACATCGAGTTGGGAGGCTGTTGTTGATGGGATATCGAGTTGGGAGGCATGCCCTGCTGTGGTCTCATAAACTGGTTTTGCTGAGTTGGGAAGTATTGCTGGTTCATCTGTGCATTTGCAGGCAGCTGAGCTGGTCTAATCCCAGCATTCTGAGATAAAGCCGATGATGAGCCAACAAACTGTGAAACAGGGGCTGCCACTTTAGGAGCAGGTGTGGCAGCAAGATTAATCTTAGGAGCTGGGATTTTTGAAGATGCCGCACCATACAATGCAGCCCTCACTAAATCAGGGGTAAGGTCCCGTTTACTTTGAGCCACAGTAACAAGTTTGAGAGCATTATAGAATTCTTGTCGCCCAAGGTATCCAGCTTTCCTCTGGTCAGCATACATCCAGACCTGCCCAGAAGATTAGAAACTGCATATATTTAGTCTAAGATATGAACGAAAGGAAATTCATCAGGCTATCAAAATGGTAAAAATTCTCAAGGAGAGCTCTTTTGCACACTTTTGACATGAGAACCTGCCTTCACTTCACTGACGGGATCAAAATAGTGCACAACTCAAAAATGGATCAGGAAGCAATAGCATGGATAGCTAGCTAGCAACAAAAAATAAGGTAGGGAGGCTGGTGCTTCAATTAGTGAACATCACTCAAGAGACCTGTAGTATAAGCAAATGCTAATGAATTGCTTGACGGACTGCATGACTCTTATACCTTTGTCCAAATCTACAAAGTCATAGAAATGTAACAATAATAACTAGCATCTGACGTTATTGTGGTGGATTGCCGACTATCACAAGTTCGTTTGATAATTCGATCCTTTGGTAGCCAAGGATAAGCAAATGAAAGCCAGTCAAAGACCTAGTCAGTCCAGAAGCGAGCAACCCAGAACCCTAACTGAAAGGGGCTGTTTCAGAAAATTTACAGAAGTAGAAACATCGATGGAAGTTAAGCAAGCGTCTGCAATCAGTAAAAAGTAAACAGCCGCATAGAGCAGAGTGCTTGAAAGGAGAAATATTCGGTTAATCAGGAAACTAGCAATTGCTACCAAGATTAATGGACGGAGGAAGCTTTAGAGGAAACATTATTGAGTATTCATTTACCCACAAATAAAAGGGGAAACCGCGGAAGTGCTTGAATTCGTGAAACAGTGGAACCAAGAACACAAGCCATAACTGTGGCAGAGAGTACCTGGGCAAGAACTTGCTTGGGCAGGCCGGAAGCTTGGAAGAAAGCAACGGCTTCAGCACCACTGATCTGACCGTCGCCATCCAAATCTGCTCGCCGGAAATATGAATCGAACAGATCAACACCCGCGTTCTGCCCCGCCATTCCCCAAATCTAATTCTGGCCAGCCGGAGCTCAAAATTTCTCAATTGGGGATCACTCGTGGACGCGAGATCCCTCTCTCAATCCCTATCTCTGCGTCGCGAAATCTATTTGGATTCGATTAAATTTCCTCCAGCGATTCTGCTTTGCTTTTGGGCGGAAAACCACAGGCAAATCTCAGACCAGAGAGGGGAGAGGGAGAGAGAGAGAGAGAGCCACCGTGAGAGAGAGAAGAGATCGGGAGGAAGATGGGCATGGATCATTCCACGGTAGCAAAAAGAAAGAGTGGAAACGAAATAAAGAAATGAATCCGAGCCCATGCATAATTCGGGCCCATCAAAATAATCACTGGTGAAACTTTAAAACCATTGAGCTTCCTACCGTTTGGTGGTGGGTGGGTACTGCTAATTATCATAAATGGTCATAAAAAGATATTCACTTTATACAAAATGGTCACAAACTTTTAATTTTGTACATTTCAGTAACATTTATTTGGACTAATAACAAAAAAGTAATTTCGTCCATCTCCATCCAAAAATCTGTTAGTTTACTCCGGTCAGCATGCCATGTCATCAACAAATAATAATAAAAAAATTAATAAACCAAACCAAACTCAACCCCACCCAAAAATTGTACCCAATCCAAAAACATATTCAAATATGTTACCCCTCTCTCTGTAACCCTAATCCGAGAATGATCCTCACAATCCAATCCCCATCGCCCAGTCCAAAATCATCCACACCAAAATTGGTTCGGTGAGGAATCATACCTTTTCATGAAGCTATCTGTTGCATTTCTTACCCTGAGGTCAAGATGCTTGGGGCCTCAATTATTCCATCATATCTCAATCGCCAGAAGATGAACGAACTATTGTTGTCGGTTGGGAGCACCCAATCCAGCGTGAAAACACCCGACGACGGGCCTCTTCTTCACGCCCCTGAAAGTATGCCGCCCTCTCTCTGATAGCTTCATGGTTGGTGGCTGCTGGTAAAATCGACAAGTCGTGCGGGGAGGATTGGATTCATAATCTCAGAAGGGCTCTCCTTCCCAGAAGTGTCTTGTAGCCATTCTTCTTCTTCTTCTTGTTCCCGCTATGCAGCATCTCTTGTCCTCGGTGCTACTCTGGCGTTCCCTTGCACTTTCTCATGCTTCTTCAGCTGCCACCATGGTTGCTTTGCTGGAGTGTTTTGGCTTGTTTGGGTTTTCTGAAGCTTTGTCTTGTGCTTTTGCTTTGACTGTTGGTTTCTTTCTTCTTTGTCTTTTCCCTGATTTTTGTAAACTCTAAACTCTTTTCTTAATTAATGAATTTCACCTTTATCAAAAAGTAAGTCGCCCGCTCTCTCCCAGCTGCCTCCCCTCGATTACCACCCACGGCGACGGCGATGACGACCCACTACTAACAGCCGAAGCGTTGGAATTGTGAGAATCCAAGTCTAGGTCGAATTCAGGGGAATTGGGATCGAAGCCTCGAGCAGGGGATCGCGATTCTTCTTCTTAGAGCTTTACGGGCAAGCAGCGCCCTTTCTCCATCCAACTTGGCAACGATTTCGAGCCCCTCTTTCAACATTGTGGCCACCTTTGGAGCCTCGACCTCTCCAATTTATACTACTGAATCGAGAACTTACCTCCGGTTCTGCACCGACATCCTGTCGTTGATGAAGCAAGAAGGTTTATACACGAACAATACCAGAGTTGATCAGGGGAGTAAAAGAATTGAGGAGCTTTATCTTCTTCTTCGAGCTTTACTAATTTATATTAGATACTAAAATATCTTTTTCTCAAAATATAAAACTTTATTCATTTAATTAAATGGTAATTATTTTTCAGAAATTTTCTTAACTTGCAACATAAATAATATGTCGTTTATTTAAAACATATAACATTTCAAGAAAAGAATAGTAGAAAAGCAAGGCTAATTAGATTGTTGCTCCGAGTTTCAAGGGTGGCGATTCCGCGAGCACTTTCGGAAGCTAGGGTTTTGCAACCTTCATGTCGGCGGAGTTCCCGCCGCCAGCGGGAGGAGAATGGGGGCTGCCGTCTCAAGCCGATATCAGCGCGGGCCAACGACGCCCTCCCATAGAGTCGTCATCCCCAAACCCTAAGGGGGACCGGGAGGCGCAGCATGCAAAGAAGAAAGCGAAGCAAACCTTCACGTCACCTCTTGTCGAGGAGATCTGGGATGAAACTCTCTTGGACGCAGATGCGGAGCTTAGCCCTACGCCGCCGGCTCGACCAGCAGCGTGGACACAGACCATGGGAGCGGCCAAAAAACTGTTCGGTGATACCAAGCGTCCGGACGATTGGTATATAGCGGATTCTGACTCAGAAGATATTGTTGCAGCCATCAGGGAGGACGGGCAGGAAGCTCCCTTTGAAGCTTACGAAGACCCCAAGTGTCCACCGATATCATTCTCTGCAGCCGAGGAGAGGACCTTTTGTCGGGACTTTCGTTCGGCACTAGTGGTGAAAGCTTTGGGGCGAGTGGTCTCATATACTGCCATGTCTATTAAAGTAAACGCGATATGGGAGAAAGCGGGGGGCATCCAGGTCACATCAATGAAGAATGGTTATTTCTTAATCCGGTTTACAAACGGAATTGATTATGAACGTGCAATTACGGGAGGACCATGGATGATTGGTCCGAATTACTTACCGTTCACATGTGGGACAAGTTCTTTGACCCATATAGCCATGAAATCTCGTCTACAGTGGTCTAGGCGCGCCTGTTAGAACTTCCCATCCACTACTTCCACCACGATGCAGTGATGAAGATAGGGCGAAGGATGGGTAAACCTATTCGCATTGATGGAGCCACTCGAACAAAGGTGCGTAGTGATTACGCCCGAGTGTGTGTTCAAGTCGATCTTACCCAACCTCTTCTATCCCAGTTTACGATCCACGGGAGAAAGTACTTCATTCAATACGAAGGGCTGGAAAAAATTTGCCTTAACTGTGGAACATACTTAGATCGCGGCTACTGCCCATGCACGAAGACGCATGTTCCTATGGAGGCGGAACACTCGGCCGATGAGATGGCGCAAGAGAAGAAACAACCAGACACTCTCTATGGAGAATCGATGATCGCAAAACGTAAGCCAAGACAGGACCGTAAAGAACCAGGTCTTCAAACCAACAAGGGGGGAGCTAACTCACCTCAGGGACACAGAACCCAGGCAGCCCATGCAAGCGGTTCTCGCTTTGATGCTCTACAGGAAGAGGAGGAAGGAGAGGTGGTTCCCATACCTAGTCAGCACACGGAAGCAGCGGCCAACGTGAACAGTAGTAATGAGAGTAATAACAGGAAAACTACCGAGCTCTCATAGGAAAAGAAGGGTACTGGGTCAAACTCCACCATGCAAATAGAAAGAGGGGTGACGCCGGCTCACGCTACTTCGTCGACCTCGGGTGATATTCAAACGACAATACCGAAGAGAACCCAGCTCCCACCGAGCACCAAAACAACCAAGAATGGGGCTGAAACTCCCAATATAAATGGGCATGCGAATGGGGTTGCCCAAAATCAAGCAAACTCGACTGGCGGTCAACCTCCTAAAGTTATCCGGATTTTGGCAAAAGGGATGCAAGAAAAACCACCACACCTTATGCAACCACCCCCGAACGTTAACCCGCAGTCTGGTCAACTTGAAGGGAAGGGCATCACAACGGCGATAAACATCAATGGGGCCAACCCATCGGCGAATTAACCCAAGGGAGTATCTTTCCACCCCAATTTTTATGGATTGTAAAATCTTTTCTTGGAATTGTAGGGGGGTAGGGAGTAGAGGTTTTTTACGTGCTTTTCATGAGTATCGTAGGAAGTTTCGCCCTAACATTGTGATTATAGTTGAAACCCGTATTAGTGGGGCTCGTGTTGATGAGATCATTCGTGATATGGGTTACGATAGCAAACTTGTGGTAGATGCGATTGGGTACTCGGGAGGAATTTGGATAGCTTAGAATGCGATCGAATATACCATTATTGAAATTCACCCTCACCCTCAGTGCCTCCATGTGCAGGTAAAATCCTCAAACTCTCAGGTTGTCGACTGACAATTATTGGCAGTGTACGGAACCCGGCCCCAGTTCAGCGTCAGGATCTTTGGAATTGTTTATGGAATATAGCTGAGGATCTGGACACCCCTTGGATGCTAGCCGAGGATTTTAACTTGATCCTCAGCCCAGTGGAGAAGTTAGGAGGAGCCAATTTTGACGCCTCTAGAATCAGGGAGTTCCAAGATGCTGTGAACGACATAGGCTTGCACGATTTGGGGTTTACTGGGCCGCATTTCACCTGGTTTCGGGGGGGGGGGGGGGGGGGGGGGAGAAACCTTTCTGAGTCCTCGCAGCCTGGCTTACCCATGAAGGCTTCCAATCTATGACAGCTGATGCGTGGGAAAAAGGTTCTTGCTTTACCGAGTCAGCACCAGCGTTTGCTAGAGACGCGACCACTTGGAATCGAACGGTGTTTGGTCACATCCTCAGGAAGAAAGATAAAGTCCTTCGAAGACTAGAACAGCTGGAACTTGGCCCTAGTGATCCAAGAACTGCGAACCAGATTAGCCTAGTCCAAGAGGAGCTTGAACTCATCCTCTTCCAGGAGGAATTACTGTGGTACCAGAAGTCACGCATGGAGTGGATTAAATCGGGGGATAAAAACACAGCCTACTTTCATGCCAGAACCATCCATCGGAGAAAGCGCAACCGTATAAATATGCTCAAAAACAGTGAAGGAGAGTGGGTGGATGACCCGGCTACCCTCCTTGAGATGGCTAGGAGCAATTTTTACATGTTATATACAGACAACGACGGGGAGCTGCCTCCTCTGGAATCCCAATTCCCACAGATAGCCGAGGCCGATGGGTGGCCCTTGCTTCCACCCTCGATCCGACCGAAATCAAAAGGGTTGTTCAATCGATGGGTGCTCTCAAATCGCCGGGAAAGGATGGGCTTAACCCACTATTTTTTCAGTGTTCCTGGTGATTTTGGGTTGACGATGAATTTGGGTTGGATATCATCGCGTCGCGGACACCGATTCAGATCTAATTGTGCCTGGGGGACTGGACCAAAGTCTTCCCGGCGGCGGGGAGGAAGAGGTCTTCAACCTCCATTGGGTTTGAGATCATGGCATGGTGGAGACACCGATCTGAATCTCATCGTGCTCGAGACTGGACCAAAGTCTTTCCGGCGGTGGCTTCTCGGCGGTAGGGAGAACGAAGGAGGAGGCGAAAAGAGGGGCGATCTTCCCGGCGGTGGCTTCTCGACAGTGGCTGGGAGGAAGAGGACTTCAATCTCCGTTCGGTTGGATGATATCATGGCGGAGACACCGATAAAGGGGCAGTTTTCCCGGCGGTGGTTTCTCGACGGCTGGGGAAACGGAGGAGGAAGAAAGAGGGTTTAATCTTGCTTTATTGTGGGATGAGAGAGGGACTTTAATTGCACGAAAAATAAATTAAAAATACAAATAGAAAAGTTTCCAGCAATAAATATATTTATCAAATTTTAATGACACCTGGTGGTTACCTATTGGCCGGGAGTACCACATCACTAATCCTACATGGTACTCCCGGAGTAGCCAATAATTTCTCATATAATGCAGGTAGGTGGCGGTAAGAAAATAGAAGCTGATTGATGTTAATTTAATTCACCCAATTCGATCATATATTGCTTACAACGAAGTGATGGAGAGAAGCGCAGGCGGTTTACTTGGCAGCTGGAAGTCTCTGTTGTCAATTTCGTCAACTCAATTGGATCATATATGCTATGGCATCCCAGATAGAAGAGCAAACAATTTACCTGGCAGCTGAAAGTCTCTACATTAATTCACCAGCATCGCTATAGGTACACCCAATCTGATAATTTTTTTTATAAGGGTGATATAGATTTCAATTTGTTGTCACTAAGGTACTACTTAAGGGATTCGAACCTGGGTCCTCTAGGTTCTAGGTTAGTGGTATTATCACTAGGCCAAGCCCTTGTTCGTACACCCAATCTGATAATTGTTGTCTCTTATTTACCTACTTAATCATTTTGATAATCTATACATAATATTATGGTAATTCAAAATTAAATTTTTGCCACATAAGCATTTGGGGAGATCTCAAGTTGCCAAAGTGGATAATTTTTTTGCCAAAATATTAGTTATTGACTTATTTATGGAGTTGTCCCTCTCTCTTCATTTAATATTTAATTCTCTTTTATCTAATAATTATTTTGCTTTTGTTTTTGTATTATATCTATAAATAATATATGGAGAGAAAGGTTATCAAACCGGTTTAGCAAGTGGAATGGTTTTACCAGTGGTACAATAGGTTTGTGTCGGTTCATGCCGGTTAATAAAATATGTAGAAATATAAATAATCATTAATATAAAATGAATTTAATCATATTTAAAGACAATTTATGTACAATTCATATCGATATTTGAATAAAATATGATATTTCAACTACAATTACATGTACTCATACTTAAATTCACTAAAACTACGTATTTTACTTAGAAATTCGTAAAACGATCATACCGGTCATACTGATGGTGTCATGTCGATTTCATGACCGGTACCGGTTGAATGGTTCAACTGGTGGCATACGTGACAATCATGATGGAGAGTGACATATATCACATTTTGTTTTTGCATTATATTGATGTACGCAACAGTATACTAATGTATGTAGAGTGACATATATATCACACTTTTTAAACCAAAAAATATATGATTGAAGATTACTATGTAAATTTCTGCTCATTTTTTCTAAAACTTAATAATAATTTACATTTTGATGAATAATTTAAATAAAAACAAAAAAAAATTTGTCGATAAGGTCTGGAAGAAACTTGACCAAAAATAATATTTATTTATTAAAAAAGCTTCTTATTCATTCTGATCAAGTGAAAACATATGAATCGCATGTGCAGTATTTATAATGTATACTAAGTTCACATTACTAATATTTTCTCTAGGTCATGTTGATTGAGCAAGATCTATTGAGGTCTTACATCATATGCTAATAAATTTTCTTTTCATACTTGGAGTTATTTATTGTTAAAGATTATAAATTGAAGTTTCCAAAATGACTTGAGTATAATAGTTGATGAAATTTGACTTCATATTCTAGGATGAGACACGAGATCTCTTGAAAAATGAAATGTGTGAAATTTAGAGAAATCTTTGTTAAGGATGTACGTTAAACATCACATTTCATGCTAAGAAAAATATAAATTCCACGATTGAGGTAATAAATCAACATTAATGGTTTACTTCACATATATAACAAAAAAACATTTATAGTTACAATAGTGTAAACCGAGCTATTGGATCAAAAGAAGAATATTTAATAAATATAAGTTTAGTAAGGAAATTGTAACAAGTCAATATAGTTGTGAGCATGTGATTTCATACCAAATTTTGGCAATAACAAAAAAAATTGATATTATATTCCACCCAAGGAGCTGAGTTCAAAGGTATTAATTAGTGTTGAAAGTAAAATAAAATCTCTGTATATATATGTTTAGATATTAACAACAGATGTTTCTACAATACATCCAATAATTTAAATACATGTGAAAAGCCACAATGTTTGTATGAACTTTTAAATTTTGCTACAAAATATTTTGTTAAAAAATTATAAGTTAATTATTCAAGGAATACATAATTTTGAATGCACCTGAAATATTTGTCTGTCGTATACACACTTTACCAATTATTAATATAAGTAATGAAATTTTTGTTCTAGAACAAACACCAAATATAAAGAAATTTTAGCGAATGGACATTCAAATAATTGAAAAATTATACATTGAAGGAACATGTTAAGATGAGAACCTTCGATAGTGTATATGAATGCCTTGGATTCATACTCTAAACGAACATCTAGACAAAACGCATGGGTCGAGGGTTAGTCCAAACTTAAAATATTAGCAATTGATATATATTGTAAGATAATAATAATTTGTATCTTGATAGAAAAATTTTCATAAGTTGCTATACAAAGACTTCATGAACATCAACAATCAAACGAGTGAGGTTTAGAGAATTTAATCATTATAAGGGATACGATGTGTGGCAAATTTTAATTGGGATAAACTTAATTTATCTAGTAATCAAGTATCTTTTTCCAATAATTTGAACTTTGATTAATTGGCTGAGAGTTCGTACAAACTCGAGAATCATGAATTGATATATGTTGTATAAGATAATAAATTTGAGCGTCTTGGTGGGAAAAAAATTATATACGATCCTAAATGGGGCGTGATAAACCTTTACAACATGATTTATGATCAAAGAATAAAAATATCACAAGCGAGTGTGCTAACTATTAAATATTAAGAATTTTCGATATAGGCATACCACATATTCACTTATGAAGCAGAGCAGAAAATGTATACAAGATCCAAAAAGTTCAAACATGTAGATAAGTTAACTAATATAAATAATAAAACAAACTTCTCCGGCCAGTTATAAATAATAAAACAAACTTCTCCGGCCAACTGACCGGGTAAAAAACTAGTTTGTTAGCCTAAGAATTAGTGGATGCTCTTTTCTCTAATCGCCACCCAATTGTAATTGCCTTGGTGCTATAAAAGATAATAGCCACAATTAGTTTATTTGAATCGGTACATATTATTTTTTATACTTTTACTAGAAATTTTTTTTTTAGCTCAATGCCTCGAAGAAATATTTTCCCGTGGAGAAGCATCCAAATAACCAAATAGTGCTTCAAGAAAAATTGAATTAAGTAGATATAATGTTATTAATATTATTAATACACATCTTTATAATTTAACATGTGTCCATATCATGTTGTACAGATAATTTTATTAGCATACATTATATGCATTTTATAATTTAATGTGTGTCCATGCTTGATTTTTGAAAAAAGATAGTCGTTTTCATACATTAAGAAGGTGTGGTTGATTCTGTACAGTATCTATCTTAAGAGCAAATTAATTTTTTCTCATGGTATGAACATCGATGAACTATCAATTGTATAAAATCTCTCTTACTATTTCACGCATCTTGATCTTACAAAACTATTACTCTCCATTTTACATTTTCATATTTAATCCAAGAGCGTATACATGAAAAATTATCACTGTTCTTATTGGTAACCATTGATTTCAAATTTGTCTTCGATTTATATGTTACAAAATAGCGTAAGATTGATTATTTTAATAATTTATATACGAAACTTCAAATGAGATGAGTAACTTACAAACTAAGGAAAATAGACTTTTAATAACTTTTATATGTATTGGGTGATGCATTCCGGAAATTTTCCAAATTTATTGATATTTTTAGTATTTCAATTTTCTATGTTTATAATAATTTTAGTATTTTTATCAAATGTATTTTTAATATTGGAGTTTCAATTTTATTGCAATTTTTGGAGTGTTTGATATTGGAAACTCATCATATAAATATGAATATTGTAGAGTGATGATGTGGAAGGGTGAAAGTACCAAACCCACGAGAAATTCCAATCAACCAAAGTTTTCATTGTGTTGCATACAAGGTAAAGTGAACCTCCCTCATTTAAGGCAGCCTCCAGAGGTTTTGAATATGCTATTGTAGCAAATATTTCAACGGGATGTCACTTTTTGGAAAAATATCAAAGGCTATAATGGTATATTTGTATTAATTTCGGTTGGAGGTAAACTGAAAATGATGAGTAAATAGAAGTGTTTTTCAGGTGAAAAGGAGTTGGTTCCCTGGCATGGGATTTGTCTTCCATTTTTTTGTAAAAGAATATTAGTCGATGACTCAGTTACAATTTCATAAATCACTATAATGTTCATCCTTTTGAACTGTTCAAGTGTTTTAATGAACTGAGTCTTTTACGCTATCAATAAATTTGAATGTTCGATAATTTGAAAAGTAAAGATTTTCTTATACTAACGCATCAATGTATATCTCGCATACAAATTGCTACTGTTGTTTATGCAATTGGGGAATGAATCCGGCCAACTGGCCGGGCCCTTTACTAGTAATTATTAGAAAGTTTCACTATCCATTACTTTGAATTACAACTTGAGACTCAATCATGTTGACTTAATTTTAACAAAAGTACATGAAAGGGTTCAAAAATCTCAAACGTTACACTCGGTTATCGTTTTTTTTCTTATAACTTTATCTATTAAACTACAATATGTTATTTTTTTAATCAAAGTACCCCTTAATTTTTTAAGTGCTCTTTCTTTTTAGTTTAAATGAAAATTAATTTTCTTATATTGAAGTTTTAAATTCATACTTAGTTTATCTCATCATACTTTTATTAATTTTGTCAAATTGTAATAATTTTTTCATAATTAAAGTGAAGAGGTGGTAGGTTATTCTTAAACAAAACTTGAAAAAAAAACTATTTGGCCATTAGGTCGTCCACAATCTACTTAAAAAGAGTAAAAAATTATATGCATTCTATAAAGAACAAAATTATTCATAAGTCAACCTAGAGATGTTAAAATAAATTATTTTTTAGCACTAAAGATCTATCTGCAAAATATATAGTAATATTGCATAAAATATCTCTCCCACTAGCACTCCACCGAATCCCTTTCCTCTCATTTTTTTCTTCCCCTGTTACTATTCTCTCTCTGACATGTAGTGTCCAAGCAAAAGCACCAAAAAAGCAAAATCCCAAAAAAATAGAGGAAGAAAAAATGGGGAAAATGAGAGAAAGGCGGAGAAGGCCTTGTATCCACCGCCACTCGTAATTTTGGACACAGCCATCCAACCCCTCATTGATGAAGTTGTAGCAGGTGAGACAAGAAATCTACCAGAGCCAGCCATCATAACAACCATTTCAGACACCTTCCCTTATCCTTTCTTCGTTTCCTTTGCACTTTTTAATATTCAACTAATCCAATAGATTAAGTTTTTTTAATCCTAACTATCAAGACCTTAATCCCAAACCACCCAGATAAAAATCTAATCCCTCCCCCTTTCTTCCCCATCAAATTACTTGTTTGGTGCGTGGAAGAGAAAGAGAGAGAGAGAGAGAGAGAGAGACCAACGACAAAGGTTGTTAGCTAGCCACCGTGAGGCGAGAGACAAGAGAGAACATGTCTTGCTCATCATCGTCCGCATCCGATGAGGATGAGGAGGGAATCGATTCTTACAGGAAAGGTGGTTATCACGCTGTTCGAATCGGCGATCCTTTCAACAGAGGCCGTTACATCGCCCAACGAAAGCTTGGCTGGGGCCAGTTTTCCACTGTCTGGCTTGCTTACGATACTCAATCATCTGTATGTTTTTTTACGAATAATATTATATATGTTGATCACGCCCTCTCTATATATTCATTTGTTTTTGGTGTTCAGGTTTTATTTTTTTATTAGCTCAATTGGCATTTGATTGGTACTTTTACCTTTTTCCCAATTCTTTTATGCCCTCCTACTTCATGTAGTGACAGAAATCATTAATGTCATATTATTGTATTGGATTATGAGATCTTCCCATTTGATGTTTGTTTAACTTACTGAAGCTTCACTATTGCTCTCTTTCTGTTTTTTATGTTATTCTCTTCCGCAGGCTCACCCTGATCGTTATGTTGCCTCAATTTCTGTTTGAGTATCATATGTGGATCAACCATTCGTTAGGCAATCTAATTGATCTTTTTGTTCTGGGTCGAAATTGCATGTCCAATATATTGAATTTAGTTTCTTTTTTTAATTTTCCCCAGAACTATGTTGCTCTAAAGATCCAGAAAAGTGCGACACAATTTGCACAAGCGGCCCTGCACGAGATTGAAGTTCTTTCAGTTATAGTCAACGGTGATCCCTCTAATACCAAGTGTGTTGTCAGGTTGATTGATCACTTCAAGCATTCTGGTCCAAATGGGCAGCATCAATGCATGGTTCTTGAGTTTCTTGGTGATAGCTTGCTTAGGCTGATCAAGCATAACCGTTACAAGGGCCTTCACTTGAATAAAGTTAGAGAAATTTGCAAATGTATTCTTATAGGTTTGGATTACCTGCATAGAGAACTTGGGTTAATCCATACTGACCTCAAACCTGAAAATATTCTTCTTTTCTCCACCATTGACCCAGCAAAAGATCCAGTTAAATCTGGGTTATCCCCGATTCTTGAGAGACCTGAGGGTAACCTTAATGGTGGATCTACTATGAATATCATCGAGAAGAAGTTGAAAAGTAGGGCCAAAAGGGCAGTTGCCAAAATATCTGGGGGAAGAACTTCAATGGGAGGTCCCACACAAAAGCCCGAGAGAAACTTGGATGGGGTTGATTTGAGGTGCAAGGTTGTAGATTTTGGAAATGCATGCTGGAATGCTAAGCCATTTGCCGAAGAAATCCAAACACGACAGTATAGAGCTCCTGAAGTCATTCTGAGATCTGGTTATTCATATTCTACTGATATGTGGTCATTTGCTTGCACTGCTTTCGAGCTTGCAACTGGTGACATGTTGTTTGCTCCGAAGGGAAGTCAGAGCTTTTGTGAGGATGAGGTAGGATGGTATTGATTATGCTTGAATATTGTTGCTTAATTACATTTTATTATCATTTCTTCTCAAGTAAGTTTAATTTATAAGACTATGATGTATAAATTTTTAGACAATATGATTATTAACACATGGTACATTTGTTTTGGAGGGTTATATTAAAGGCGATACAAAATTGATATCAAGTATATGAAGTATGGCGGACTGAGTAGTCTTTTTAAATAGGATTCAGCATGTTATGAGCTTTCTCTCAATCTCTCCCAAACAAGGACGATTTTTGTGAATGTTCCACTGTATTAATTCTCTAAAATTATAATATTTCGAAGATGCATGTGCTTTGGTTGCACCATATCTGTCAGTTCCATATGAAATCTACTGGTTTTAAAAACCCTAGAGCATATGATTAGATTTAAGATGAGACATGTTTGAATAATTTTGGTGGCTTTGTGCCTTTGTCTAGTTAGAAGATTTGCATTGATATTATGCATGTTTGTGTTGAAATTTTCTCTTTGATCCATCCCCGAAGCGTAAAGCAGGATTCTGATGAATGTGGTTCATTTGCAGGATCACCTTGCTCTGATGATGGAACTTCTTGGGAAGATGCCTCGAAAGGTTTCACACACATTCTCATTAATGGATTCCTAGTAACGAGATGCATATGACTCAGTTTAACACATGTAACCTTTTAATAATCATTTGCAGATAGCAACTGGAGGAGCAAGATCTAAGGACTTGTTTGACAGGCATGGAGACCTAAAGAGGATAAGGAGGCTAAAGTATTGGCCTCTGAACCGATTATTGATTGATAGGTACAAATTCTCTGACGATGAAGCTCGCGAATTTTCAGATTTTCTATGTCCTCTTCTTGAATTTGCACCAGAAAAGCGACCGACTGCTCAACAGTGCCTCCAACATCCATGGATCAACCACACAGTATCTACCAATGTCAGCATGAAAAATAAAGGTGTTGCTATGGAGAAGTTGGAAAAAGGGGTGAGTAGCCTCCATATGAGGGTGGGAAAGTAGAGAATGGATGACGGAAGAGGTGCTTGCTTGCATCATTTTCAGGCCCTCCCTCCACTTGTATAAAATGGATTTCTTTCTTTCTTTCTTTTATATGTTTTGTTATATTGAAGTACCAAAATCAATTTTCTTATTTCAAGTTCTTGTTTGGTATTTATTGATGACTGATCGACTAAAACTGGAGTGGTAATGGGTACTATTTTGAGTGAGGAGAGATGACATGAAGCCAGGGGGTGGTTGTACAAATCAGAATAGGTTAACATATTATTGTATCTGATTTTTTCTATTGAGAAAGTATAATCTCTTATCTCTGTAATGGAGTATGGTGTTGTCTTATAGACAACCTACAAGAGCAGCAATTTGTAATTTGCAGGTAGACATAATTTTTTTTTGTATGCATATTAGTTGTGAGTTTCTAGATTCCGAGCTCATGGGTTTGTTTGTTGTCTTTAGTTTTGGACATAACGAGTTATGTTTTTCTTGACGTAGTTGCTTTGGCGTGTCATATTTTTCTAATTTCTGCCTTTCTTTTCATATTTTAGTACTTTCTCATATTCAGATTGCACAGTGCAATGTGTTTGCCACTTCATAAGAAAATGAGATGGAAAACTTCATAATTTTTCTCTCCTTTTTTGTTTAGATACTTGTTACTTGTTACTACAAACTAATACGAGCCATGCACATAACAAGAAACAACAATGTAACTATCGTATACAGTAACTAGGTGCAATGAGGGGTGAACATGTGAGTGGTTAATTCGCGAGTTGATGGCGATCAACCCTCAAATAACCAGAACCGCAACCAGTGGGTGGATTGCGGATTGATAAATCTCCTATCCGCCCTTATGTGGGTGGGTGGTGGGTGGATTGTGGGTCACCCGAATGACCCGCAATATATATTCACTTGATAAAATATTTTTTCTTATGCTATCGAATATTCATCATATTATTAACCGCACTACACACTAACCATCTACTTCTAAAAATGGAGAATAAAGAATATTTTTAGACCACTATTATTAGTTATTATGTTGTGTAATATCCATTAGATATTGGATGCAAATTATAAGTTATTAATTTTATCAAATTCGCAAAATGCGTAAGTTTTCTCACTTTCTCTACACAATGGGCTGGTAGAGTATTGTAAATTTTCATGCAAATACTACACGGATTCACATGAGACAAAGTGGGAAGTGTGTAAGTTGATAAACTCTTACTAATTTACAAGGAACTTATTATAAATATTATTAGTCTTTCTTAATGGTTAGTTGATGAATTGCTTTTACGGGTTAACCTACAATCCATTCGCACCCATCCGCCACCCACGCAACCCAATCAGTAGAAGAATGTGGGTGGATCGCGAGTCACAATTATACCAACTCGCTAGTTTGCGGGCGGGTCGATTTTAGACCAAAACCCACTCAACCCGCTCATTGCCCACCCCTAGGTCCAATGACATATTTCACCACAAGATACACACATTTGAGACCAAGAGATATAGTAATCTTTAAAGTCCATTATGAGTTCTCCAAATTGTTAGGATTTTCAATTGATTTATTTCTAAGCCAATTCTCTATTCGGTAGCCAGAAAATACATTATAGAACACCTCTAACGCATTCCAAAGTTTGTTTAGACTCATGAAATAGGCCATTATAGAATACTGTAACCTAGAGTCGTGTATCAATTCCATGTGAGGATACTTTCTCAACAAGGATTTAAAGCGATCCCATACTTCAACTAAAGTTTCTCCATCACACTGGCGAAATGCTAGGATCTCTCAATGGATGGGTCATGGTTGTACGGGTTTGACTACAAAGGCTCAATAGTAGATATCCAATTGATCCTCCCCTTCAAATCACTCATCCTCTCATTTCATAGTAAAGGGCTCTTTGCTCCTCACTATATGTGTCCCCTATCTAGTGGCCCGAAAACAAAGGAAGTACTCGTAAATCTAAGATTGTATCATAATCCAGTTTTATACGCCATGTCGAGTTGCATATTAAGGAGAGTGAACCAAACCACACGTGTAACTCCTCACCAGTGTGAGATCCCTTAAGAATTGGAGTAGCGCAGGCTACACGCAACCCTAGCAAAAAAAAGTAGGTACATCACACCTTAGACTAATTGTCTATGAACCCTTGAACCCTCTTCATCTTACCTCAACACATCAGAATCCATGGTAAAAAGCTCACACATGTTGTAGGTGTAGACACCACTTTTAGTCAGGGTGAACCAAATTTAATTAAATAAATGTTAGTTTTTGTTTAAAGTTAGCAACAACGAAATTTAAACAAAGTTCTAACTGAAGTTGTATTTACAGTGGTTGGGTTGAGTCTTGTTTTCCATAAGGCAATGAGATTAGCAATAGCAAATCTCCATCGATACAACTATTAGTGACGAGTTGACGTGTTTAGACGAATTATGTTTAACTTCGATTTTGGTTGCCATGCTATTTAATTGCTTCTTAAGACATTGGGCCTTACGAGAATTGCGTCGCAATATCTAAATAGTAAAATATAAGACATAACAATTTTATTAAGATGAATACAATGCTAAGCAACTAAAATCATGATTACAATACATAATAATTACAAATAATTACATTGCTAAACTATTATTACATCACACAATAATAATTACATAACACTAAGTACACAACTCAAATCATAATAATAAATACATAATTAATTGAATCATATAATCAAATATGCAAATTAGGCACGAATAATAATACACCTAACCATTAAAAAGTTATCGATTTAAGTAGTACACATTTGGGGCATTGTGGCATGTGAATACACTTCCCCACACGTAAAGGTACCCCCGTACCCATAATCTCTAAATTCGCATACCAAATCCCAGGTCTGACCCTAAGGTTGAGATTGGGCAAAATTAGTGTTCGACCAACTACAACTAAGGTCGATGACGACTTCGAACATTCGCGAACAGATCCCCGATTTTTAAGGGAGGTTGCGACAATAGTTCAAATGGTCGCCTCCTGAACCAAACAACTCTCTTTGTACAGGAATCCCGAGTATGAAAAGGACTTCATGGAGCATATGATCTTCACGTCTCCAAATGACATGTAAAAGATGTTGATGGCCGAGTTTCACTTCTCCATAAATGTCGCGAATAGACGCACATTTAGAAAGCGGATGGACCACTTGTATAATTGGTGAAACCCTGCCACGTACCTAGGCCAAATGCTCAACACTCACACTAAAAATCATGTACCTCTCAGATCCAAGCTTGCTCTATCCCGAGTGTAGAACTTCAAGTACGTCAGTTGACCAAGACTAGATCTCCCTCTGAGTGATAGTGACTATGGCAACTTCTTCTCTGATGATATTCAAGCAACTAGATCTTCCTCCATGTGAGATTCAGAATAGGACGAGGACTAAAGCTTCTTTTCATGTGACTTTACGGTGACTAGGGACGATGAAGATGACCTTATTTCTTCTTCTCCAGCGACAGGTGGCGAGCTCCGGTGATGGCAGAGAGTTTGGTTGACCACTGTTAGAGAGATTGAGTTGGGAAAGTTAGGGATGGAAGAGATGTTTGGTTAGATTGATTCAGGGATTCTATAGTTTAAGAATTACAAGATGAAACAAGGACAAAATTGTGGTGGATTTAACACGATGAACAAACCCAATTTAGGGTGACGATATCACTTTAATTTACAATTGTATCTAGACGGGGCACTATGTACTCGCGAATCGCGATGCAGAACAAGTATATTATTAAATATTGAGGATCCAAAGACTCTACAACTATTAGAATACTCATAACAATAGCGAGCAGAGACAAGTCGTTTCAATCCTTACAACTCATGGGTCTCTTTTCTTCTCAGATTAATTAGTTGAGAGACGTGGTTCTCAACCATTAATGACCCACCATGTGTCAAAAGATCGAATGGTGGTTAGCATGGTTGTCATGCCACTGGAATGTTGGTCGGTTGAAATGATATAAATAATGTCGCAAATGAAACCGGTTGGAATACCACCGGGATGACCAATTTTTTGTCTCTCAACAAAATGACGTCGTTTTATTGAATTTAGTTAAGCAAAAATTATTTTTTGATTTATTTCATGTATTTAAAAAAGTTAAATATTGATGTTATTTGTTGAATTCAAATATAAAATTTTAGGTGTCGATGTCAAATATTATATTTAAATATCAATACTTATTATTTTGAATATATTTTTATATATGCTTACATCCATTTGATGTTAATGATAAAATTTTACATATTTTGTTAGAGCATCTACATCAATCCAATTGTAAAAGCAATTGCATTTGTGTTCTTTAATGCCAAATCAACTTTTTTGCCCATCAACTCACATTACTTTCATTTATCTACATCAATGCAACTAGTTTTGTGCCCATCCGATGGGCGACGAGTGTCATTTGTTTGTACTTTTCTTTCTATTATGTGTTATTTTTTCCAATGGTATCAGATTCCTAATTTTCATATTTATTTATTGTTGTTACCTATTATCACTGACTTATCTGATATGCGGGCCGCTACATTTACTCTATGTTTTAATGATGATCAACAATAAAGTCAAACAACGCTGTAACTTCATCACCGCTTGGAAAATATTATTCATGACCATAAGATCTTTGATTGACTAAAAATTGTCAAATTCATAAGTTGTACATGGTTTAAGCTCGTGTACGGCTGTACGCCACCTTACCGTACTCCTATAGAGTTGGTATTTAGACCATGTATTAACAGAGTTTGGCAAATGATGCTATACCATATTCTCTAATAGGTGAAACACAGTCTCTAATTCTCTAATTCAACTCGTACGATTCATTTAATGAAAAATAATAACCACCGATTCTTATTTGTCAAAATGTATTAACATACAACTAATAGGTATGAATGAAGGTGCATATTACACCTCGAGTGTACGCTAGCCTTTTCCACCATTATATCAAAGTACAACCAAACTATTCTCTATGCTTCTTACCTTCAACATTGTACGAATGATATCAAAGCAAATGTTAGTTATTGAGACACTTTGTCTTCACTTCACATTGTCATCCAATATTAAATATGTGACCGACTGTAACTAGAATTGTGTGATAACTTTATACAAAGATAAAAGCGCTCTGTTGTGCAGTCAGTATAGTAACTAAATTTACAGGACATCGTCATGATATGATCTTGCATTGGTTTTATAGGACATCGGTCCGGGTACATCCCACCCTGGTATACATGACATCGGATAGGGTATGACCCGCAGTGGATTTATAGGACACCAGTCTAGGTACGATATGTGGTGGTATGCATGACATCTACTATACTACCTGAGGAATGCATGACTTAGCAAATTAAGATGTAAAATGCAATGAACCTAATCATGCATGTGATTGAATCCTTGTATAAATATTACTTATGATGTGGTTAAGTGATGACTTTTTATGATGTGATATATGAAATGTGCATGTCAATGATGATGGTTTTCTATGGTGTTTTGTACAATGATTTAAGATTTAATGATATGATGTTTTGCTATGTTGGGACAGGGGGTTACTTGTTAATGCCAGTATGATGTGATATTTGATGCATACATGTTTAAACATTGAGTTATCAAGAGACTGGGTGATGGTCCTTATGTTGTGATGTATGAATTCTTTGAGTTTGAGATGATGAATGTGATATGGCATGTGGTGATGAATGGATGTTTATTTGACTGAATAAGATATAACATATCAGATATATCTTGACAGTTAATTTAAGCCAGTAAGGCCTGAGAGGTGGGTGACGGAAAACTGAATACTCCATGTGCTGCCATGGTCAATGGGAGGGACAATAAGTCATTTTGAACTATACTCTTAAAGGTAACGGAGAAGATATAGATCATTATCTTATGAGTAAGGTTGTCGGGCGAGTATAACTGGTTACTAAAAAAAGATAGTAATATATGTATTAGGGTGTCATATTAAGTAAGAATTAAAATAGTTATTTACATATCAACCATCATATGTCCAATAGCTTAAGATTTGTTTACAAATCTTGCTTAACTTAGGTGTTATTCATCTGAATATGACTCAAAGTTGCACATCTACACTCATGTCTGAAAAATAAAGGAATTTATGTCAAACAATAAAAAATGAAAAGAAAGGAAATAGAATTACATTAGGAAAAAAGTAAAGACAATGTATTTTATAATTGTGCATGGAAGAATATTTAATGACGTACGGAAAATGAAAAGAGAAAGAAGTCTAAATAACATAAAAGAAAAGATAATGATATCATTTTACTATGCGAGAAATGCCAAATTCAATCCTAAAAATGACAAATGCATTATGTATATGTACATGACTTTTTTTTTTTAACTTCTTTCACCAATTGGTCACAAACATATTTAAACCATATAACCATAATTCGGTTTTGAAAGATATACAAAAAAATTGGTGACCATTGGTGTCTAGTGATATTCTTAAACACATGAAATTTTGTGTATATATCACTGTAGCATATGACTGAACTATGTTGATATATTTCATATATTTATAGTAAGTATTTTTCTAAATAATTGCAACATATCTACATTGGTTCACATATTTATAGTAGTTTGTCAAACAAAATGTTAAATTCTTCGTGTTCTAGAATGCAAAAGAAGATTATTCTTTACTTTTCATTTTTCAATTTTGATAGATAATCATATATCAAATTATGTAAAATTTTATAAGTGTGTACCAACTAAATTTAAGAAATTATAAACAATTATAAAACATATTATAAACTAAAAATAATTTATTTGTAGATGTTAATCATTTTCTTATCAATGCAAAAAAATAGAATATAAAATTTTAACCGTGATAGCTATTCTATTGGCTAAAAAATAGTTGTGATTAATTACATGAAAGATATTTTATTCTATTGGTTAAAAAATTGAAATGATTACAGTTTGAGCTTGTAGGTTGCATGATTAAATCTTAGTTATGGTGATTGATATACATGTTTTGTTGTGGTTTATAGCATCAAATATACTTTATCCTGGTAGTTGAACATTTGAAATGATGATAGTTTGACCTTGTATGTCACAGGTTCAAATCTTGGTCATGACGATTGATATATATGTTTATTTTATTTTATTTTAATGTAACCAATAACTTAAAATGTTAAAAAGACAAAATGACTTGAAAAATTGTGGAGATTTCATTATTCTACGTGGCAAAAACTTGCTCCACAACGACCATAATATAAGTTAAGATTAACTTGCAATTGGATATGTGGGCACAACTTCTTTATTAATAAAATAAAAGGTTTTAAAAAATAAAATAAAAGGTTTAAAAAATCCATGAACACCTACGTGGAATTGCAAATGAAATTGAATATAGTAGGTTAATGTGGATGCTCTTAAACCAACATGAATCAACATAAACTGGTTGTACACCTGTCCAAACAAATGTACTTAGTGTGATTGGTTATTATCTGTGATTTTCTTTAGCGCTCATTTGGTAGCTAGGAAAGCCCTTTCTTTGTTTCCGACTATGAGTCGCTTCTTTGATTTCCAATCCTGGCTGGTTTCCAGGGTGTAACTATCCTTATTTATCAATACATGATATCTTTTGACAAAAAAAAAAAAAACGGCGCAGCTGTTTAAACCGATTTGACAACCTTCGTGGTTAGTCGGGCTGTATCTGTTCATCAAAATCAGCAAGTGTCTAGTAGTACAGTGCGGCCCATGGTCGGCCTGTCATGAAAATGACATAAATACCATCGTTATGACCCAGCATGATCAATTTACAAACTCTAAGTAAAATGATGTTGTTTTAGTGAATTTGATTGATAAAAAATAAATTTATTATATGTTTTATGAATATAAAATTTAAAAGTTGATGTAATTTGGTGGATTCAAGTATAAATGTTTAGATATTGACGTTAAATGTTGTATTTAAATATGAGTATTTGTTATTTTATTTGGAATGTTGCATTTTATTATGCCGGAATGAACCGACACAAACCGATTGTACCACTTTGATCGTACCATTCCACTGCCAAATCGAGTCAACTGTATAAACCGGTTTGACCACGTTGGTCAGTTGGTGCGGGCGTGCGGCCACTAGCCAATCAAAATGAGTTGCTTTCAGTTAGTCTTGGTCTGGTACTAGGCAGCTCAATTTCCAGGGCCCGACCCTTGACCACCTCTCGTATCCAATCGAGAGTTTTAATCGCCGCCGTGGTGTCGGTGGCGGAACAAGGACGACGGAAGAGAAAGTGTCTTGGTTTTTTTGGTGGGGGAAAGAGGAGAAGTATCAATAATGTCGATGACGGTGATGCGTCCAGCCCAAGGGTGTTGTTGTCACTTCAACAATGCAATAAATAACTGCTTCAGTCTCCGTTATAGGCGAACTCTCAAGACTCCATCACTAGCAACAGAATTTCCCTTCGTCGCAGTAGCATCGCCGCCAACAAGGCTCTCTCTTTCTCTCCGTCGTCGACCACTCACCGTTGCTTCTTACTCCGCCGCGACGATGTCGTCATCACCGTCTTACGACAAGGAGCTCGCCGCTGCCAAGAAGGCCGTCTCACTCGCCTCCCGTCTATGCCAGGCAAGCAGCGATTTAGGGTTTTAAACCAAAAATATTCCGACCCCCAAATTCCGATCTCCGCGTAATCCAATAAATCAGCTGGTTATGTGTTGTACAGAAGGTGCAAAAGGCTCTGCTGCAATCGGATGTTCAATCCAAATCGGATAAAAGCCCCGTAACTGTGGCTGATTACGGTATGATCCTTCTTCTCTTGATTTTTACTTCTGCATTTTACAACTCCAATGGCGTCCAGGTTTTTGGGTTCTGTTTCCATTTCTGATAGTGTGATTGTATAATCTAGGATCACAAGCTGTAGTTAGTCTTGTTCTCCAAAGAGAGCTCCCTGCTGATCCATTCTCATTAGTTGCCGAGGAGGTGAGTGCCTTTTCTCCTAGCTCGATGCTTCATTAGCATAAAAGAACTCTTCTGTGGATGAATAATAATAGATCGTAATGTGCAGGATTCTGGCGATCTGAGGGATGACAGTGCCCAAGATATCAGAGCCCGTATTACAGAACTTGTTAATGATACACTAAGCACCGACGAATCTTCATCTTCAACTCTGTCTGTGGAACAAGTGTTGAAGGCAATCGATTGTGGGGTGTCTGAAGGAGGCGCCACTGGCAGACACTGGGTTTTGGATCCTATAGATGGTACTAAAGGGTATGCCTCTCAAACCAACTCCAAAACTGCCGCCTCCAAAATTTAGCTTCTCTTGCTGATGAGTTTGCTATAATAGGTTTGTGAGAGGTGACCAGTATGCAATAGCATTGGGACTGCTGGATGAAGGGAAAGTTGTGTTGGGTGCACTGGCTTGTCCAAATCTTCCCCTAACTTCGATTGCGGGTGCCAATCAACAGCCTTCTTCTGGTGAAGTTGGCTGTATCTTCTTTGCTAAATTGGGTTCTGGAACTTATATGCAACCATTAGAGGGTGGTCCGGCTGTGGAAGTAAGTATGCTCTACTGAAAAGACATGTTTATGCCCACATGTGATGTGGCGGTTTGGTTCAGAATTGGTGTCTTTTGCCTTGCAGGTGCATGTTACAGCTACTGAGAATCCAGAAGAAGCATCCTTCTTCGAGTCGTATGAAGCAGCACACTCCCTGCGTGGCTTGACCGGCTCCATCGCTGAGGTCTTATTTTGCTTGCTCTATACTTAGCAAAGCAATTTTTCTGAAACTGCACTCTCTCGTACTCCCTGAGCAGCCATGTGCTAACTACTCGTAATTCTTCTCAGAAACTTGGTGTTAAGGCACCACCTGTTAGAATCGATAGCCAGGCAAAGTATGGTGCTCTCTCGAGGGGCGATGGAGCCATTTACATGCGTTTTCCCCACAAAGGGTACCGTGAGAAGATATGGGATCATGCTGCTGGGTGCATAGTAGTAACAGGTATGGGGCAAGATTTCTCTTTCCATTTTTCTGTTGGATATGTGGTATAACCAATCAGAATCCATCTAGGCAATTCGGCTATCATGCTCATGTAGGAGATTGTAAGTATGGGCTGATATCGGCGCCACTCAAGATTTCAGCTGTTGGATTGACCCACATTGTGTACAAAATTGTCACTGTATCTGTCCAAAGGATGAGATCGTGCTGGGAAGACAAGATGTTATTGTATCAACATATGCTTACAGGGTCATCAGCATAGTAGCCAAACTACCATCCTGGAATAGTTGCTTGGTGGATGAAAGTTGACATCCGCGAGTTTCCATTTTTGTTTTTGCAGAAGCTGGGGGGCTCGTAACTGATGCTGCGGGGAAAGACTTGGATTTTTCCAAGGGTAGATTCTTGGATTTGGACACGGGGATCATCTCCACTAATGCAAAATTGATGCCATTGCTTTTGAAGGCCGTGAAAGAATCTTTGAAGGAAGGGGAAAGCTGCAGTTCCTCCATGTGATTCATGCTTTCTTTCCAGCATCAGTTTTGGTTGCCAACTTAGAAGCAGAAGTGTGCTTTCTTTTGTTTCGATGGTATCTTGAGAAACTTTAGGCTGTCCCTTCCTCATCTTCTGCCGATCCACTCCATTGACAACGACGACTACACTACGACGGATATGCCAAATGTTGATTCTTCATCATCAAATTTGTTTTCTTCCTCGTCTTCCTCAGAGCATTGTTCACATCCTTTGATAATGTCACAACGTGTGGACAGAAGTGGGTTGGAGGCTGAAGGGCAATGAAGAAGTAATCGTGATTCCTTATCTGGTGATTGGGTAACCATTTGCTTGGGGTCGTTTGATAGTCATCTTGGTTCCTGATTTGTGAAGTACATGGTCTTTTTGCTAAACATTGTCGATCTTTTGTATTTAGGGCCTGCAAATTTTTTGGATACATGGTATAATATGTATTCTGGAAACCTTTTTGATTTGGCCAGTGATGTCAACCATGCATTACTTCATATTGCGCATTTTCTCCATCATTCCCCTATTGCAATGCAGTTAAAATCGCGCTTTAAAATTTAAAAGCTTATGTCCTTTTACATTTTTAGGTCACCACAACGCTTCTATATAGAATCGTGATTGCTTCTATATAGAATCGTGATTGCTTCTATCATTCATTTCATCATCCACGATATAGTTGTTATGAAACACATTATGCTTGAGATTGTCATGGACGAGTGCAAGTGTGCAACAAATACAAGTAATTTAATTTCAATAGGATGTTTAAAAGTTTGATATGATTTACGAAAATGTTAGGAGTGACTATATTTCAGAAAGAAAATAAGAAATTAGTAAGGGTTAATTTATCTATTTTATTCATCTAATATCTATGTAAAGATTGATGTATGTTTTACGTTGACTTATCAAGAGAGACATTACATGAGCTTAATCGATGATATAGTCTACAAATACTAAAGAACATAAACTTTAAATGCTTATGAGAGCCATATCCATACCTATGCAGCTATGCTATATGTATTTTAAGTTTTGAACAATTTTTTTCGATTGCATTTTATGCTCTCTAAACAATTTTGTTTTTCAAAAGTGCAATTTTCTCTTATTTCCTCGTCCAGACCAATAGAGAGAGGCACCTTTACTTGACATATATTATATTAGATACAACTCATGTTTTCGAATTTTTTTACATTCCAAAGTAACATATTGCCCACAACCACTTTTATAGTCGAATGACACCCTAGTCTCTATTAAGTTTCTATTTATTGAGATAATTTCAATATCTAATAAGTATCATAAATGATGTTGCTTGCCTTCTAGATATATTATTTTTCAATTTTTATGTTTGGATAATGTGGTTCAACCTAGTGAAGAGTAGGCACAATAGTCAATACATGTGCGCCATAATTGAGAAAATGTGTGCATTCGAATATCGGATAATGTAAAACAAGGGAGTATATGCCTTTTTATACGAGTGAATCTATGTGATGCCAAAAAAACTTCTTGATCTTGAGACAATCAATGAGATGGCTTCGGGGGTGAGATACCTGGATTGACCTTGAACCTTGGTTTCCATTTCTCCCGAAAGCTAGGATTGTGAGTCGCCCTCGAGGAGCCAAGATGACATCTTGGAACATGAAGCCACATTACATGCCTTGTTCACCTTAATGAGCTAGATGCCACTGAGAATCCAGATTGGCCTGGAAATTTTGCTAATGAGGTAACTTTTTGGTTATACTTTCTTACTATGCAATTTAGGGCGAATTCGAGGCCATCCAGTTCTCTTCTCAATCTGAAAGGCCCCATCTTCGTCCTACTCCATCAAGAAGTAATACATCTATTGGGATTCATTATGATGGAGCGTTCATATAAAAGACTTCCAACTGGCGGGATTATGGTATTATCAACAACCATAGACACCCATCTTGATCGTACTCTACCAAAAAGTATATGATGGGCGTGCTGAGAATATCCATTGTTCCACTCTAATTGAAGCCGAAGCAAAAACTTTCTTGAGAGTGTTCAAATTAGCTCAAGAATATGGCTCCCCTTGAGTTATTCGATAAGATTTTCAGTTTCTTGTTCGCTCTCTTGAGATTCATCCATCCGTGTGACCATGGAGTCGTGTCACTTGGATTGGTTTGATGATCCCTACCATATGCATGCACCAAATAAAGGTTTTCAGGTTCTTTGAGATCGATCCATCCTTGTGCCATTGCACAGTGAGGCTTGGATTGGGTTGATGATACCTATCCTATGCATGATGCCTCAAATCAAGGTTGAAGTTGTGATCTCTCATTAATCAAGCAAATTGGGTGCTAGATCATTAGCTAGATCTAATCTCCAGAATAACACCCCGATCCTATATTTTTGATGCCAACGAATGAGAATTATTATTATTTACCTCATTTCTATATTTTTTTGAAGTTATCGTTCTTGTAAGTTTTAACCTTACTTTTCAAAATTTGGAAAAGGCCATTTATGTGTTAAAAAACAAAATGTATGATCGCACCCCACTAGTGTTGGTACGATCGCACCCGTTTAAAAAAAACAACAACAAATGGGTCGTTTGGAAGTTGCGATTGTTTTGTTGAGATTGTCATTATGCATGTATTGTTTACAATGTATCGTTTTTTGTTTTTTAGCAGAAACAATACATGAATTGTTTTTGTGATGTGACAGAAACTATCACTCATTTTGAGTGATTGTTATATCTCAACTTTTAGTTGTGATTGTTGAGATAGTTGAGTTGAGATTGTTTTGTCTCAGCTTTTAGCTGATGCGACATACACAATCACACATACCAAACGTTGTATTCTACAATGCATCAAATTTGACAATACATGTATAATATTATACATACATTCTCAACAATACATCTATTTAACAATCACAACTTCCAAACGACCAAAATGTAACAAATTAGAAGACTGCAAAAAGGAACGTCAAAGTCATGGGCCGAAGCTCAACCCATGTGAGTGTCTGTCTTTCAGTTCCAAGCCCAATCTAGCCAGGTTCCCTTTAAAGGCCCATCAAGTTGTACGGTAGCTCCCCAGTCCAATATGATTCCCACAAACTAACCGCCTTTTTTCTGCTACTCTCTGTCTCTGTCTGGAATAGCTCTGTGCTCTGGCTCTCAGTGTTGGTGTGTTACGACCTGTAATTTTCAGTGTTGCTGAATTCGCGGAAGAAGCGAAGGAATTTCTTCGACGACGCAACTCGTAGCAAGCAAAAGTTCCCCCAATCTTTCTTGCAATTCCCAATTTGCAAAAGCAGTCGAAGCTTTTCCTGTGGGGGGCAATGAGGGGTATTGATCCCTTGCCGCTTCCACTCCGCAGTTCAATCCGCTCTGGTGTTATAGTGTTCGACTTGACAAGAATTGTGGAGGAACTCATTTTCAATAGCTTGGATGCCGCCGCGACTAAGGTAATTACGCTCCGACGACCCTTCTTTCACCTGGGTCTGTTCTCCATCGGGCACTTCTAGTAATAATTTCTTTAGCAATTACGTTCCAACCACTCTCCTTTCATCTGGCCAGGTTCGCCATTGGGCGCTACAGGTGTCCATGCAACCAATTTCGTTCATTTTACCGTAAAGTAATTGATGGGTTTTTTTCTCCAGGTTACTGTGTTTCTTGATGTGGGGTCTTGCTATGTTAAGGTGGTGGACAATGGTCAGTTGGGTTTAGTCCTTTTCGCGTCGATAAATGTTAGTTTCATCGACAGCTTCTTATTCTCGTAATCTCGTTCCTTTTTCTTGGTGGTTTTTAGGTTCTGGCATCTCTAGGGATGGATTGGTCATGTTGGGAGAAAGATATGGTGCGTACACTCAAGACTTTCCTTCATTTCTGTAGGGTTCTTGTTCAGGGCTAGAGTTATTTCTTCTCTTTCGTAGCCTGCAAGTTAAGAACAAAGTTGTTCATACTGTTAAGGAATGTCTCTGGGTGTCTCTAAAATTCTCGAACTTATAAAATATCAGATGATTAGTAGATGGCTATGATAGGTGAATGGTGTATGCTTATTTAGTGATTCCTCTGATAATGCTGGGGAGTTTTGTGTTTCAACAGTGACATCAAAGCTTCCTAGTGATGAGACATTTGGCTTCAGAGGGGAAACATTGGCTTCCATCTCTGATGTCTCGTTGCTGGAAATTGTAACAAGAACCCGTGGAAGGCCTAATGGCTACCGGAAGGTCTTAAAGGTTTGTTTTTAGTTCATTAACCTTCTAAGATTAGTCTCTTTTTCCTTTCTCTCTTGCCTGTGAGTTTTTTTTTTTTTTTTTTGTTCTTAGCTCTGCCTTCTTGAGTATTCACGTTCTCACTTGTCTACAGGGATCAGAGTGCTTATATCTTGGAATTGATGATAATAGGAAAGATGTTGGCACAACAGGTGACTCATTCCATTTAACCAGTATCCATTTGAGTATTCATGATCTTCTTACAGCTCCTGTTATACTTTGACCTTTGTGTTCAAAAAATTTCATCTTACATCTTGGCAGTTACTGTTCGGGATTTGTTCTACAACCAGCCCGTTCGGAGGAATTTTATCCAATCCAGGTTTGTTTCGGCCTATGCTCTTTCAGGTCTTAGTGGTCTTATGGGAATTTATACTGCAATGCACTTTTGATTGATACATTGATCATTTATACTTCTCAATTGGCAGTCCCCAGAAGGTCTTGCAGTCTGTTAAGAAATGTGTCCTTCGAGTTGCCCTTGTCCACTCAAAGGTCTCCTTTAAAGTCATCGACATTGATAGGTGTGGTGCTGCTCTTTGTTGCAAGTCAGAACTTGGTGGCTACTGTTTTTGTTCTTGACATTTGCCTTCTCCAAATTGTAGTGAGAAAGAGCTTCTTTCCGTTCAGCCTTCTTCTGCCATGTCAATTTTGATGAGTGACCATGGGATTGATGAATTCAGCTCTCTCCACAAGGTCAATCATACTGATGGCTTCTTGAGTCTCTCTGGCTACATGACTGGTCCATCCGATAAATTTTCTGCAAAGGTAGGATCCTTATCTAGACAGATACCAAATACTATCCTACTTGCCTCTTTTTTTCCTGGTTTCTCATTGGGAATTTTATTTTGTTTCTGCAGGCCTTTCAATATGTTTGTATCCGTCATCTTGTATATGCATACACATTATTCTCAGTTTTATGTTCTACGAACTAGTTTGTTTTAGACCTTTACAATAGCAGATATCAACTCACGCTTCGTCTTCAGAGGTCCAATCCACAAGCTGCTTAATCACTTGGTCATGACGTTTGAGAGTCTGGAACAACAGAGTGATTATGTGTCTCAAAAGGGAAAGAGAAGCCGGTCTCAAGCATCCATGGCCTACATTGTGAACTTAAGTTGTCCTTCTGACCTATATGATCTAACTTTTGAGACGTCAGAGACTTATGTTGAATTCAAGGTGAAGCCTCTCATGTGTCAAGAGGAACTATCATATCTCTGCATAGTGAATTAGCATATCCATTATCTGTGTGCGTTTAAGTTGACAAATTTCTGTTTCTCATCTCTTTTCATTCTTGTTTTACTCTTATTTTCATCTCTGTGAATTGGTGGCAGGATTGGGGTCCAATTCTTACCTTTATTCAAAATGCCATTCAACAAGTCTGGAGCAGGATTACTAACGGTAGTTTGCTTTCATGAGAACCATAATTTGTGAATAGTTATTGCTATATATCGTGATCTTTGGATTGTTTGCAGGAGAATCCTCTTGTCATGGAGTAGACCTTCTTGATAACAGTGAATATTGGAAGGGAAAGGATGGTATCTCATTTGGAAATGAAGGTACGTTACTATCATTTGTGGGGATGCTTTTCAATTTCAAATGCATATATTTTGAATCTATATCACAAATGTATCTGCACATCTTTGCATGGATGTTACTGACAACCATGGTTTGGACGTAGACTCAACAGAGAACTCGGTTGTTGCAATTGATAAGTTTCAAAGACAGCAGTATGATCTTGATTATTCTCCCCTTCCAAACCGGAAGAAGCATCTTGGTGGAACTTTTAAGAAGGATTATGATAAAGCTACATGTCTAGAATTTGAAATGGATGCTTCTCAGTTCAACGAGCAACAATCGGAAATGGGGTTTGACTTTCCTGCATCTCTCAGCAGTATTGAATTCCCAAATGACGATCTTGAATATAGATATAACACTAGACGGAAGCACAGTGGGAACATGGGGGGAAGCCATTTAAGTTCAGATTGGAAGAATGAGTCCCCTAAAATTGAGTCTGCTAAGATGGAATTATCTTCAGATCATGAAGAGTGGATAAAACAACTAGAGGTTAGTCAAAGTGGATACGGCTGCAGGGATCATGAAGCGACATTTCAAGAATTTGAGGTGCATGCTTCTGTATTCAAAGGGCAGCAAGTTGAAAGGAGAGCTGTGTGCCAACGAGGCTTCTCAATGGAACCCATGGTGGATGTCCCTGATTGTGAAAAAATACCTAATGCCGGCCAAGAGTATGCCACCAAAATTTTTGTATCTAATCATAATTCCGAGTTTTCTGATGACAGGCTTACCAGTGGAAAAAATTGCAGTGATTACATGGAGGGAAATCCTTTCACATACTGGCAGAATGAGTCCCTCAAAAATGAGTCAGCTAAGATTGCATTATCTTCAGATCATGAGGTGTGGAGTAAAAAGCTAGAGGGTAATGAAAGTGGAAAAGACCACTTCTTGCATGGTTGCTCATCAATGAGAAGCTTTTCATGCAGCAAGGGTGTGCTAAATAGTGAGGAGGAACCTGAATTTTCACTTGGTGAACCCCAGTTCCAAAGAAGGCGACTTTGCTCTGACGAAAACATGGGTGTACTAGAAGTTGAGAGTAGTAATCAGAGGGGTGATATCTTTCTAGGGAATGGAGGCCAGTCGTCTGTTGAAAGCGGAAAAGACCACCTATTGCATGGTTGCTCATCACTGAGAAGTCTGTCATGCAGCAAGGGTTTCCTAAATAGTGGGGAAGAACCTGAATTTCCACTTGGCGAACCCCGGTTTAAAAGAAAGCAACTTTGCTCTGATGAAAACATTGGTGTACTAAAAGTTGAGAGGAGTAACCAGGGGGGTGATATCTTTTTAGGGCAGGAAGTGCAGTCATTCGCTGATAGTGGGGAAGGCCACTTCTTGCACGGTTGCTCATCACTGAGAAGCCTGTCATGTAGCAAGGATTTTTTAATTCGCGAGGAAGAACTTGAATTTCCACTTGCTGAACCCCAATTCAAAAGCAGGCGACTTTGCGCTGATGAAAACGTAGGTGAACTAAAAGTTGAGAGTAGGAAACAGAAGGATAATATCCTTGTACGGCAGGGAGAGCAGGCTTTTGCTGAAAGCATAGGACTTCATTCTGATTTTATCTTGCATAACAGAGGTTTGCCGACACCGGATAAATGGTTTAGATCCAACTCTGATTCAGAAACTTCAGATGCTTTTCTTCAGCCCAGTTGGAATGTTGAGAGCTTCCCCCGTGATATTAAAGATGAAGTGGGTGTGAAGTGTAGGAATGTGTCAAGAGATAAGGGGGGATGGTTACAGTTTGACTTGCACTCTGAAGGTCAACCTAGCAATGACAAGTATGAAGTTGAACGGGATATAACAGATGAAGTGGGTGTTAGGTGTGGCACAGTCAAAGACACAAGGTTGTTATCCTCACAGCAGAATCACGTGTCAAGAGATAAGGCTAGCTGTTTACAGTTTGACTTGCATTCTGAAGGTCAAACTAGAAATGGCAAGTGTGAAGATGAACTGGATATAACAGATGAAGTGGGTGTAAGGTGTGAGAGAGACAAAGACACAAGGTTGTTATCCTTACAGCGGAATCACCTGTCAAGAGATAGGGCTGGCTGGTTACAGTTTGACTTGCATTCTGAAGGTCAAAATAGCCATGACAAGTACAACGATGAACGGGAGAAACTAGGATACCAAGGTGGGAAGAATGATCTTCAGGGACATCACTGCAGTAGAAGTTGCTCTCCCCCTCCATCTGTAAAGCACAAGAGGAAGTGTGTTCCCTTGAATAGTTCATTCGCAGCAGGAAGGAAACCTCGTACTGAATTGGCGTATATTGATGGTAATGCTTCAAGTCTAATACCTGAATTGTTTATGTTATATAGAGATGCAAGATAATTAACGTGCATATTTTGCAGGGAGAAACGGAATTATGGATTTTGCGCCAAATAGTGGCGAGGAACTTATTTCAACCACCAGGTACCATGATTCTCTCTCTTTTCCACTTGAGACTAGTGCAATGTATCGATTACGCATCTCATTGAGCCTGATTTCGAACCAGAAACCGATTATGCATCTCCTTGGGCCTCATTTCAGACCAGAAATGAAGTACAGAAAAAGTGCTGTGCCAGATGTGGAGGAGGTTCTAGAAGGGAAACAGGTTGAACATGGGTGCCTGGGGGTGCATAATTCTCCAGGTGACTATAAATCCAACTCCTGGGACAAAATTATGGTTGTTGAGCAATATCACTTCAGTTGGCGTTAGTAAAGGTTGATTTTTTTGTTGACAATGTTACTGAAGGTTGATTGAGATTGGGGTTTTACATACATTCGGGAGTGGAAAATATTAAAGAAAAATTACCTATTGATAACTCAAGATGAAGGCTACTTAATGAACTCAGGGAACTCTCTAGGTTTACTGTGTTGTAGCTTCATCCTAAGCTAAGGATCCGGTTGCTTTTCTTTCACGGTTTCACCTACATTACTTTTACATGTCCAATCTTAAGTCCTTAAACTTCCATTTTTCATTTATCAGGCTTTATGACAAATGGAAGCAGAAAGTTGGAAGATTTTGTCACCAAATGGAGGAACTCCTCTAAAGTAATTAAGTTTCTTATCTTAATATCTGAAGAACTGTTACATCTCATCAGAGCAATACTATTTGTTCTCCACTAATTTCCTTTTTTCCTGTTACTGGATCTTCTGTGCAGGAGAAAAATATGAAAACAGGATGTGATGGTGGCAGTCACCATAGTAGCATACTTGACATATCTTCAGGGTTCTTCAGTTTGGCTGGTAGAGAACTGATTCCAGAATCTCTACAGAAGAATTGCCTCAGGAAGGCTAAGGTTCTTCATCAATTGGACAAGAAATTTATTCCAGTGGTTGCTGGTGGAACTCTCTGTGTTATAGACCAGGTGCCATTCACTTTCTTCTAAATGTCAGCAACATGCTGCATGAGTTTTACCTTGGACATCACACTTAGATTACAATTAAAGACAGGTCATTATATGTGTAAAATAACAGTTAGCATAATTGTTTTGACATTTTGCAGCATGCAGCAGATGAAAGGATCCGGCTGGAGGAACTTCGAGACAAGGTTAAAAAAAAATAGTTCCCTTGGTTGATGTTTGCATCCGAACAGTAATAACATAAAAATTTGAATGACTCTCTAGGTGTTATCTGGAAAGGCTAGGACAATATCATATCTCGATCACGAAGAAGAGCTGGTATGCCTGTTTCTTTTCTGCTTAAGTTTCTGTCCTAGCATGTTGTAGGCTTTTGTTACGTTCTTCCTAGTGATTTGGAAATACTGGGGGACTTGTAAAACAGATTCTTCCTGAGTTTGGATATCAGCTTCTTCTTGATTATGCTGGTCAAGTAAGAGAATGGGGTTGGATTTGCAACATGCAAGCTCAAGGTTCAGGGATGTTCAACAAGTAATCTCTTTCATAGTCTCTCGCTCTCTCTCCCTGCTCCAAGTTTGGGTTGTTTTTGGAGTTTCATCTCTGAATTTTCTGCAGGAACTTGAATGTCCTCCACCAACATACGGCAGTAGTGACCCTAATTGCGGTAAATAACAACTTCGTCCGTGTTTCAGATCATCCTACTAATTTTGCAAACAACTTTTTTTGTCTCATTTTGTAGCCAAGTTTCGATGGGAACTGAAAACTACTTCTTAAGTGATATTCATTTAAAAAAAGGTTTTAAAAAATTAATTAACATCCTTGATTGTCTGATGAGCAGGTACCCTGCATTTTAGGAACTAATTTGTCTGGTGGAGATCTCCTGGAATTTCTTCAGCAGGTAGTCGATTCAATGTCCATTGTCATAACAGCCCAACCTTCGAGCTTTTTTGAGTTGACACTTCCTTTCCAATCTGTAGCTTGCTGACACGGATGGGGCTTCAACAATACCACCATGCGTTGGTAGAGTCTTGAATTCAAAAGCATGCAGAGGTTAGAGTTTACGAAATATAAGCTAAGCGATATTTGTTTTTTTTTTTTTTTGTGGGTTTGGTGTTGGTGTTACTGATTCTTGAGGCTTGATCCTGCACCGCATGGCATTGAAGGTGCAATTATGTTTGGCGATTCTTTGCTGCAATCGGAATGTGCGCTAATCGTGGAAGAACTAGAGAAGACTCGTCTCTGTTTTCAAGTAAGTGGAGGTGGTGATACCTTGTTTAGCTACTATCGCCCTTGTTTCTTCAATGTGAAGGAATGGAAATGGTGATTTGTGCGATTGTGCTGATGCAGTGTGCTCATGGGCGACCCACAACCGCACCTCTGGTGAACTTGGCAGCATTGCATGGTGAGATCACCAAGGTATTAGCTTTGACGAAGAAAAACGACACATTTATTTTACAACGTCAGGAGCTCAACATCAGTCGTGCAACCCAGCGGTTAGCTGCTGGCAGAGGAGCTGCTTAAGATGTGCATCCAAAACAAGTAGATAAAGTGTCGTGTAGGACTACGATTTTCCATTTAATCGATTCTTTGAGTTGTTTTCTGATGTATATGTTCATCTCATGAAATCAAAATGCCAACAGGAGAATGTCTTTTACTTCCTCCCGTCTCTCACTGCCATAGTTCTGGATGTACAGAGAATATGGACAAATACCATGTATTATTGGATAAACACCACGAAACGTGAATAAGTTGACATGAGAATGAAAGGCAGCAATGGCAATCAAAAATTGGAAAGGAAAGTTAACATACAAAATGATACCAGAAAATTTTCTCCACTCTTCAGAATTACCCATTCAATGCACAACAGCATCCAGGAAGGCTTCTCTATTCAGTACCAAGTAGGCGAAGCTAACCAAATTTAATCACTTCAGCTTTGGTGACAAGAACTAACCAGTACACACGAAGGTGGCCACTTCAAATTCCTTTCACCTGTTCAAATACAGCATCCCAGATCACTCTTCTGTTGTTCCATAACACAAAGATCCCCATCGATGTATGCTTTGGTGGGCATTCAATCGTGCGGAGGGCAGTCCAGAAACACCTTTGTTGCATTTAACTTATGCCTCTTCTGCATCACTAGGGTGAGAAGTCCCAGCTTGTACAAACATAAGTTTATATTCTTCCCTCGCCAACTTTCCATCAAGCTGCATCAGCAGCTACTGCTACTTCTCGCACTTTGCGTTTCCTCTTGGTTTCATTTAGATCTTGGTCAGCTTTGGATACGATTTTCGAGACTGTAAACCCTGCAACTTCAAAAATCTCTGCTCTATAAGGTATCAAGGAGTTTCTAAGGACCACATCGATTCCATCATATGTCCAAACACCTAAGACTGCATCTCCTTTTAGTCCAATCGCAAACCAGCCAAGACCTGCTGCAGCAATGTCTACTGAACTTGAATCCCAGCTATTCCCAGTTACGGTGAATTCATGTCTCACCCATTTTCCAAGCTCTTGGACTCGTTTTACCCCAATTGGTGGCTGAAAAATAAGGAACATCACGTTAAGATCATTTCACGTATACATATCTCTGCAGTTAGCATAAAAATCCTTTGCTAGAGAGAGCTGGTAGAGAGTCTATATATCAAGTGGTAAATTTTTTGCTGATGCTATCCTTCACAGTTCACAACAGTCACTAGAGAAACAACTAACCAATGAGGCCAAGATGCAATTTACCTGTAACTGACGGCCAAAATGTTCTTCAAACATAGTGCTTGCATTTTCTGTTTTCCCCATATGTAGTGGAAGATATGGCGAACCCCAGACAGTCACATATATAGAGTCCACCGATGATTCTTCAATATCTAGCCTCATAAGTCCACCAATGTGAACTGAGTAACCTACCTGTCACAATCAGTGTTCCTTAGAAAAAGCGTCAACATATAGCATGCAATGAGAAACAAATAGTCATACTTAAAAGGAACAAATTTTATCTGCACTACAATAATGTGAATGGAACATATTGTTCCAATGGTCAAGTTGCTGTACTTCCTAGTCAATGAAATAAGGATAAAGATTGCCCTTTTTTGGTGCATATGTTAACAAACCTTAATTCTGTATGTCCTCGGTTTCAACTCCTTAGTAATCTGAACAAGCTTCTGCTCATCCCTAGTCAAGCGAGTTGTAATCTGATTCGGGTTAAGAAGCCCTGGAGTGTCAAACAACTTTGCATTCCCAGGAAGAACACCCTCCACCCTAATTATCCCCAGAGTAGTTCCTGGTACAGGTGCCTCTGTTAAATGAATAACCTTTGCTTCACTTCCACCACCAGCACACTTCCCCATCGCATTCAACAAAGTACTCTTGCCAGCATTCTGCATTCCAACAGTCCACACATGACCTCTAGCCCCAGCCAATTCTTTCACATCCTCAACCAAATCCTTCAACCCCCAATCCTTGACAGCACTCACAAAATGGACTTTCTTAATAACACCAGCACCACCATCCCTGGCTCTCTGCCTAACCCAATGCTCGAATCGAGTGGGCGATAAAGAAGTAGGCAACAAATCAATCTTCGTAATCACCAGAACAACTCTAGGCACATTCCCTGATTTCCCCTCTTTCCAATTCGTGTAGTTCTCATCAATGGCTTCTGTCACAAGCTTCGCAAGCCTCCTCGGAAATGACCCATCAAAATCAACAGCATCCACGACTAATAGAACTACTGACCTGGCCCCTGAGGCTGAAACCAAACGCTTTCCCACAGCATGATAGAAATCGAATTCTGGCAACAGATTCTCCACAGTTGGGTCCTTCACCTTTCCGTAGTGTCTCAACGAGTGACAGCGGGCGCACACAACAGGCCTACCGGAGAATTTTCCCCCGGTCGAAGCAGCGCTGGTTTGAGGATTTTCAGAGTCTTCAACAAAACCCTTTTTCAGGGAACTGGAGACTTCCGACTCTAGCGCTATTGGTACCAGCCGCACTCTGGATTTATAACTGGGATCCCTTGACGAAGGTTTGACAAAGAATCCGGGATGCTTGGCGTCTGAATCCTGCATACGGATGCCGCAGCCAGGGCAAACGGCGGCGGAAGGAGTTGCCTCGTCGACATTACCATCGCGGGAGAGGATCAAAGAAGACGAAGGCTTCTGAGATTTTGCCGCGGCAGCTGAAGTGAAAGGATGACAAGAGGAATACGACGAGGGAAATGGAGAAGCGGAGACGGAGGAGCCCTTTCCTTCGGCGAAACGGTGGTGGTGTGCAGGAGATGGAAGGGGATGATGGTTTTGGAGAGATGGGGAGAAGCGAGAAAGGGAGAAAAGGGGCTTAAGCTTCGATTTCGCGACGGAGAGGTTTCTAGCAATCACCATATCCAAATGGAGGTGAAAGCAACAATGAATTGCGGAATTCGGAAATTTGTGAAGGTGAGGAGGGGAAGAGTTGGCGAGCAACCGAGGGGGATCGTCGGAGGGAATTAGGGGTTTTCAGGGGTTTAACTCACATAAACATGGTAACTATCTAAATCGATCAGACAGCTTTAGTATTTCTACAAAATGGTCATATAACTTTAAACTTATAACAAAATAATCAATTTTTTAGGGATGGCAATGAGTTCGGTTGGGTTGGGGGCGGATACTGAATATCTGTTATCCTATCTAAAGTAGTTCGGTTTTTACCCATACCCATACTCACATAAAAAATGGGTAGAAAATCAAAATCATGCCTATACCCGTTCGGGTTTTGGGTATCTACGGTTATCCATGAGTAATAATTTCTCTTTATAAGTCCAACCAATATGTAAACATTTCCACGTATTCTCACATTAAATCAGAGGAAATTACAACAAATAATTTACTAGAATGAAGAAAATTAATTAAAACAACACAATTTCATGAAAATATTATATTTATATGCTATATGTAAAATATGTTAGAGAAAAATAATGATTATTTCTAGACGAAGTACATACACATATGTATAATCGGGTGGGTTCGGGTTGGATAGTAAGAAAATTATGCCCACCAATTTCCCGCAATATTAGGGTTCGGGTTTTACCCATACCCACTAAAAGTCTTTCGAGTTCGGGTCTTACCCTACCCGTCCCCGATCAAGTCGGATTCGCGCAGATATCCACGCTTAAGGATTTTTTTGCCATCCCTACTTTTTTGGGTAGAAAAACATATGCAAAGTGCAACCTGCATTCAAACTTACATTAAAGGGTAGGGCTGCAAATGAGTCGAGTCGAACCAAGTTTTAATATAGTTGTGGTTCGGCTAGTTAATAAATGAGTCGAACTCAGCTTGTCTACTAAAATCTTAACTTGTGTTTGACTCTAGCTCAACTCATTAATGAGCTCATGAGTTCTACTCGACATCAACTCATCACTTAGCTTTTTTTGGACCGGCTCAAGCTGAGATATGATTTTATTTATTTCATAATTTTTGATTGTTTATATTATGTTATTTAAAGGTAATACTGGAACACGTCAATGCAGTAAGGTGACATCTAAATATCTCCTAAACATAACTACATGGAGCTAGAAATTCAATATTAAAGGAGGAAATTAACATCAGCTACGAAATCAATTTTCTATATCAATATTTTCAATAGATTAAGAACTTTGTGAGCTACTCTTCTATGAATTCGTGAACTATGTTATTGTCATTATGGGTTGAGTAAGTTATTAATTATTTTACCTTAAGTGAAGAAGTGTTCTAGATTATTATATCATTCATCATGAAGTGTGAATAGATATTTTTCTTCCAACGCCTAGGCATGCTTATCCTACGCCTAGGCACGCTTATTCTACGCCTAGGCAAGCTAAGCGCTAGGTAAAGTCTCAACGCCCGTCTTACGCCTAGCGCCTTCTTGAACCTAAATATGAAATAATAATAATAATAATAAGACGAAATAAACAAAAATTGTTCTAAGCACAAAAACCAACCTACACACCTTGGCTTAATCGAACTCTAGAACAATACTCGTAATTTCTCTCTTTTGTGCTCCCATAGCTGATACTTTTTCTATGAATTGTAAAATACTAGCGACATCAAATTATTGGAATAATTAGAGTTTTAAGATAAGAAAGCTTTCTTATTCGAAAAAGAGCTATAGAAGTTCTGTCGGTGTTCTCTCATCTCTTAATTAAGATATTTCGAAATCGAGAATCGTGAGACTCGCCCAACCTATACAAGGGGCTTTCATCGGTATTTTGTTTAGGGATAAACCCTACTAAAGAAAGGACGAGCTATAGCTACCCCTAACCCTTAGCCGAACTCTTTGTTATTGATTAGTGGTTATCCGTCAAATTAATCGCAAAGCGAAACATGCAGCTAACTACTAAGATTTAATCGGTTCAATTTTCTTATATAATTTCTGTTTAGAGGTTAAACCGTCTTTGAAAAATAGGGAGGAAAGACACCTCGAGCTTCTCTTTAGATTGCTTATAATAGGCAAGAACATGCGTTAGCAACTTAGCATTCCATCCCATAACATCGCCAACCAATCAATCAAATAAATAATCAATCTTTTCTTCAACTCTGCATACAAACAAACAAACAACAAACAGCAGCGCGAGGCAGGGATGGCACCATGGTTGCTCTTTGTCGACAAAATAACAAGTCTCCCCTGTCAACATAACAAAGGACACGAACCCCACTTCACTTGGAATTCAAGTTGTAACCAAAACAAAAAGCCTTAGTGGGAAATAATGTTACAAACAACAACAATCAGCAACAGCGTTAGCCCGCCAAACCATAATCATCGGCCGCCTGATCATACAGATTGTAGCTCCCCGCTGCAGAAGGCTGAGAACCCTGAGACAAGTAATGCAATTGGTCAACATGGTTGGTCTGAAAGCAATGATCTTCAGCAGTATTCCTACAATACATCATCTCCTCGGACTTCGAATTGCTGCAGTTCATGATCATATCCTGATGATGATGGTTGTGATGATGATCAATCTGCAGGGAATCCACTTCAGTCTCCACTTCCGAAACATCCCCACCACCACCACCATTGTTGTTGTTGTTGTTGTTGTTGTTGTTGTTAGTAGTAGAGGTAGTGCCAGCAGGAACCTGCTTGCGCTTGGAACGGGCGCGCCGATTCTGGAACCAATTGTAGACATTGGTCTCGGAGATTTGGCCGTGCTGGCTAAGCTGTGTGGTTATCTCCTTGATCTTCTGCTTGGTCGGCGTCCCGTTCCCTTGCTCGAATATTCGCTCGAGAATTTGGAGCTGCAGCGGCGTCGGCGTCCAGCGCTGGCGGGCGCTCATCTTGTGGCCTCCCACTCCGCCCATTAATGGGTCGCAGTACAAGCTCCCCAACCTCCCCCCTGCCTCCAAACAAAAGAACCAAAACTTTTCAGCAGAGGAAAAGAGCTGAACATTGGAACATCAATTCAAACTCTGGCATTCTGCAAAGCTACTAGCAAAAGAGTTAAAGTAAGGGAGAGGCAGGGTGAAGCGACCTGCGGCGAGATCTTGGTGGGCGGAGAGGGTTTTGTGCATATCGACGAGCTGTTCGCAGATGGTGGCGTAGACGGCGATCTGCTTGCGGAGGGTTTGGAGCTGGTCGTCGGTCATGACCTTGACGTACAGCATATTCCCGGCGGCTGCAGCGGCGGCGTTAATGCTGTTGCTGGCGGTGGTGTTGTTGTTGGTGCTGGGGAAATTGAGAATTGGGTCGCCGTTATTGCAACCGTCGTGATGGCGCTGCTGCTGACGGTGGTGATCGGCGGCGGCGGCGGTGTTGTCCCACTCCATCTCTGCAATTTCAGGGAGTTCCCACTACCCACTACCCTCTTTCCGCAGAAAGACGGGAAATTAATAGTAGGGTTTCGGGGGAATGGGGAAAACAACTGAAGCAGAGGTTGAGTGGGGATTGCAGAGATAAAAGGGAATTGAGGAAGAAAGAGATGGATGGAACGGTGGCAGTGGGAGTGGAGGACTGGTGTAGTGAGAATTGGGATGGATCTATTTGTTGCAGTGGATGGCAGGAGGTGGAGGGCAGCTCGCCGTTTACTTTTTCAATCATTTCGTTTCCTCCATTTCTTCAAAATTTTGTTTTTTCTTTTGAAGGTGTTTACACACTTTTAGTCCGCGCTAACGACAGGAGGAGGAGGAGGAGCTTCTGTTCATCCTTCGCTCCCCGCTAATTGCGGTGTTAGATTGTCATCCATTCCCATTTTCTTCCTTTGTTTAAGGGGAATAGGGGATCGATCAATTGAAAACAACAACGACGAAGACGAACTTTATTTGTTTAACCGACTCTTGAAGCAAAAGCAAATGTCGCATAACAACACAATAGTGTTCATGTAAATGGAATAATGACACATGGATGGAGGGATGATATTTCAAAATTAGAAATCTAGTTAGGATTGAGAATAGTGTTTAACCCATGTAGCTCTGACGCCAATCATTCATGTATCTAGTAAGTAGTAGTACTAGGTTTTAGTTGTTCATGAATGATCATGTAATAACATTCTAAGCACGGTTTTACTTCTTAGAAGGTCATCTCTCCTTCCATTGTTACAAGAACTTATTTATTGCATTTGTATTTGGGCGTTGGACCGTGTGTTTGGGCTCGCATGGCATAAACGCATTTTGGACTCATTTATCTCGTGTCGTGCTTGGCACCACTTGTCAGTTTTCGTGTCGTGCCATGCCAACCCATTTTCAAATTCACTAGGCCCAATCTGGGCACGAGCACGGTTTGAATCGTATCGTGCCTACTTCTGCTTGTGATGTGCTCATATTCGTGTTTAATGAAAACGAAGAAAATTAAAGACATAATGAAAAATAAGGAAAAAATTGGACGGAGAATGAAAATCTTAATTGAGAATGTTTGAGAAGAGTAACAAACAAATGGAAGATTGGAAGTATAGCTAGTGTAATTAATTTGACTTTTTAATTTTTTTTTTACTATTTTAAAAATAATAAATAAGTAGTTTAGTAATTTTATTTTATAATATTTGAACTTATAATTCTTTTTATATTTACTAGTTATGGACTGCTCTCTTGTCCTTCGCAACGAATGGAGGATAACAATGTAATTGTGTTGTATAAATGATTTAGCAAATGTAACATAAGACATTATTCCAAAAGCAACAACAACAAAAATCACTGGGAGAGCTACATAGTAATTTGGACTGGCTATATACATATTATTATAGTAAGAAGAACATGTTGAATTTAGAGCTCAACAACTTATGAATGGAAAAGAACAAAGAGATATGATAATGCTTCTGTTTCAGGCTTTCAGCCCATAAAATAAACATAGAATTTACCTTGGACTTTCAACTAAGATGGAAAAGAGAAGGAAAATAGAAAATATGAAAAAATCAAAGAAAGCCGAGGACAATGGCCAATGAACCTAACATTTGGTTAGGTAGGTTTCCATGCCACTTCCATCCTTTTCGATTGTTAGTGAAATTTCACTATTGTCTTCTCATTCGAGGTTGAGCGAGAGAGATGAGTAAAGATGCAAAATCAAATACGAAAAATCGATTTTTGTTTCTTGATAAGGGTGAAGCTTTAAGCAGCACCTATAAAAAAAACCTATGTTACTCTTATTAAATGAATATATGAAAGTCCGTCTCGAGCAAGAGAGGTGAGTAATAGTAAAAAACCAAATACAAACGAAAAATTTGGGTTTAGGGCTACAAACAGAAATATAGGGACTTAGGGAAAGAATGAGTGAAAATAAAAGAAAAAGGGAAAAACTCATTCAAAGGTTGCCATGTGTGTCTCTCTAAAGAGTGACCTTTAAGTTTGCTACCATTACTTAACATCGAGTGAGAAAGATGAGTAAAAATGAAAAATCACATACTAAAGGAGGTCTCGAGAGTAAGAGATGAGTACAAAATTCGATTTCAGAAAACAAGAAAATATTGATTTACAAAAATCATGATTAAGATGAAAGAAATAGGGAGATAATGAGATTAAATAAAGAGAGAGAAAGAAACCATTAGAAAGTTGTCATGTGTACTTCTTAGAAGTTTACCCTTAAACTTTGATAAAATTACTAAAAACCTTCTTATAAACATGTAACTATGGTTTTCATATACCAACAATTTCTATTAAAGAAGTATTTTTTTTCTTGTCATGTCATGCTTATACTCAATAGGTCTAAAAAATATTAGGTCTGCCACGGTCAACTTATAACCATGTTGTGCTCGTGCCTATGAAGTTTAGGCATGTGCTCGTGCCTTACTCTTACCATGTCGTGTCGTGCTAGCTTGTGGGCAGCACGACCCGATGCCTAGATACAATTTCACCCCAAAAGTTGTCTTGTCAGTTAGGGTTGAATTGTTGCTTATGAATCACGAATCTCTCTCGTGCTTTGTCGATGTAAAATTTGCCTAAGGTGTTACGTACCTCTTTGGAACTCACCATCCTTGTTGAGGTTTTCCTCACCATTGGCCCAAGAGAGACTCGGAGAAGCCCGATACCATTTGTAAGCTGTAACCTCCCAAGCCTCTTTTGACAGGTGTTACATACACTTGAGGTTTGCCACACCATCTCCTAAGAGGGACGCTGAGAAGCTCTTATGCCACTTGCAACATCCAAACCCTCTTATGACCATGATATATGTGTTTTGATACCACTTGCAACATCTCAACCCTCTTTTGGTCAAAATATTGTCAACTTTTGGCCTACTCCGCACAATTGTGATTTTGGGGACATATCATAGTGTTTTTTCGAGAGGTCGCCTATCTTCGCGCTGCTCCACGCTGAGTACAACTAACTTTTAGAATTCTTACAAAAACTTCCTCATTTCAATTCAAAATGAATCTTGTCAATTAAAGTTGAATTATTTTTTACGAATCATTAACCTCCCACATGTTTTGTCAATATAAGATTTGACTAAAATGTTACAAATTAACGTTTTAATCTGACATAACTTCGAAAAACCCTTTCATCTTCAACTATTCACGAGCCATGCTTCACCGAACGAGATCTTCAAGAAAGTCACCGGCAGAACATCCAACTAATTATCATCTGTCACAAGACTTTCTTTACATGGAAGAGAGCGATCTTACGAACTTTCATCCACTAGAAAAAGTGAGTTTTTCCCAACTTCTTGCACCACGGGTGAAGCTGAAGCACAAGGACTATCTTATACACCCAACATAAAACGTTGATCTGTGGGAATGAAAATCATTAAGTCCCTGCTTTCCTTCCAGTGGATTAATCAAACAATAACAGAGCATTAAACAAACTGAATATATACAATCACTCACTTTAAACCCCTCTTGTGTCAGAAAAAAAGGAAACACTCAGAGCATTAAACAAACCCCTCTTTGCTTACATACAACCCAAACAAAAGAAATCAAATTATTCTAGCATAATCATACTAGCCTATGCAGTTATACTCACACTTATCCTGTTAATAAATAATAATAATAATAATTAGCAACTACCAAAAACCACACCCTCCCTATCTCCAAGCTTGAAATGTAGAGTCTGAACTAAACCATCGATCTTCAAGTCTTTCTCTCATATCAAGAATCAATTCGTCCCAATAGATGCGTATTCAAGGGAGACACATTTCCTCCAGAGCCTCCTGAATCAGGTCACTCATTATCAGAAGCTGCATCTCTTTCCCCACCTCATCCAACTCCTCCTCGTCAATAAGCCCACATGACCACGAGTTCATGGATCCCAAATGACTCTCCACCACGTCATCTGCAGCACCAGATTTGACGCCGTGATTATGATTCCCCGATGGAGTAGGGTATACATACGAACGAATCATTTTCCACACCTTCTCATGCAGCTTCCTTCCCCTTAAAGGTGGCAACCTCACCCCTGTGGCATTCCTTCTGACGCAAGGCACCCACATGAGTCTTTGCCCGGGGTTGAGTACACTCGTGAGCGCCTCGTTCATCAAGTCAAACAACATTTTCCCACTTCCCTCAATCTCGTCGTTATCCTTGCCTGCTGATTTCTTGCTTGATGCTGCTGCTTCTTCTTGCACTTGTTCAAACACTGAGCTTGGGATAGGGTTGGATAAGCAGATGTCTGTTGATGAGCCATCGTACAGACCGGAAGCAATCAGCAGATCCCTGATGAAAGATTCTTCTTTGTCATCAATCTCCTCCAGTGGTTCTACTATGCTGTCTACAGATGCTGCAAGCTCGGACTCATCATCGTCACTTAATCCAAGTCGGTTTATTTGCTTCCTTAATTCTGCATGATCCAGCAACAAAACAATAACATACTCAGTTCAAAGCATACAACTCTTAAAGAAGTTGAAGCAAAATCAAACCTTTTTTTTCCTTCTAGTTTACCTTTCAGATTAGAGCAGATATCCTTAAAAGCTTCAGGCATCACGTAGTCATCTTCTTCTTGGGTTACATCAGGCGTCGAGATTTGGCTGAGGCAATCAGCAGGCCTAGACCAGAAGTCATCTTGACCACTGCTGCAAATAGATGCAGGACTTGGAGGCACCTCAGTAGAGTTCTCCTGGGGGAAAAACTTCCCGCTTTAGTATTAGACCAACCAACCAACAAATTTGAGAACATTGTGCCCTGCAATGATGAAGAGATGGAGAGTGCATACCATCATGGTTATCTGTCTCTCCCCAAAGTTCATGCTAGTTGGCTGCCTAGCATTCACAACGTGAATATCCTTGCCATAATTGAAAGATTCCACCCTCTGAAACTTCTTGACAAACAGCATGCGCCTGAGAGTGAAATTGTGTCTGAAACTGGAAACCTTTTGTCTGATATTGAATCTCTCTTTCTTCTGTTTTTTCAACTCCTCAGTTACACTGTCAAGGGCTTCATGCTTCCTCCTGATGTGTGCTCCTGTTAAGACGTGGCGATCCTCTAGAAGAAGCTTCCCAAAAGATGTACCTGATACTGGAGCGGATAATGACCTGATTAAGTTCTTAGGAGAAGACAATTCTTTGCAAAGGCCAACACCATCATCTTCTCCATGCCTGAATGACCCAGTCTGCATTTCTGGTTCTTCTTCTTGCCTAATTTCCCAATTTGTTTGTTTCCTCCTTATAACATTCTTCAGTCTCTCTGACAAGAATCGCCTTGTATCTCGGTTCATGAATTCTGGGGAGCCATAGCCACTGAACTGCTGCATTTCACTTCTTGATGACCTTGTGGATTCTGATCGAATCAAATGTGTTCCAACACTTTCCCTGACATGCTTTGCTAAGTCCCTGGCAATTTGTTTGGGATGGTCAGATGGCAATTCCCTGAAGGGAGTCTCAATTCCACTTCCTCTAACTGCAGAACCCCTTTTTTTAATAGCTTTACCTTCCAACTCACATGTAAGCCGTTCTTTAACCTCCTGAAGGAAGTTCTCCATGCCACCTCTCTCTTCAAAAATGGCAGGGGGGCTATTACAAGAACAGTCTTCGTTGCTGTAGAACTCATCAGGGCCAGGCTTCAGGATCACTATTCTAGTTTGAGCAGAAGACTTATCCTGCAACCTCTCACCAAGATCAGCACAGTGGTTTTCGATGTTGCCACTTGTGGTTCTGGACAGTTCCATGTTAGAATTTTGATGTTGCAAAGGGCTTCTCTCATGAGATGTTGGTTTCTGTATGTGACTACTTGTACTTTCAGTGGATTTCTTCATTTGTCTTGCCTCAGAATCTGCCTCAGCTACTCTACTATCTTGCCTGTTGAATTGTTTTGGAGCTAAGAGCTGACCAGCAACGTTGACCAGTTCAGCAACCCTGGAACATTCCTTAAACCTGGCCGCTTGCCATGCTTCAAATTCCTTTTTGAACTTCTGTAGCTCTTCTTCTTGAGGATGCTCTCTGCGTGTCGGTTTCCCTGAACTATGGCCATTACTCCAATGATCAAGTTGCTCCTTCCTCGAACAATTCGAGCTGGAAGAGAAACAATCAGCCTCCGAGCCAATTTCAATCTTTCCGTTTCTCAAGATCATGTTTTCCATACTTTCACATCTTCTATGAATTGGCTGATGAACCACAGATACGTTGTCCAATGGTAACATCTCCACGCCCATAAGTCGAGCCACAATGCTGGGTGAAGTTTTCCTGTTTCTAGACATCTCCTCATTGATCAACCTTTTCATTGGTGCCTCCATTGGTAAGAACCTGCTTTTTGGCCCATCTTCTTCATCTTGCTGAAAGAACTGAAATATTCCCACGGCACATACATTATGCATAAGAATACAACATGCTAAAATCAGAAACAATTCCTCATTGAACATTACTGGTTCCAATCAACCTTAAGTCGATTAATTTCCAATTCTATTCATTCAAAGAGAGCCAGTGGCAGAGACTAACAATCAATTAAACCGAAGGAAGTATTCCAGGAAGAAGGATGAAGGAGGGGGAGAACTTTATTACCAGCCCATCATCTCCTGAATCAAAGCAGTTATGGTTACTGTCAACTTCCATCTCCAAGCTATTCCTAGGAGCCTCCAGAACTGGAATTTCACCTGCTTTCAATCAAAAGATAATCATTTTTAGAAACACCCAAATGAACAACACCAATTATGAACAAAGGTAACTGCGAAGAAATTGAAATGGGGTTTTATAACTTATCACCCACCATCAACCCGCCGCTTGCTGGCCAGAATTTTCCTGGCCATGGCGTCCTGATTGAAGTCAAGCAGGTGAAGCAGTAATCCTCCCATACTACACAGTCCACAGAACTGCTACCATTGGTCTCTCGGTAGTACATCTTCCGAAACCCATCAAATTAAACTTGCTTCCACGCAAAATTAGCAGCGGAAATCCCTACCCAGTTAATGTATGAGTAACGAATTGCAATTGGAGGATTCCTGAGAGCGTTGCAGAAGCGCAGCCCGGTTCTGGGTAGTTTGTATTGGTGGGAGCTGGGAATGAGCAATGCTATGGAACAGTTAGAGATTGCAGAGGGCTGAGAGCTGACAAAGAGAGAGAAGGAATGAAGGGAGGGAGAAACTGAAATTCGGAAGGTGGGATTTGGTTTTGTTTAAGGGAAGTAAAAACCATCATCGTCATCATTCATCAGAGGAAGGAGATCCAAAAGAAGAAGATAATTAGATAACTAACGGGAAAATAATAATTTAATAATAAATCCCCCCAAAAGTAAACCAAACAATTTACTATTAGTTTAAGCTTGGGTTTCTGTTAAGTGTTAAGAAAGAAAATAAATTAGTTAAGAAATCTGAAATATAGATTAATAGAACCTCTCATGGAACGGCTCGTGGCGGCCAGTAAACTAACCATTAACGACTTTTAAGATTCTTTCTTGAAGCCCTGAAGGTAGAGTGTTCAAACGGTTTGGTTACCGTAGTAACCGATTTAACCGGTACTATTTGGATAATTTGGTTTAGTTAATTTGGATAATTGGTTTGGTTTGGTTAAAATTTTTAGCTTGTTTGGTTTATGTGGTTTGGTTTGGTTTCAGACACTCCTAACCAGTCAAACCAAATTAACCAGTTAAGTAATTAGTCATATATCTAACATATATTATATACACATAATACTTTGCATAACCACTCAAGAGTTAACATTCATCCCTTTTAGACTCATAAAATATAAAGCTCAATATTGCTCATATAGTATATATTTGTATATGTAAAGTCTAGACCACAACATATGGACGCCTAATTTAGATAAATTTCATACATTATGATGAATGAAAACTTGAAAGGAATGTCATTTCCAGCCTATGATAATTGCTAAGAGACTAAGTCAATTTACACAAACACAACAATTCATTAACCCATACCATTATCATAATTTTTTGTTAGGTGAATACTTCTATACTAATCGTAAGATAATTGTCTTAGTTGCATGTATTTTTGTTAAGGGTCAACTATGTTATGTTTTATTCATTATATAAATTGCGAATTGTTGCATTAACCGGAAAATTTTCATCGTCAATGATAATGTGATTTTATATTGGTTAATCTGGTTAACCAATTAACCAAACCGATTAAACTTTAGTTTGGTTAATTTGATTGTTGTATTAGTTTGGACGGTTTGGTTATGATATTGTATTCCATGGTTAATGGAATTTAGCCTTATTTGGTTTGGTTATAACCATGGTAACCATTTGAACACCCCTACCTGAAGGTCTGAAAAGAAGAAAAATACAACATTATGTATAGATAGAAAGCATTGAATGAAGAACGAAGAAAAAGAGGGTTACTACATTTTTTATCCACATTAGTTAACCGTGAAAATCGAACCGTACCAAGATGTAGTGAAAGAGCTATTTCAACATGCCAGCATGGTAAAACTAGGGCTGGTATTCGGTATTACCTGCTACTGAACTGGTTACCGACGGTATCCGGTATATCGAATACCGGCGGTATCGGTATTCGGGGAGAAAATAATCCATTCGATAGTACCGAATACTTGGCGGTAAATACCGACAATATTTTGGTATACCGGAATACCGAAACTTAAAAAAAAAGTGCAGCGCAGCGTACAAGCAGGGCCGCAGGAGGGATTGGATTTTGATTAAATAAACCCTAAACTAAATTTTCCCAGTTCCCACCCTCAACCATCCCCGACCCGGCGACCCCCGACCCTCGACCTCCCCGATTCAATCCGTCGCCCCCAACAGCTAGCCCCGGCTTCCTCTTCCTCTTCTCTTCCCCGAAGCCCAAACTCGATCTCCCTCCCACCTCAGCCAACAGTAGTCGTCGACGAGGAGAGCGACGCCGCATCTCCGTCATCCTCTTCTCTTCACCCGCAACAGCAGTCACCGACGGAGAGGTAGAAGAAGAAAGGAAGAATTTAGAAGACAAAAGAAGGGAAGAAGAAGAAGAACAGGGGAGGAGGCGAGTGTTCGCTGAGTTTGAGTGCAGAGATTCCGACGGAGATGACGATTCTGGCGGCGACAGTTCTTCTTCCCCATTTTGCCTGACGGTTTTCGGGATACCGGGTTCATACCGGATACCGATTACCCGGTATACCGGTATACCGACTGAAATTCGGTATCGGTATTCGGCATCCACTACCAGCCCTAGGTAAAACCATGTTTCTATCTCGAGGTAGAAGAAGAATACATTTGCATGTAGCATTTATTAACCTTGAGATTTATCGATTGGAAAGTAGATGGTAAAATGCACACACCGAGTCGTTTATTTAGATATTGTTAGCCTAATGTGTCGTAACCAGACAACTCAATCAGTACGATATTGTCTGCTTTGAGCCAAACCCGCACGGATTTACTTTTGGATGTCCTTCCCAAAAGGCATCTTACTAATTGGGCTAGATGGACACTAATATACAAGAGTTCATTCCCTTGTATTTCCGATTAGGGATGGCAAAAAAACCCCGTGTTGACGGGTTTTGGATTGGGTTCGGGTTTAAACTCGTTCACTATTCACCAGATTGGGTTGAGTTTGGATTTAGCTATACCCACCCCATGGATACACTCACACCCATATAATTAATTTTCTCGGTATATTTAATATTCTAAGCAACTAATCTTCTTTATGTTTGCGGAGACATGTCTAATTTTTTCTTTCTAATTGTGCATAATGAAGTTGATATTATGGAGTGGAGAGTGAATAAACTTAATTGACAAGGAGGAAGAAGCTTTCAATTAATCATGTTGTTTATGGATAATTTGTAATTTGCTTCAATTTTCTTGAGTGTTCTAGATTGGTGTTGAACAATTTGTATGGTTAATTTGTGGTTTGCTTGAATTTTCTAGAATGGTGTTTTATATATGGATAATTTGTATTGAGATATTGATATTTGACTTTTATTTTGAAATAAACTTGTTATTGTAAAATTTTTACGAAAAAAAAACCCATGGGTACCCATGAACCCGTGGATGCCCAGCGGGTTGTGTTAGAAACAGAAAACAACAAGAACGAGGTTACCGAATCTGGAGCTGAGTCGCGGACTAGGTCGCTTTCTTTAAGACGTTCGCGACACTGCCTTCGATGCACACAACAGACTATCAACCGGTCGTCTTGGGATAAAATAGCTCCTCGAATGCTCTGCGGTTTTGTGCGAAAACCAGAGCTCTCTAAACACTCTCTCTATTGTGTTTCTGCTCATTGTGGTGTGTGTCTAGAGGGGCTGGGGAGGCGGCTATTTATAGGAGTCAAACCCCTAGGAATATACCCTCTTACTTGAGGAATAAGTCGAATTAATTAAGGAAGATAATTACTCTCTTAATTAAAACGTGCTTATAAGATAATTCCTGACAGAATTATCTTTCAAATATTCCTTTTGAATGATTATCTTCGTATTTGTTAAGGATACAAGATAATCAAGTCATAATTAATTAATTAATAATTAATTTCTATAAAAAAATATTTGTCTCAATCAAGACCCACCAACCAACCGATCGACCGACCGGGCGGCGCGCGCTCCTGGTGGTCCGTTAGGTCCTCCCTCTCCCACAAAAGTGGGTCATGCCCTTAGGAGAGAGGATCCTATTCTTATACACATATCATAAGAGTAAAACTACCGATGTGGTAGTTTTTCCTTTGAGACTTATAGCTTTCAAAACTATTCTTTTTTCATTCATTTCCAACAATCCCCCTCTTGAATAGTTTTGAAACTATCTCTGAGCATACACAGTTCTATAAGATCGGGCATAAGCAAAGGTATCGCGAAGATTTGAACCTTAGAGTATTGGTTACACCATCACTTGTAATCCGTGGTTCGGTAGGCATAAGTCCCATACCCTTGGTGGTATTCTGGACTTTCTCTCTAGGTAATCCATTCGTCAAAGGATCAGCTAGATTATGTTCGAATTTTATATTATCCACCCTCACTGCTCCTATCGTTAGGAGCTCTCTTACAGTACTATGCTTACGATGAATCTGTCGTTTCTTTCCGTTATAGAACCGGTTCTCAACTTTAGCGATAGCTGCAGTACTATCACAATGGATCAATACCGGAGGGACCGACCTTTCCCATAGGGGAATCTCTGACAACAATCCTCTCAACCAACTCGCTTCTTCACTAGCCGTTGCTAGTGCTATCATCTCTGATTCCATAGTTGATTGAGCTAGGATTGTTTGTTTCTTAGACTTCCAAGATACAGCTCCACCAGCGATGTTAAAAACATACTCACTGGTTGTCTTGGAGTCATCTGATAGGGTATTCCAATCCACATCACTATACCCTTCTAGTACAGCAGGAAACCTTTGATAGTGAATACCAAGGTTTGCTGTTCTCTTGAGGTATCTCATGACCCTCTCTATAGCATTACAATGCTCTCTACTAGGACAGCTATTAAACCTGCCAAGCAATCCCACGACATATGCAATGTCTGGTCGAGTGTAATCCGTAGCATTGTAGAGACTGCCAATGATGCTAGCATACTCAGTTTGTCTTACACTGTCTCCAGTATTCTTGAATATCTTTACACTAGCATCATACAGAGTACACGCAGGTTTACAGTTGAAATAGTTATATTTCTTCGAGATCTTCTCTATGTAGCTAGATTGATCTAGAGAATAACCATTTGATGTTCTAGTTATCTGGATTTCAAGCATAAACTTTGCTTCTCCCAGATCTTTCCACCTCAAAGCTCTCTTTCAACATGGCTTTTGCTTCATTGACCATGTGAATATTTGTACCAAATATCAACATGTCATCTACATACAAACATATGATAGTGCAAGTGTTATTCTTTGACTTGCAGTAAATACACTTGTCACTTTCATTCACCTTAAATCCATGTGAGAGAACGAGAGTGTCAAACTTCTCATGCCACTGTTTTGGAGCCTGTTTCAAACCATATAACGATTTGTCTAACTTCCAGACTTTCGAGACATGTTCGGGGATAACAAACCCTTCTGGTTGTTCCATATATATTTCTTCATCCAGATTACCATTAAAAAAAAAATAGTTTTAACATCCATTTGGTGTACCACGTGATTGTTCAAGGCAACAAGAGCAATCATGACACAAATGGATGTTATTCTAGATACTAGTGAATAGGTATCGAAGAAATCTATATTCTCTCTCTGCCTGTAGCCCTTAACTACTAGGCGATCTCTGAACCTTTCAATTACACCATCAGGTTTCCGTTTCGTTTTTATAACCCATTTATTACCTAAGACTTTGCAGCAGGAGGTAAGTCTGTTAGATGCCAAGTCTTATTAGCTTCCAACAATTCCATTTCATCTATAACGGCCTCATTAAAAAAATCTGCATCTATGGAAGTTAAAGCTTCCTGCAAACTTTTGTGATATTCGAGGGTGTATACTATAGTAAATTCATCACCAAAATCTTTGGAGATTCTAGCTCTTTTACTTCTTCTAAGTTCATCCTCAGATCCAACACTCCCACTAGTTCCATTATCTCTAATATCGGGTAGTACATTGCCCCCACTATTTCTCGTTTTAAATGGAAATCGTGTCTCAAAAAAATCAACATCAATTGATTCTATTATAGTACGAGCATTCAAATCATAGAATCTATATGCCTTACTATTGGTCGCATAGCCAACGGAGACACATTCATATGCTTAACTAGCCAACTTAATCCTCTTAGGATCCGGAATTCTTACGTATGCCAAACAACCCTCGTTCTTAAATAGGACAGATTAGGTGGCTTATTCTTCAAAATCTCATAGGATGATTCTTTTCTATTTGTTTTTGGGAGACGATTGAGCACATAGCAAACCGTCAACAAAATATCATCCCACAAAGAAGAAGCAGCTCCATAATTGAGCATAATAGCCACAACTAATTCTGTGAACGTCCTATTTTTGCGCTCAGCTTTACCATTCATTTCTGGTGAATATGGTGTCGTGGTTTCATGAATGATACGATGTGAGCTATAGAATTCCTTGAAGAGATTAGAGTCCTACTCTGATCCTCTGTCACTCATAAGTCTTTTTATCTTTCTATTGCACTGATTTTCAAATTCAACCACAAATACCTTGAACATATCAAGGGCTTCACTTTTGTTTTTCATCAAATAAACAAAGCAATAATCAGAGCAATCATCTATGAAAGTGATAAAGTATCTCTTGCCAGACCTAGTTAACGTCCCATCTAGTTCACAAATATCGGAATGAATCAGAGCTAAGGGTTCTGATTCTCTACTCACAGATTTATGGGGCGTTTTCGTTATCTTAGCTTACCTACAGAAATCACATCTATCAAATTCATTCATCGAGAGTTTAGGGATATGTCCTAGCTTGCTTAAATTCTTCACAATTCGTGTGTTCACATGACAAAGACGAGCATGCCAAACATTCAAATCACACAACATGTAAACTGAAGAATTAATCTTATTAATTTCGACATTCAACTTGAACATCCCATTTTATGCATATCCCTTTCCCACAAAACTTTCATTCTTAGTAAGGGTATACAAGTCTGCCCCAATAGATTGATTAAAGCCTTATTAAGAAGATATCCTGAAACAAGATTCTTTCTTATCTTTGGAGTGTGCAACACATCCTTGAGCACCACCTTCTTCCCAGAGGTGAAGTTCAGCTCCACTTCACCAAAACCAGCAACCATAGTGGTGTGGGCAGTCCCCAACAACACTTTCTTGTCAACAGGTGCTTTTGTGTATGTTTTAAACATAGCACGATTGTTACATACATGCTTCGATGGACCTTTATCCAGCCACCATCCTTCTGAGTCACCGGTGAGGTTGACTTCAGCAATCATATCCGTGATCATGGCTATCAAGTCCTCTTCTGTCAAGTTAACCCTGGCAGCAACAGCAGGGTTAGGCTTGTTCCGGCATTTTTTTGCCATATGACTTGGTTTACCGCAGTTATAGCAGATAAACGGCGAGTCATTCTTAGAGGTTTGGGCCATGAACCTTTGGTTACCTCGAGAGGCACCATTCTGGTGGGGGCGGACCAGCTGGTTCTTACTCTTGAAACCTTTCTGGTTAGGTTTAAGAGCTCTAAGTGTGGGTCGTTTAGCAGTGACGACCATCACCTCTTCTTTCATATCCTGCTTGCGGGACTCTTCCTCAATCCTTAGGCGAGTAATCAAGCTTTATAGTGAAAATTCTTTAGTTTTATGTCTAAGCATATTCTTAAAATCTTTCCACGAAGGGGCAACTTATCAATAATGCAAGCAACTTGAAACAAATCATTCAGAGGCATACCTTCAGAAACGATCTCATGAGCTATTTTCTGAATTTCGTGGGATTGAAATTCGACGGACTTGTCATCCACCATCTAATAGCGCAGGTAGCGGCTGACAGCATACTTCTTAGCTCCAGCCTCCTCAGTGTCGTACTTCTTTTGTAGCGCATCCCAGACAATCATCGCGGTGTTCATGTTGTCTGCATGGTAGCCATAGAGATCTTCAGCCAAGGCGTTGAGGATGTAGTTCTTGCACAGGAAGTCATGCTCCCTTTCCTTAGTAGAAGCAGTCCTCTCCTCATCGGTCGCTTCTTCCGGCAGCTCGACGGGCAAGAACTTCTTGGTCGTCAGGTAGAACTCCATCTTCTGTCTCTAGCAACGGAATTTGACTCCCACGAAGCGGAAGGGTCGATTGATTTCGACAGCACCAAATCCGGTCATGTTGTTCTGTTCAGTCGACATAGCAGCAGTCAAACGTCTTAAAATTGTTAGGAATGGAACAACAACAAGAACGAGGTTACCGAATCTAGAGCTGTGTCGCAGACTAGGTCGCTTTCTTTAAGACGTTTGCGGCACTGCCTTCGATGCCCACGACAGACTATCAACCGGTCGTCTCCATGATAAAATAGCTCCTCGAATGCTCCGCGGTTTTGTGCGAAAACCGGAGCTCTCTGAACTAGGGATGGCAATGGGTCGGGTTGGGGCGGGTTTTGTCAAACCCAAATCCAAACCCATGGGTTTATCCGCCAAAAAAACCCGGGGTAAAACCCGTTGGGTTTGAAAAACTCAAACCCAACCCAGCCCGCTGGGTATCCGCGGGTTCATGGGTACCCGTGGGTTTTTGTAGTAAAAAATTTATAATAACAAGTTTCTTTCAAAATAAAAGTTTAACATCAATTTTCTCATACAAATTAATCATACAAAAAAACACCAATCTAGAGCATACAAGCAAACCTCAAATGATCAATACAAATTGTTCAAAATTAAAGATAAACATCTATAAACAAAAGATTAATTGAAAGCTTCTTCCTCGACAACTAAGTTTCTTCACTCTCCACTTCATAATATCAACTTCATTCTAAACAATTAGAAAGAACAAATTATACATGTCTCCACGAACATAAAGAATATTAATTGTTTAAGGAAGATGTATTATTTAGAATATTAAATATACCGGGAAAATAATTATATGTGTGTGGGCGGGTACCCATGGGTCGGGTTTACCTAAACCCAAACTCAACCCAACCCGATGAATAGTGTAGCGGGTTTAAACCCGAACCCGACCTAAAACACGTCAACACGGATTTTACTCGCGTTGACCGGGTTGGGTCGGGTGGGTACCCGTGGGTTCGGGTATTGTTGCCATCCCTTCTCTGAACACTCTCTCTATTGTGTTTTTGCTCGTTGTGGTGTGTGTTTAGAGGGGCTGGGGAGGCGGCTATTTATAGGAGCCGAACCCCTAGGAATATACCCTCTTACTTGGGGAATAAGTCGGATTAATTAAGGAAGATAATTATTTTCTTAATTAAAATGCGTTTATAAGATAATTCCTGACATAATTATCCTTCGAATATTCCTTTTGAATGATTATTTTCGTATCTGTTAAGAATACAGGATAATCAAGTCATAATTAATTAATTAATAATTAATTTCGGAATTTTTATAAAAAAAAAATATTAGTCTCAATCAAGACCCACCCACCCACCCAAACGACGGGTCGAACGGACGGCGCGCGCGCGTGTTTGGTGGTCCGTTAGGTCCTCCCTCTCCCACAAAGTGGGTCACCTCAAGGCAAGGGGCATGCCCTTAGGAGAGAGGATCATATTCTTATACACATATCATAAGAGTAAAACTACCAATGTAGTAGTTTTTCATTTGAGACTTATAGCTTTCAAAACAGGTTGGGTTTGGTTTGAGTTTTCCAAAATTAGTGGGTTTTACCCCTGGTATTTTTTCACGAATAAACCCATGAATGTGGGTTTAGGTTTGGCAAAACCTGACCCAACCTGACCCATTGACAGCCCTATTTCCGATGTGGTACTTGGATTGTCCCATAACAATCCTCCCCTCAAGACAACGACCACGAACTTCGTGTTCTCACCTCAGCGATTATCTTGATTCGTCAAACGCATTGTATCGATGCGCTTCTCGGTACAAGGACTTTACCAGACTCAGAACTCTCTTTGATCTGCTTCCCAAATGCGAAACTCTCTTTGATCCGCCAAGCCCAAACGTCGATCTCTCCTGGATCCACCAAATATACGCGAATCACAAATCCCGAGGTCACCGAATGAGGGTCCACCAAACTTATGCCCACCGCCCCTAACTGAACCAGGTTCTGATACCACTTGTATAATTGGGGTGCTCAATTAGTACGATATTGTCCGCTTTGGGCCAAGCCCGCACGGTTTTACTCTTGGGTGTCCTCCCCAAAAGGCATCGTACTAATGAGCTTGGTGGACGCTTATATACAAGGGTTCCTTCCCTTTGTATTTTCGATATATGGTACTTGGATTGTCCCATAACATAATGTTTATCGATGTTGTTGTGACGCTCATGTATTCACTAAATTCATCCTTTTGGTGTACCGTCATAAATTTGAATCTCTATCATACTTAAGACTTACGAGTTTCTGATGGGTAAGGAAAAGTTTGTTTAATGAAGCATATATATACCATGACCTGTGTCCTTACCAAACTGGTTGAAACTTTCCAGTATACAGGTTATTATAATGGAAAAAGAGGCTGTTTAATTAAGAATCGTACGTCATTAATTAGTGGAGAACAGAATGGTTTTGCTGGTAATGATGAAGAATGAGTTGTACTATATTATATATATATATGGGCGGCGAGCAGAGGGAATGGAATGTCATGGGCACGGTAGATAGATGTGTACTTTCATTTCCATCTCCTGATCATGAGCTGGGGTCAATATGTTGATTATCTGTATAGCTGTAAATTGGGTGTGAGAAAAGAAAGCAGCAGCAGTTCAGTAATCATGGCGCTTACATGTGTAGCACTAGCAGACCACATGCACATGGACGGAAAGGCAAAAACAGAGGCAACTGGCCATATGTATGAGTTGGTGATGGCCAGATTCTACATGTAACGAATCTGATCCCTTCCTTTACGTTAGACAGATTACGATTTGTTGAGATAAATTGATTCTTAACATGATATTGGAACCTTTTTTTATAAAGATTAAGCACGAGGTATTCAAAATTGTGCAACCTCAATCTCAAATAGGTCGACTTTCATTTGAGGGGTTGTGTTAGTAAATGATATATGATACATAATTGGACATTTCCCAACAACTCGAAGTATTTGCACTCATGGATTCTTGAGAGCCTTTAATAGCCGCAACTATTAAACACTTAGGGGTCGTTTGGATGGGTTAATTGCCAATGAGGTATTTGTAGAGTCAAATAACTCATTTATTGTTCATGTGTTATTTCAGTGGTAATTGAGATAAAGTATCTTGTTTGGTTGAACCATGAAATAAAATAACTCGTTTGGTCGAAATAACACATGAGTATGAGTTATGTCAAATAACTCGTTTTGAGTTATTTGTAAATAACTCACTGTCCAAATAACTCGTTTCAGTAAAATGTTGTCAAACGAGTTATTTAAACTCAAATAACTCATACAAATACTCCATCCAAACGACTCTCTTCACCTTTTATTTTTTTTTTTTATTAGTTGTATCGATTAAAAATGTAAATAATGTAGTTTGGTTTTTCAAAGGAATTTATCATGACATTTATGCTGGATCTTAACACGATGAATGTCGTGAATTAAATCTATGCTATGGTTTTCGTGAAAGAAAATGGATGCAAGCGACAATGGAGGAGAGGAGGGGGCATTTGATTCCTGGACTGGGCCTGATTCCTGGGCCCTTGAAATGGCTTTTTCACAACACTCTCCACGTGCTACCCTTAGTGTGACTGATTGATGGACCCGGCTTGCTTGCTGTTGCTGTTGCTGGGCTCCATCCATCCTTTCCTTATCACCAATCCTAATCGCATTTTTATAGGATGCCTTATCATGTAGCAACTAGCACGTATCCTTTTAGTTGAATTGCCTACTGGGGTGTTTTATGATGTCACATCCAACACATGGACTGTTATTTTTCATAACCCTGAACCGGGTAGTATCAAGAGTGCCGATGTAAGTCGTGATGGAGTCAGAGATCTAAACGAAAAGGGGCTCAAATTGTTGGAATTGGAGGAGGAGAGCTAAATTCTTATCGATTTGTTTTAATTCTTGAATCTGTACGAAATTTACATGTAATCGTGCTTATGTTTCAAAGTTGGCTGAATTGAATTGTGTGTTATGTCTCTGGTTCATGCAGGGCTTATCCACAAAAACTGTCAAGTGAAAGAGTTTCTAAATAATGTTGTCAGAACACAAAATTTTGCTAAAATTATCGACTTAACAGTCAATTTTACGCATTTTGTGTTCGAACTTAAAAATGATAATAGACTATAAAAAAATAATTTGCGAGCAAACAGAAGCAGAATACAAACAAAAAGAGGAAATGTACACAAATGACTAAAATAAAAGACTCTAAACAACCACACAAAAAAAAAAAAAAAAAAAGTAAAAGAACAAGTACTTCATTCCTTCTCCAAAGGATCGCGAGAGTCTCCACCAACATCATCAAAATTTGATCAGCTATAGATATGGTTCAAATTAACATGACTGATAACCAGAATTGTATTCCCACAAGGCGTCTTATGTCCGCTTAATTAGCCAATAAGATACTTGTTCTTTAGAAAATGTTTGGTTGTTCTCGATTTTAATAAAAGTTTTGAAATATAAAGACCCTAAAAAGTAAAGAAAGGGGAAACCGTTAAGGAAGGTTTTTATAGGTAAAACTCATCCTAGAGACTCTAGATTGTTACATAGTTCCAACTTTCAAGCACATGTAATTGAGTTTTACCTTCCTATATCATTTTATTAGTTTGCTAACTTGCTATTCCTATGCTATGCACTTATTGTAACTACAAGGGCAAGGTGATCCAGAAATAGCACGTGTATTATATCAAATATTGTTGTCACGGTTATCCTTTATAATCGATTCACTAGACATGTATTAGCCTTGGTGATCTCACAACAAAAGAAAATCGTTTCCAATCTTTTTCATATGAAGCACGAATAAGTAACATAATCAATGCCAATAAACGATAAGGATTAAAAAAAACAACTCAAGCATACTATACTATCATCAATCCAACAAAATAACAATTTTTAGAACAGGTACGATTCACAAACCTGCACAACAGAAGGATCTAGCCACTCATAAGACAACAATTGAAAGATACCTCGATTCGCGAGAGAATATACATGATTTCCAAAAATAGGCGTCATGGCCGCCGTTTTTGGCACCATTTTCTGAACCTTCGAAATTCTGGACGAATTTTAGTTGGAGCTCCTCTAGAGAAAAATGAACCCTTCTGTAAAGTTGTGTGTCAATTGGAGCACAAGAGGTCTATTTATAGACTCCAAATAGGGGTTTTCAAGAGATTTTCTAGGAGAAAACATTTCCAGACGGAATATCTTCGAGATATATCTTGCTGGGGATCCAAGTAAAGCTTATTCACACGATTCTGAAATTTTCTGGATCCTTACAGAAACGGGCTCTGTCTGATTAGGCTCATCAACTTGTTTGGGCGATATCTCACTCGTCCAACCTCTAAAGCCACTTCCATTTTATCCCAAATGCTCGTATTCTTGTCCTATTTCATGCCATGATGGAATGGACCTCTACGATTGCTTGGCTTGAAATATCTAAAACTACCCAAAAAGTATCAAATGTATAGTAACACACCTAGAGTCTTTCAATCGTACCTTTGAGCAAATATCAAGTAAATTCAAATTAAAATGAATAAAGTTGTAAAGAAATTATGTAAAATTTAGGTGATAAAATCATATATTTTATGTATCACCAATCAGTCGTTTAGATTTTAGATGGTAGTGTTATAGACCACGCCAATTTTGTCTTACAATTGTTTAGTTCCCATCAGGCAATATTGAATATGTTTGTCTTTCCCTAATGATAGTCATGTCAAGGTTACTATTGTAGGTACTATTAATGTGTTCTCCACCTCACTATTGCATGATGTTATGTGCATTCTTAATGTTACCTGTAATTTGGTGTCATTAGTAACTTGGTCAAACCAAATGTGTTTTACCTTTTTTTATCGATTCTCTTAATTCAGGATCCTCCATCCCGAAGAATGATTAATATAATTAAATAAAAATATGAATGTATCACCTCTAAATTTCTTCTTCCCTGGCTGGTTCTCTATCTCCGTATGTTGTTTGTTATGTTTTCTATAGCACTACTAATCTTCCTTTTGATATATGGCATAATCGACTCGTTCGTTCGATCCTTCTAGTTTCCAAGCCTTAGTGCCATTGTGCATTCACACCCTTAGCCACTATGCCATCAAATTGTTTTAAAGCCTTTTAACTCGATGTATTTCGAGTTTACCAATTCAAGCCCAAACCATCCCGCTAAGTGTCCAACTTCTCTTGCAGCTGCATCCAACAAAAGAAGGTACCGGGAAAAAGGGATCAATACTCGTAAAGAAAAGGACTGAACTGATCCTATCTATCAGCTGAAGGTATTAGCTAAAGCAAATTGCAGCAATCACCGAGAACGAGAAGCGCCCAGCTTCGACAAAGCGTTCACATAACTAGCAAGGTCTCTCCTTTCTTTAAGCGTCAGGCCACAGGTACCACGAGTTCGTCATTTTACCCGTTCATCAAAACAAGCACATTACCTCGCTCGCTCGCTCCCCCTCAACAAAAGGAATGAAGCAACCACTACTTCCGTCCACTTACCTGCGCTCCTAACTGGGATTTTACTACTACTTACTACTAATAGCTATGCCGCTCCAAATCGTGAGACGCTCTCCTCTCACCCCAAGGCATATCTCATGCTTGGGTGTTCCCATCCGGGCTGTACTTCTTCATGAGATTGGCCAGCTGGGAATCAAAGTCTTTCTCCAAATCAACTTCTTCCTTCCAGTGTCTGAGCCTCATAGCAGCCATTCTGTCCTCGTGTAGTTTCACCAGCTTATCCCTCTCATCCACAAACTCCTCCATCTCTTTCTCCTGAAGCTGAATGAACTTTGAGAGCTCATCCACCCTACCAACAGGTCAAGGGACCAATCAACACCAGCAATATAGGAGCATGATCAATTGCTTATTTGGCAGAGTTTGAATAGAGACCATACCTGTTTCTGTATTCCTCCTTCCCGTGGGAACTTTGGTCTTTCACCTTCTTGCGCTCCTCCTGCTGTCGATTCTCAAAGTCGTCTTCCTTTGCCTTCCTTTCTTCATGGATGATTCTGAGTTGATCCTTGAAGAACTCTTCTTGGAAATCCAACTTCAACACACACAAATTCAAATTTGTCAAACACAGCCCAACAGAGATGCTGCCCAAATACCGACCGACACTTCTCACCATTCACGCATAAACCAGCAACCATGTACAAACAATGTATTCATTATACAAACTTATCTGCTAACTGCATTCAGTTTTCATCTCAATTCACTGTTGTGAAGTGGTGACTTACTTCGGTACATCACTTCATAGAGCTAGACAGACAAGTTTTTCAATCCTTAAAACACCATTAATCAATGCAGTATGGAGTAATGCTCATTGAAATGCAGATAACAAAGTGAAAAGATTTCAGAAACAGCAGCTTTTGAGCAAATAAAGAAGAGCATAATGCAGAAAGGATAACAACACTTGAAACTTATTTAGTCAGACAAAGCTTGTAAGGTGAGAAACACACCTTTTTCACAAAATAAAATATAGCTTTGTAACCTCTTTGAAGTTCACTTAAGAGGATAACTATGCATCTGGACCGCTGGCTACGAAACCAGTATTGCCCATCCAGAGCCAATAAGCACGACACAAGGGCTATTTTACTCCTTCCTGTTCTGAGTTCAACCCAGAGGAACTCCCTCAACAGGCCATGACATGGTCGTACTAGTTTGGTGTGTAAATACGTGGCGAATGACTTTAACAAATCACTAAAAAGCAAACCTAAACCAAGGACTAACACTGATTTGCAATTCGTTTTATTACCTCTTCTTTGTTCTGTTCATGATATATCTGGGTTCTTTCTCTTACGATACGGTTTTCCTCCATTGTCTTCCGCAGCTTCTCACTAACAGTGCCAAGAGATTCAGCAAGAGCTCTGGAATTCCTCTGTTCTTTTATAACCTTGGTCTTGTAAAATGTAAGCTGCTCATTATCATTGCAGACTTGGTTATAGTCTCGCACCACCACCTCATTGTATGACCTCATATCGTACTTCAGCTTAGCCTTACCTATTGACGAGATTAATATATATACATAAAACCAAAGTCAATACAGTCATAAAAAGGATCCACATCTTACGAGGAGGAAAAAAAAAACCATAACACTCATTCTAAAGGGAAGCTATGTACATAAGCAGAGCAAACATGTGGAAGGATAGATGGGAAAGGGCAAACAACAGAAATATCCATGCACATAGACACAAATAGAGAGATAGAAAATACCATGAGAATGCTGATTGAAGATGTCCATATCTTGCTTTGTTGCCATGAAACCATACAGCTGCCTCTTGCCACCAGGATAAAACAAGTTTCGCCTTTGATTATTCCACGCGTTCCTATCTGTTCCCTGGTCAGCAAAATGCCTGTCCAAGCGTGCCGCTTCAAAATAACCCCTTGAAGAGCCCTCGAAGATGAGGAGGCTCATGCCACGGTGACCCTGGGGCCCATAAGAATGTCTGGCCTTAACAGCAGCATATGATCTAAAATAATCAAGAAGCTCTTGGTTGCCCATGCCCAGCCACTGAAAACACAATTCAGGTACATATGCATTAGATAGTAGTAACTTGCTTGATGTTGGTTACTATGATACAAGTTTTGGTTGATATTGATTCTCAAGTAGCAGAAAGTAAAGCTCATATGACTCTAGCATAAGCAAAAACATCCGGCTAAAGAGAGCAAGAAGCAATACCTTTTCATTGTCGTCCTTATCAAGCTTTGTGTTCATAATGATAACCATAGGAGGCCAGACTATTTCGTAGTCTTTCTCTTCCTCCTTCAACCCTTTCCATTTGCCAAAAACTTCACCAGCTGGAATAACAGAAGTACCCCTCCTGGACAACTCCTCTTCCAGAAGTTCAGCAAGCTCCCTGTGTAGCTTTACTCGTTTCGCCCCTTTTGTTCTAGCATGAGCCATTAAGGGCTGCAGACCTTTGAACCAGTCAATTGCACCTGGACCATGTTGGCATGCTGGACAGTGCCACTGTCTTTCTGGTTCAGCAATCTCCTCCAGTCTAAGGCTATCCAAACTATCAAAAAACTTCTTAAACCAGCGGCTCTTTTTACGGGTTTCGAAGCTCTGCTGACTAACATCAGAATCATAATCATCACTAAGAAGCTCATCGTCACTATCATCTAACACCCCGTCATCTTCATCATCTTCTTCATCAATACCAGTTTGCTCATTGGTATCATACTGCTCCTTTTCTGGTGACGCTTCCAACTCTTTCACTGTGCTAGCCCTTGATTGCCAATTCCAACCATGCGTCAGCGGAGGGGGAACCGCAGCTTGTGGAGATGCCCAATAATTCTCCAAGCTCCGATTGGACGTCTGATTCTTTCCGTTTCCTCTGCCAGTTGGTCTTGAAGACTCAACTGCTTGATTTGGCCAAGCATTGGCAGTCGCCCTTCTTGCTCCACCATTATTTCGCTGTCCCCCATCCATCTGTCCCCAAGATTGAGAGTTAGAATTTTGTGTACCCCAAGACTTTGCTGCCTTGTTCTTGTTAGACTTCTTTGAATAGACCTCCCAGGCACCATCACCTTGTGGAGAATCAAGTTTAATATCTGCTACACCTTGATTCAACTGCTCAAACTGGGGAACGGATGTATCTGATGACTTCCCCTTGTTTGATGGAGTAGAACTTGTACCAGAAGCAAAAGACTTCCCACCCTTTCCCCTAGAACTCATCTCGCAAGCGACTAAATCTGAGAGATCATTCAGAAATAAATGGTCAGATATCACCTATAGCAGCTAATGATCAATTACTAAAATAAAACAACCTACTAATTAAAAAGTGCAGATCAGAGCTTTGCGACACCAAAATATTCACCTTCCTATAACCCCACAACAGGAATCGGGCAAAAGTACTAGTTAAGTAGTTCCGAGCTTTTGACAGTCTCAAATCCACAAGAATAATGTGCAACAAGAATAGTCATATCAAAACAATGATTTTGCTGCATGCAACCACCAGCCACTCACCACAGTATATCTGTGGCTGGTCAAAGAAGGGACAGACAACCACTGGCCAGCGTTTACTGTTCCAACTGCTCCACAGAAAGTGAATGACAATTCAAGTGCAGCAAATGCAGAAAATAGGCAATGTAGCCATATTCCAAGGAAATTATGGCAGGAGTGAAGGAGGATCAAAAGACACAAGTGCCAAAACAAGACATTCCCAGATTATTCGCAAGTGATGAGAGTCTAAAATCACCTAGAAAAGATGTCACAGCTCCATCGGGGAAGCCAACAAAGGGACCTATTCCAAAGGTTTTTTCTCCTTGTCTTCAAAGGATAGTAAGCAGCACATTGCCCACCCGAAAAAACCAACAACCAATCCTCCCCAACAGTACCCCACTTGTTCCCAAGAAGAAAACACAACGCGGACGACTTCGCATGTGAACAACCAAACCGGAATACAGCAGTGCATCAGTACACACAAGAAAAGTCCACCGATCTGTCATGCTATTACACCAAAGGAGGGAGAGATAACGCCTGTATCTCACAACTAGCTCATGAAATGAGCATATCCCATAAAACCCTAACTAGAAAGAGAAAGCGAGAGACGAATAGAGAAAGGGTTTTCTGAAGAAACAAAGCAAAACAGGATGAAAGACAACAATCGGACCCCAAGAATCAGCGGAAAAATAGATAGAAACACTCGTATACCTGAAAATGTGAAGACGTCCGAGTTAGATAGACTCAGGTCAGGCAGCGATTATCAGAACGCGCGAAGGCTACAGAGACTGGGGCAAGGAAAAAGCACTGTGAGAACTTAAAACAGACAGTCGAAGAGAATGAGAGAAGTCGGCCATCGCAAAGATCGGCAAAAATACGCTTACAAAGGAAGACGACAGGGCGCGCGCGGAGATCGTCCACCGGCGATTATCAGCAGAGTCCCGCTTCAAGAGCAGTGAATCAGCGACTCACAAAAAGAGTGAGTGCGTCAGTGAGGACTGAGGAAGGAAGCAAATATAAGCGGAAAATGACAAGCTGCAGTGATTGTTATCCGGTACGCTCAAGTTTATGTTTGCTTTTTGCTGAATCGTTCATTGACCATTGATCTAGTACACAAATATTTTTGGTCCAATAGTACAAAATATTTGGTGTAACACTCTAATTTGGCCAAGCACTAATTTCAACAAAATGCCCTTAATGATTAAAAAATATTAAATACATTAAAAAAATCGAAAACATCATATTGAGGAAATAGAAAATATTTGGTGTAACACTTTAATTTGGCCAAGCACTAATTTCACGGGACAATCTTTTACATGGTTCCGAGCTGGGACGAAAGAAAGGCTGGATAGAGGACTCATTAATGCGAACGGGGCTTCAGCTTTTCTGAAGCCACTGTGCGGCACCTCCCCAAGGTGAAAAGTGATCATCACCCGATTTTCATCACCTTAAACCCTATTGCTCAGCCTGCTGGCCCAAAACCTTTCAAGTTCCTCGCAGCATGGTTGATGCATGAAGGATTTCGTGACATGGCGGTAACAGCTTGAGAAAGAGGCTCTGATTTGCTTAGCTCTATCTCCGAGTTTTTCTGGGAGGCGAGAAGATGGAATAGGAAGACATTTGACAATATCATTAACAAAAAGAACGCACTTCTTACACGGATTGAAAGGCTTGAACAAAGGGCTGGAGGAGATGTTGATGATGATGAATTACGGCATGCAAGAGAGAATTTGGAGGAGGTCCTACTACAAGAGGAGTTGCTTTGGTGCCAGAAGTCCATATTAGATTGGATAGCTTCGGGAGATAAGAATACGAAGTATTTCCACTCTCGTACTATGAGTCGCAGGAAGAGGAATAGAGTATCGGTGCTGAAGAATAATGCAGGGCGGTGGGTAGATGATCAAGCTTTATTAATGGAGCTAGCTTGCGCCTTTTTTCTCGACCTTTATACTGACGACAGACAGGAGATGAGGGCCATTCCCGCGGTGTTTGATGTTGTCCTTGAACAGCTCTGGTTGCCGCTTAAGTCACAAATTACGGCGGAAGAGATGCTAGCTGCTGTTAGAAAGATGGGTCCGTTGAAAGCCCCGGGGAAAGATGGATTGAACCCCATCTTTTACCAACAGTGTTGGGACCTAGTCGGCCAAGCAATGGTGGAGTTCGGCCAGGCGTGTTGGGTGGATCCGACCAGAGTTCAGACAGTCAATGAGACTATAGTAGCTCTTATACCGAAGGTTCAAAACCCAGTGCCCATTGATCAATTTCGCTCGATAAGCCTCTGCAATGTGACTTACAAGATGATCACAAAATGTTTGGCTGAACGGATTAAGCCCATCATGCCCCGGTTGGTGCATGAAACGCAAACGAGCTTTGTCCTGGGGAGGCATATTACTGACAATATTTGTGTTTTGCAGGAGGTAGTCCACTCTATGCGAGGGAAGCGTGGTCGCGTGGGCTGGATGGTCTTAAAAATTGACCTGCCCAAAGCTTATGATCGAATCAGATGGGAATTTTTTCGGGATACTCTTGTCGCAGCGGGAGTTCCCCAGAGTTTTGTGGAACTAACCATGAGCTGTATATCATCATCAACCATGCAAATCCAGTTGAATGGTGGGTTGACCGAGGCCTTTACACCATCCCGAGGACTTCGTCAAGGGTGTCCACTCTCCCCGTACATTTTTACACTATGTATGGAGAGACTCGGGCATCTTATCTCAGAAGAAGTGGCACAGGAAGAGTGTAAACCGGTCAAATTATCTGGGCAGGGACCTGCTTTATCTCACTTGTTCTTTGCTGATGATTTGATTTTGTTCAGTGAGGCGAATATGACTCAGGTGCAGGTGATTAATAAATGTCTTGAGGAATTCGGGGAAGCATCGGGGCAGCAAGTTAATAGACACAAGTCAAGGGTCTTTTTTTCGAAGAATGTACAGTCTGCGGTTGCCACACCCCTAAGTACGACTCTTAACATCCCCGAGACAAAGAATTTGGGTAGTTATCTGGGAGTCCCGGTAATACATGATCGAGTGTCTAAAATGACGTATACAGAGCTCATTGATCGCATTGATAGAAGATTGTCTAAAATGACGTATACAGTCGGTGTTGACCTCGTTGCCAGCTTATACTATACAGACGGCGTTCCTTCCTGCGTCGATACGAGATTATATTGATAAAAAATAAGGAACTTTTATATGGGGAAGTTTGGGACAGGGAAGGAAGTTACATCTAGTTACAGTTTGCAAGCCAAAGGATGAAGGAGGGCTAGGCCTCCAAAGTGTTGCCCACGTGAATGAGGCGTTCATGCTAAAGATAGCCTGGAGATTGTTTACTAAACCGGAGAGCCTCTGGGCTCGTGTAATTTGGTCGAAGTACCTTATTACGACACAAGACGGCTGGAGGCCAAGAACTGGAGGTCGTTTATCTAATTTGTGGAGAGGAGTCCTTAGAGTTCTGCATCTAGTTTCACGAGGAACCATGTGTTCAATCCGCAGCGGGATGCAAACTTATTTTTGGGATGATGTCTGGTTGTTCGATGCGCCCCCCCCCCCCCCCCCCGGCAGAATTTGCTAATAATCTCCCGATGGAAGTGAGGAGCTTGAAGGTGGCCGGTCTTGTGCTGAACGGAGAATGGAACACAGATTTTGTGAGGGCTTTCTTGCCGGAGGAAATTACCATGCAGCTCCAGCTTCATCCAGTTCCGCAGCAGAGTGAACCGGACGTTCCCTGTTGGCCATTATCCTTGTCTGGTGCATTCTCACTCATCTCGGCGTATGCACTCACTAGATAGGGTGAGGAAGAGAACGATGCAAGGAGGACCCCGGGGCCGCAACGTGTCCGGCCATTTTTCTGGTTGGTTTGCCATGAGCGCCTCCTAACTAATGCCGAACACTCAAGGAGACATCTAACCCCAACGGCCGACTGTCCGATCTATGGGGGAGGGCCGGAGACGGTGTTGTATGTGCTTAGAGATTGCCCGTACGCCAGGGCGGCTTGGTCCCAAGTACTAGGAGAGGAATCAGACGAAGATTTCTTTGAAACGGACATGAAGAAGTGGCTGCTGTATTACCTAGCGGGTCGGAACCAGTGCATTGAGCCTACTTTGTTTGCCATTTTTTGTTGGAAATTGTGGAAAAATAGAAATTGCCATGTATTTGAGAAGCTGCTAGCCCTAACGGAAGCAATCGCACAGCAGGTGAAGGACTACGTTGAGCAGGTGAATATGGCAGCAGTTCGCACAGATTTCATGCAAGCCGAATGCAACACTCGCTCGGTTAGACTATTGAGTTGGAGGAATCCGCCGGCAGATTGGGCAGCTTTAAATACTGATGGCTCGGTGAATAGAGGGACGGGAAGGGCGACAGCTGGGGGTGTTCTTCTAGGAGATAACATACGATTTATTAAGGCATTCTCAGTTAACTTGGGTGCTGGATCCATCACCCATGCGGAATTGGCAGGGATTTTACACGGGCTTCGGTTTGCGTGGAAGTCAGGGTTGAAGAAGGTCGAGCTGTAGACTGATTCTGCTACGGCGGTACAGCTTATTCACTCAGCTCATGATCACAACCCGCATAGGGGGCTTATTGCTGTTGTTCGCCGTATGCTGGCTTTGGACTGGGAAATTCGTATCACACATGTATTCCGGGAATGCAATTTCGTGGCAGAGTATTTAGCCTCGTTAGGCCACTCTTTACCTGTGGGGTTACATGTTTTTAATGCCCCTAGTGCTGCTTTGAGTTACTGGTTGTATTTCGATAGACTTGGGATGCAAACCCCACGCTTGATCAATAATTAAGGGTTGGAGCGCCCCTCTGCGCTCCGTTTCTCACCCAAAAAAAGAAGAAAACTGAGTAAGAAAATTTAAAGAATAACATAACTTGGAACATTTACATAAAACTAAATATCTTTCATTAATCAAAATATTTGGTGTATCACCTTTTGGTGTCACAATCAATAACTGAGGTATAGCAATCACATAACTTATCGTTGTTCGGTTGCATACACAATCATCGCCGATTGCATACCTAATCAACTACTGTGGAATGTATCACCATTCGGTAGTGTGATCAATCGTGGGCATGGCTATCTATATGAGGTTTTAAACTTGTTCTTACTCGTTAGCTCCATAACTTGAGCTTGCTTGCCTAAATTAGTCTCTCAATTACACTAAAAAGAGATATAGTTAGGCGGTTACTTGTTTACTTATTTACTTGAACTTGTTTAAGTTGACCTCTCAAAAAATTGGGAGATATGTTTTTAACTTTTTATTGACTCGCTTAGCTAATACATAGTTTACTACCGAATTCATGATCTTATGCATGCTAAAAGTACAGGCTAAACGTAATTAAACTTAAAGCGAATGCTGAGCAATGTAGTTCAAAACGGGTCTTAAGACGCAAACACGCACGTTTTTACATTTTTTTAATGAATAAGTCATTTTATTCATCAAGAAAGGGAGACTTAGTGAAAATCCCCCTAACTGGAACCCAAGCAACGAACACAGTACAAAAACAAGAATTCAAATTACAACTGCACAACACAAAGAGATCAAATCACCATCTAACTACACTATACTATTGATGTAGTCCTCGGTTATGGCAAGCTCTACTAGGGGAAATCCAATCCTTAGTAGCTTCAGCAAACCTTGCAATTTTCTAAGCAATTGGCTTTCAGTCATCACTTCCCCAGTCATAACCCTCCTGCGTCTTTCCCGCCAAAGCTCCACCACCATCACCCAAAGAAACCTACCACAGTCAGAGGCAATACAATTTAGCCGAAAAAGAGACATAGCAATCTCCAACGACCCTTCCCAGCTAGCCCCTACCATATTTTGTCCTACAAAAACAACTTGAAGTACATGTTGAGCATAGGAACATTCAAAGTAGAGATGATCTCTAGACTCAGCCACAGAGGAGCATAAAGGACAGATATTTACTACTGAACCATTCCACCTCTGCACCTTATCTAGAGTGGATATTCTGTTCAGAATGACTAGCCAAACAATCAGCTTGTCTCTAGGAGTCCCAAAAGACTTCCATACCAATGAATACCACAGAACTTTCTCATGTTTAACCCGAAGTGTTTCCCAGACTCGCTTAACTGCGAACTTATCCATCACGCTATCATCCCAATACACTCCTGCTGGTCTGATCCTGAGATGCTGAGCTACTTGTGGTCTTACTTTCAGTACCTTTCTCCAAGCCCAGGAACAGGGAATGGAAAGAGATATATCCAAGATTGAAGTGTAGGTAAGTTGGTAGTGCCTTACCCAATTTTCCCGTAAAGAAGAGGAATTCGAGGATATAGCCCAAAGGTGTCTAACTAGACACACCATGTTCCAGCTTCGAAGGTCTTTAAACCCTAATCCACCCTCCTTCTTAGGCCTTGCTACCACCTGCCAGATTACCTTAGTTTTTTTCCCTTCTTCTTCTGAGCTCCATAAGAAATCATAGCAGGCTTTTTCAATCATCTTAAGGACTTTGACTGGGAGTTGAATGATCCCCATCCAATACTAAGTGATACTTGAAATGACAGCAGAGATGAGTTGTAATTTGCCAGCATAGGATAAGTTTTCACCTTCTAGCCCCTGATTATTGCAGTTAACTTGTCTACCAAAGCAGTACAATCTGCAGTATTCAATTTCCCATCAATAAGGGGAATCCCCATATAACGTACAGGGAGATGTCCAATGGCAAACCTAGTACTAGAAGATATGAGTGCCTGAACACTAGGATCCACTCCTCCACAAAAAAAAATTCACTCTTGGCAGGATTACACTTTAACCCAGAAACAATATAGAAAGCATCCAAAATAGCTTTTGCTTTCCCCACAGCCTCAGGAGTCCCCTTTGTGAAGACCAAGAGATCATCAGCAAAGCATAAGTGGGATAGCCCTATTCTGTGTGTGTTTTGGATGAGGAGGAAGGGTTTTAACCGCATATGCTTTGTTAAGCATGCAGGTTAGAACCTCCATGGCTATGGTAAAAATATAGGGGGATAGGGGGTCCCCTTGTCTCAACCCTTTCTGAGCTGAAAAATAACCACAGAGCCCCCCATTGAAGCATACACTGAGCTTAGTACTCTGAAGGCAGATTCTAATCCAATTTATGAATTGAGCAGGAAATTTCATAGCTTCCATGACTGTCTCTAGGTAATTCCAGTCTACACTATCAAATGCCTTCATCACATCCACCTTGAGAGCACACCTATGGGATATAGACTTCCTATTATATAGCCTAACCATCTCATGAGCCAATAGGACATTGTCACTGATTAATCTGCCTTTTATAAAAGCATATTGATTCTGACTAATGACTAGAGGAAGGGCTTCCTTCAGTCTATTAGCAAGAACTTTGGCTATACATTTATATAGTATGTTGCAACAAGATATTGGTCTAAATTATTTCATACAATCAGCATTTAGCACCTTAGGAATGAGGGCCAGATAGGTGGAGTTTACCTCTGAAAGAAGCTTCCTTGTCCTAAAGAAATCCATGACTGCAATAGTGATCTCATCACCCAAAACCTCCCAATTATGCTGATAGAAACCAGCTGTGAAGCCATCTGGTCCAGGAGATTTCTCTCCATTCATGGAGAATAGAGCTACTCTAACTTCTTCTCGAGTTACTAAGCCACAAAGAGGTTCAGTTTGCTCAGAGGTGAAAGTATGGTCCAATAGCTGGGATATCAGACCACTACTCACTTTCTGAACATCAGGATTCTTTGTACCCAACAAATTACGATAAAATCTAACTGCTACCTCACCCATTTCCTTAACTTCAGTTAGGACAGTACCCTCCTCTGAGATGACCCTTTTAATAGTTGAACGAGCCTGGTGAGCTTTCACAAAGTTATGGAAGAAGGAGGTATTTAAGTCTCCAGTCTTAACCCAAAGGATTCGAGACTTTTGCCTGTAAATAGCCTCCTCTTCCTTAAGAAGGCCAGACATCAGAATCTGACATTCACTTTTTGGAAATATTCAGGGGAAGGCTGGAGGAGGGCCTCCAGCTGCAAATCTTCAACTTCTCTCTTTGCAAGTCTCACTCTGTCTGAAATCTCTGAGTAGGAGGATCTATTTAGCTTTTTCAACTGCCTTTTAACCTCTCTCAACTTACTATAAACATAGGAGTCCCCCTGAATTGTTTACTCCAAGCATCTTTTACAATCTGCTTGTATTGAGGATGAGATTCCCAGCTACTGAAATACTTGAATGGTTTAGGCAAAGAAGAGAAATGGATGTCTGTATTCATAAGCAGCCCACAGTGATAAGAGAGCTTTGGAGGAAGGAGGTTAACTGCATAGTGTGGAAACGCAGTTAACCACCTAGAATTTACAAGAACTGTATCTATCCTCCTTGTTATAGGGTTCCCCTCCTGCCGTTTAGTCCAAGAAAACCAAGGACCTTCAAAGTTACTTTCCTCCAATTCCATACGAACAATCCACTCATCAAAATCCACCATACTCTGTGAACTAACTGGATTATTAGAATCTTCATTAACACTGCGCACCGCATTAAAATCTCCTAACACTAGCCATGGTAAAAGTTTTGGCTTAAGTATAGAATGATGATACAGATTTCTTCTAGCACTTTCATCATTAGAGCCATAAACAAAAGTGATCTTTGCAGTCTTATCCCCCTTACTACTCCATGTACGAATTGCTCTGACTTCTCCAACACAGTAATATCCAGATCCCTCTTCCAAAAGACCCACAATCGACCTAAAACTGAATGCTCATAGTTATGAGCAAACTCCCATCTATCAAACTTGGAATCCACTATTTCTTTAGATTTTCCTTCCTTTACCAGAGTTTCAATGACTCCAAACACATCCACATTTTCTCTATTTACTACTTCTAAAATCTGTTGCTGCTTGTCGGGGTGATTAAATCCCCTTATATTCCAAGCAAGTACCTTCATTTCTTAGGTTTGGGTTTTGCAGGCCTACCTGGACCCTTCTTACCTTGCTTACCTTTACCCTTTCCACCCACCTCCAATATAGGGAACTCATCCAGATTGTTGATAACAGAGCTACCCACTACAATTTCACCAACTTCAAAAGTTTCCACAACTAAACTCTGATATTTGTTTGCAATCGGAGTGATAGGACCCTCGTCAGCAGTTGAAGCAGTAGGAACAGCATTCTGCCCCACCATAGCTGTCTGAAACTCACTATCAGTTTTCAACTCCACAGCATTCGACCTTTGCCATTCAGTTAACACACCCTGCTCAATGGATTTAACCAGGTTAGCAACAACAAGATTCAAGTCCAAAATCAACTGTCCAAAACTTCCAGTATCAACCTCCACACCTCCCATCTCTACAGTCTCCTGACTTCCTTGATTCCCTTCTACCTCTCCCCCTGAAACCTCACACTGATGCCCAAACACCCGACACTTCTGGCAACCTACTGGTTTATTGCAATATTCCAAGTTCACCGAGAATGCATGCTTTCAGTCTGGAACCGGCTTTAGAGTCTCTGGGAAAGATGAATCAATAGACATTTTGACACAGACCTTGGGTAACCCCATTCTCCTACCCAATCTAGTCAATTGATCAAACCACAGTGGGCGACCCAACATACTAGCCATACGAGTCAAGATTCTTCCAGTGGCAAACTCAATAGGGAGATCTTGAAAGCAAATCCAAATAGGAATGGTGGAATCACAGTTTACCGCTCGAATGCCAGCTGACCATTGCCGAAGGAAGCACATATAATTGTTGAAGTGCCACGGGCCGCTAGTAAACACCCAATCCGCAGTTTTCGCATTGGGAAATTGGAAGAGGAAGAGTTGTTCACTAATCCTCGAAATCCTAACCAGACCCGATTTTCCCCAAAGCCTAATGCAGGAACTGACCAACAAGACTATTCTTCCATCGAGCTTCCCCTTCCTGAACAAGCTCCTCCGGGATCCTCAATCCGCCATCAACCAATTCTGGCTCAATGTAGACCAGTCGATTCGCTTCGGCAATGCCGAACAAATCCGCCCAAGTTTGACCTATGGAGGACATTCTCAGAGGGAAGTAGAAAGCTCAGACAAAGAGAGGAGAAAGACGGCCCGAGGAGGAAGACCACCACCGATTAGAAGCCACACGACGGTAGGAGGCACGCCGGCGAATAGAAATCGCTAACGGTTTAGAGAGAGAAGCGCGGGTCGACTTCGATCTCAGGCTAGTGTTGTTGCTTCCAAAGCCGCGGCCAACTTAATTGATATTTCCATTTTTACATTTTTTACTAAGTAAAACGCTTCAGTTTCTATATAAAAACATATATTATGTGTAAAAATGAGTAAAAAGAGGTCAAAAATGTGTTTTTGCTCCGTTTTTTTTTACATTTCTAGTTGAATGAGTTTCCACCAATTTCACACTCTCTCTTCCAACAAATCAGAATTCAAAACATCAATCCCGATGGCCAAACCAATTTAAAATGAGTTTTGATCCAATACTCAAAGTTCGAGGACGATCCAACGGTTGTTTTCTCCCAAATCCTCCCTGAAACCAGACACATTATAATGACAATTCAAATGGTCTAATCATATCCCAGAAACTACGGAACATGTCCTCTAAATTTGAGAACGATCCAACAACGAGTTTTATTGAAATCTCCTTGAACTCACTAATTTTATGCAAAACGAAAATTCTCTAACTCCTCTATTCCTCTCATCATTTCCTTCTTCTTTCCTTCATAATTTCTAGCTCTAATTCCCTCTAAATTTTTTGGTTCCTTCAAGGTTTGATGTTGGTGGTGATGAAGGTATGAGGAGTTGGAGAGGAAAGAAATGACCGAAAAGGGGGAAACGAAGGAGATGAAAGAGGGAACAAATTTTTGCTCCTTCGTTCTCTAAAAATCTCTCGCATTCGATGGATGAATACCTTATAATAAAAGACTGATAATGAGGTGTAGTTGTTAATTGGTTATATTTTTGTAATGAATGAAGAAGTCTCATTATTTTCTTATTGCATTGTTAATTTAGTTATTCGTTTGCTCCATTATTAAAAGTTTTCAAATTAGATTACCGGCATGAGTAGTGATCTTTTTAAATGAGATGTATTTTGTTAAAGGTTTCAGATTATACCAAAAAACTTACGCTTTTACGTTTTACATTCTTACTTATGTTTCCGCTTCTGCGTAGAAACACGCATTTAACTAATGCTAAGGATATAGCTAAACATGCAATCTAAATGAATGACCTAATCAATGATGTAGTTAAATATATAAAAAAACAATTACTAACCTCTTGAACCATAAACTTGCTATGGTTGACTAACTTGAATCAACCTCTAGTTCTCAACTCTCCATAAAGCCCATTAGGGGAGAGCATTCGACCGGTTCGTTCGATAAAAAAACAAACCAAAACATAACTAACCCGAACCGTGCAAGCACCAACAGGCCACCCAAGCAGAGCCGAACTGCAAATCAGTTTGGTCATACCAACCTAAGCCAAAGCCTGGTTCGGTTCAGGTTACCCCCTCAAGCCGAATTGCTAGACTGTCTATGCTAATTTGTGTGGCTGGCCGGTTGGGCCAATTTTTCTGTGGGATAGTGGACGCCTGGGACCTGGGCCATACTAATTGGTGCAGGTCAGACCTTTAAACAGTTAATTAATTGTAATAAAAATGAAAATTAATAGATATCTAACCATACAAGCTTTGACCCGGCCCGTTGGCCGGATTATTTTAATTTATTAATTATGGAATGGTGGAGAGAGCTATAGCAGAAAAATATTTAAATGATTCGAACCCACAATTTGAATCTATTTGAGTCCATATAATTGTACCTATAAAGAAATATCGACCATCTAGCTATTCGCATTAAACCAATTCACACATTCATTATCGACGTTTCCACATTTATGTTTGTTATTCAAAAAAAAAAATTCAAAAATTACATTAGAGTTGATATTCAATTTTTTTTTTTGCCAATGTAATAGGTCTAATTTAGACTCAAACTAAATAGTCGTTTATTTGTATTACCAAATATGATTTGACTGGTAATAAATTGAGTTTGGGAATGATGTTTTTTTTTTTTTTGCAATTCATAGTGGAGGGAATTTTTAGGCCACGTTTGGCATTAGTTGTTCATTCACCACCACATCCAACGCTAACGTATCACTTTCCCATAAGACTTTTTAATTTACTGCGAAATGAGATGATATAAATTCCTTCAGTTTTGGGTTTCAAAATAGTAAATTTGCAATCACTTATTTACATAGTTTCCATCTCCTACTTTTAAATGTGTGAGATTTAAAGTTTCTTTATCTAAATTTCATAACAAAATATGAACTTGTAAACATTGGCAGAGGTGAGTGAACAACTAAAGATCACAATGATTGTAGCTTTAGTGGTATGGAGGTATATTTAAGCTCATAGATTAATTAACAGCATCTCATCATTCATTGAAAACTAAGCGAAATCTAGGGAGTCATTCATTGTTATATAAAAGTATTTGATTAAAATATGTTTGGAAACTGAAATTGCATGTATTAGTGAATAATAGAGTTCTTAATTGATATATATATATATATATAGTGGCTTCTATGGTACCCCGGGTGAAATCCGGGGTACCGCATACCTCGAGTATGTAAACTCTATCTAGAGCTCGAATTACCAGGATTTTTGTGTATGATATTATACCCTAACCCTTGATGAGTGAACCCTAGGTCATAATTATCTAAATCATAATCTATAAACCCTAAGATGGTGCATTCCTTTTTGTGCCTATATTTGGATGAATCATAACCGTCGATTATTATTTCTAATTAAATTGATCTTGGAGTATAAGATTGGGAGAGTTAACACCTAGATTTTGATCTTTAAGTGTTAGAGTATAGTATCATGTCCGAAAGATCGGTCAATTCAAGGTCTAGATAGTGTTTTCATACTCAAGGTATGCGGTACCCCGAATTTCACCCAGGGTACCGTAGAACTCGCCATATATATATATATATATATATATACCTATAACCCATTCAAAAATATACAACAAATTTGTTCAGTCTAATTTGTTATGACCAAGGTTGTCACTTGATTCCACAAATGAGTCGTTTAAGCAAGTGGGTTAAGGATTAATAGATGAATTGAATTAACCTGGTTAAGCCTAGCTTTACCCAAGTGCATGAAAATTTTATTTGATTTCACATGTATTATGCTTAGATATTTATGAAATTTCTATGATAAATTTAGATACAATGATGATTTAATATATAACTTATTCGTTGTAATTGAATTTCATTTTTATACTTTTCTCTCACTTGGAATTGATGCTTTAAAATTACGCTTTAATTCTAAATCTCTTCCCTCTTTCTTTTTATCTTTTTCCATTTCATTTTCTAGTTTTTTTCTTTTCTTCTTTTCATTTATCATATTCCATTCTCAATGTTCTTACTCTTCTTCTCCAATTCGATTTCATGTATGTATACAAATGAGGATGTTTGTCTTTGTTAATCACACCAAGTCTCAATCCAAATATATGTTCGTCTAATCTTGTGGCTTATTCTTTGTTTGAGATGTGGTTGATTGGCGATGTGACCTTACTGCTGGAAGGAAAATGGAATTGACTACTGAGGAACTGTGTTGGCTTTTGAGATGATTGGGACTTGTATTGTTGTCTGCCGATACTAAAGGAGGAAAAGATATTATGGGATAACCGAACACGGGTGCTTAATGTATGTTGCTGCATGGGTATTTGATAAGGAAAGGACGGCATGTCAACAGAGCTAGTGATTAGATTTGTTGAAAATGATGTGGGTTTAAAGTGACTCAATGCTTAGATGAGTTAGTAGAATCAATTCGATTTCCTAATTCAACTGGTTTTCTTAGTTTGACCAAGTTTGGGTTGATAACCAACTGGGCCTCCAACATCCTAACAAATACTCGGGTTTGGCTAAAACTGATTCGCCCAACTATGTCAAACTTGGGTTGACAATCAGGCTTATGATTCTTGTCTTTTTTGGAAGATACATTGGTTCAAATTCCAATACTTGTTTATTTTCTACAAATAAATAAGTTTAATAATTGTGAAGGCAAATATACCATTCATACTTTCGCTCTCATTGTAGGAATTTGAAACGGGAAATTACTTTTCTCATTCCAGTCTTATATATCGTATTGTGTTTAGACATAGACATATGTCATTGCCCTAGAAATTCATTAACATGTCAAAAAATGGTGAAATGAACCAATAATTAAGCTCAATCTCGTACAATGATCATTGGATCTAATCATGCCAGATTAGGAACATGTTGAAAGCTTAGTAGTTAACCCGACTAAAACGTTAAAAAAACCAGTCCCATATAGTCTACATAAGGATATGATTTCT